TAGGATCATGTAAATAATAGTGTGACACTTTGGCCTGAATCACTCTTCCTGCCCTTGCCCCAGTTCCTTTTCACATTGCCTGAGCTTGGTAGAAAATATTTGTATATAGTACTTTTTAAAAAATGTGACTCTCAGTAATGTCAAAATTTTCTATGCCTGTCCCATAGAAATGCTTACCCTCAATAACTGTGATTCTAGCTTATAGTAAACTGGATGTTCAAGGGTGATCTTAATTTTACCTTTTTCTTTAGGTTATATAAGTCATCTAAAGAACTGACAGTTTTTTCTGGGCCTCCCCTGGTGGCGCAGGCAGTTGAGCACAGTGCTGTGAAGCTATCCGCAGCCTCTGCAGCACAGGTTCGATCCCGGCCGGCTGGCGAGGATCCCACATGGTGCGGCAGACCTCTCCTGTCACGCCCTCTGTGCCCCTCAGCAGTGTATTTTGTCAGTCTGCCTATTCTGTTCCCCACTCTGTCTTTGGAGAATGCTCTCACCCTCCCACACATCTGCCTGTACCCTGGTTCTTGTATGCACAAATAAATAAATCTTTAAAAAAAAAAAATGAACTGGTAGTTTTCAAAATTTTGGTGTCTCAGACTTCTTGCACATCTGGAAGTCATAGAATTCTAGCAAATAATTTATATCAGATTTTGGTTAACATGGTGCTCTAGAACTTGCTGTGGACATTTTACTGAAGTGTGATCGAACCTTTGCTTGCATAAAAGGAAAGAATTGGAGATGGGACTGAAATATGACTCAAAGATGAAATTACCACCATTCAAGCCTTCATATTTGTTGCTACTTTAATCAGATTTAAATTTTTTTCTAGATCACTTAAAGTCTACCAGCACTGTTGTTTTGGACTTACAGATGTTTCAGGTTGGAATAGAACCAGGTGACTTAATTATAGACAGTGGTAGATCAGATGTTTGAACAGTTATTGTGTTACATTTAGATTTTACTGTAGTTTATCTTTGAGGAAATAAATATTGCTATCTGTTCTACTGTTTGTGGTAGTGCTGTAGGCATTGAAGGATAGGGTTTAGCGAATACAAAGAGTAGATGTATTAATTAGTACATAATAATCTCTTGTTGTACTCATTAATAAATTGACAGTAAAAAACTTTTTCATTAATGGGGGCCTCCCCGGTGGCGCAGCAGTTGAGCGCTGGGTTGTGAAGTTGCCCACAGCCTCTGCAGCGCCGGTTCGATCCCCGGCCACCAGGCGAGGGTCCCACATGGCACGCAGACCTCTCCTGCAGCCCGCTGCTCCCCTCAGCAGTGCATTTCAGTCAGTCTGCCTGTTCTGTTCCCTGCTCTGTCACTGGTGAATCCTCTCACTGTCCCGCACATCTGGCCTGTACCCCAGTTCTTGTATAAATAAATAAATTTAAAAAAAAACTTTTCATTAGTTACATTGACATTGTGATAATTCTTACAGTGCTGTAAACTGTTCTCCGTTAGCAGAAAATTAGGTTTCTTAGTGCTTTTATTTTAGAAAAATCAGTGACCACATCTGAGTTAAGTGATTCAGGTCATTACTTTATATGGTGTAATAGAAAAGTTTCTATATCAGTGACCCCTTTGAATATTCAATGCATAATCTAATTTGTAATTAAAAAAGGAGTATTTAAGAGAGGTTAAATCTCCTTATGTTAAAGCCCCTGTATTGATCCTATGAGCTATTTTAGAAGAAATGATTTTTCATGTAAATACAATAAAATATATTCTTAGATCCCTTGAACAGCCTAAGATCTGGATATGTGGTAATATTCTGCTAACCCTGTAGAAAGAACTATTAAAATATAACCACAGAAAAGAGTTGAATTCATTAAGGGAGACTGCCAGGATTCTTTTGTCATCCTCCCACCCCCCCAAGAAGGAAGTGCTGTAAAGTTGGCCAAGAAATATCTTCCCTTTGTGGGTCTCCCTGGTGCCGCAGGCGGTTGAGTGCTGCACTGTGAAGCTTGTCCACAGCCTCTGCAGCGCGGATTCAATCCCAGCTAGCTGGGGAGAATCCCACATGGCATGGCAGACCTCTCCTGTCTCGCCCGCTGCTCCCCTCAGCAGTGTTTTTCAGTACATCTGCCTGTTCTGCTCACTGCTCTGTCTCTGGTGAATCCTCTCACCCTCCCGCGCATCTGGCCTGTACCCCAGTTCCTATATAAAATAAATCTTTTTAAAAAAAAAACCTTCACTTTGCTTTTCCACATTAGGATTTTAATTTGGTTAGCCACGATCATTAATTGAATTTGTAAATAAACTGTCATTAAATAGATGTTGTGTTGATTTTATTAATCACGTTTTAACTATAATTTGTCTGTTACAATATCTGACTCCTTTGTGGTTTCTTACACATTAGAGTGATAGGAAGAAATAAGATTTGAAGGCACTTTATTTAGATAAAGTAGCATATGACTTACGTTGGGAGTAATAGCAAAGGAGGTTATTGAAGTAGCCCAATAGTGATAGATGAAGACTGTAATAATTTCAAAAATGAAACAATTCTCTATAACCAAGAGAATTGCAGGATATAGAAAGTGGTGAACCTTCAAGAGTAATGAAAGTTGGAAATGGGAAATGAGGGTTAAGTAGCTGCATATTTAGAAAGGCTGAGCATTTTTATAGTTGGGGAGTGATCCAGGTTATACTTGCTCTCTTGATGTCCTTTACTGCACTTGGGCTAGAACGAGCCAGCAGTAAAGCAGATAATGGTACTTTAAAAAGAAGTTATGTTTCTTATACTAAAATTTTTTTACAGTGTTCAAACTAGTCAAACATTATAGGTAGAGCTAAAATCCAGCTTTTCCTTTCTTTTTCCCAAAGGTAATAAGGACCCCAGTCCTGAAATTGTTGTGTATCAGTTGTATGCATATTTTTAGATATTTACTTTTTGTGTGTTGGTAACAATGTATGGTTACTTTTTAAAATTGTTTTCATAGAGTTTCTCCATTCAGCATTGGTGAGATGTATTTGTTACAGTAGTGATAATCGATTAAGTAATTCCATTAAATTCCTTAACAACTTATGTATATGTATAATGGTACTTTAGTTTATTTTTAGTTTTTATGAGTTTTTCAACATTATCTTCTGAGATTTAATCATGTTAATACAAATAGTTCCAGTTACTTTGTTTTTATTGCTGTAGAAAAATACTTTAAAGAAGTAAGTCTTAGTTTATTTATTAGTTCCCTACTTTAGCAAATCAGATTGCCACTAATTTTTAGCTATTACAGAATCTATTTGTACCTGTTTCTTCATGCAGATGTGCGAGTTATATTCCCAGAAATAGAATGTCATAAAGGTTGAGGATGCGCTTTTCCACCTAGTCGGTATCTCCAAATTACTCTTCAACAATATTGGTCCTGGCTTTTTTTTTTTTTTTTTTTTTTTTTTTTAAGATTTATTTATTTATACAAGAACTGGGGTATAGGCCAGAGGCGCAGGAGGGTGAGAGAATTCACCAGAGACAGAGCGGGGAACAGAACAGGCAGATGGACTGAAGACACCGCTGAGGGGAGCAGTGGGCGAGAGACAGGAGAGGTCTGCTGTGCCATGTGGTTTCTCCCTGGCTGGCTGGGAATCAAACGCATGCTGCAGAGGCGCTAAACCTGGTGCACCACCGGGGAGGCCCTGGTCCTGGTTTTTATTGTTACCGTCAATGTATTGTTACCACCATCAGTTGCTGTTTTCCACATTTGACCAACACATGGATTTTTACAGTCTGGTTTTGAAATGACTTAAAAAAAAAAAAAAGATTTATTTATTCATGCATACAAGAGTTGGGGCGTAGGCCAGAGGTGGGGCAGAATGGGGAGCAGAACAGACAGACATACTGAAATACACTGCTGAGGGGAACAGAGGGTGGGACAGGAGAGATCTACTGAGCCATGTGGGGGGATCTACTTAGCCCTGGTGGGGGATCGAACTCCTGCTGCGGTGGCTGTGGATTGCTTCATAGTGGTGAGACCTAACCCTTTGCACCTCCAGTGAGGGCCCTGAAATGACTTAATGTTTTACCTCGTTCTGATAACGTAGACAAATCTAATGGGGCATGGCATATTTTTACGTATTTATTGGGCTTTTATTGTCATTTTTAACCTATTTGTTGGAATCCTTTGTACTGATATTTAATCTTTAGTTAGGTGTTTTACAGCTATTTCTAACAACCAGTGCTTTCTTTACCTTTTGACTTAAAAAGATCTAGTAATCTGGCTAATTTTTTCTGTCTTATTTAAGAAATCTTTCCCTATTCTGAAGTTTTTTTAAAAAAACATTTTTATTTATGCATATAAGAACTGGGGTGCAGGCGACAGGTGCAGGAGGAGGAGATGAGAGGATTCACCAGAGACAGGGGAGCAGAACAGTCAGCTTGACTGAAATACACTGCTGAGGGGAGCAGCGGGCGAGACAGGGGAGGTCTGGCTGCACCATGTGGGTCAGTTTGCTGGCCAGGGATTGAACTCAGGCCACAATGGCTACGGGTAGCTTCATAGTGCTGAGACTTAACACCTTACACCACCAGGGAGGCCTGTTCTGAAGTTTAAAAGACATTCTTCTTTAGGTTTGGTTTTTCAAGACGTGAGAATTCCAAAATAATGAAATTAATATCATTGAAGAAGAGAACTAATTTCACCGCCTGTTGAATGGCTCAGTCTTTCCCTAATAAATCCAGTTCTAGGTTTCTGGGCTCTGTAGTATGTTTCATTGTTCTTCTGTTGTTCTGTGCTACTGTAATTATTACAGCTTTACAATAAACCTGTTAGCTAAGTAGTTTCCACCACACTTGCTTTAGTTTTGGAATTGTTGGTCCTTTTTTCCATGTGAATTTTTGAATCTGCTTGTTAGCTTCCATTAAAAACCCTATTAAGCATTTTATTAGAATTTAAATGTTCAGATGTGGAATTTATTGGACCTTTAAAATGTTAAAACCCACCCACCTGCATTTGTTATGTATGTTGCTGCTGCTCTTGGATTTCACTCAGTTTATTTCCTTTTAGGAGGCGCAGGTCAGAATGGAGATGGGCTGCAGATCGAGCAGCTATCGTCAGCCGCTGGAATTGGCTTCAGGCTCACGTTTCTGACTTGGAATATCGAATTCGGCAACAAACAGATATTTACAAGCAGATACGTGCTAATAAGGTAAGGGACAAGTGTCTGGTCTTTTTCAGCCCCACTAAAAACTACCATTATCCCTTTTCTCCCGTCCTGCAATAGCATAGCTCTTAACTGTGTCAAAGAGAATGGTTTAATATGACCTGATAGAGTGGTTTAATCTGTTTTAAGCGCCTGATGTTACTTAGTATAGTGCAGATAACACTGTTATTATATCATGTTAAATTGAACATGTGTTTAGAACAAAGCAGTTTCTGCATCTAAGTTGTGGGAGTGGGGAGGAGGGAATCATAAGAAAATGAAATATAATACAAATTATTGACTATAACTGTAATGTTGTATTAATGGAAAAATGGTGCTGAGTGAGGATTTTCATCTTGCGAAGTTTTTCCTGAAAGATTTTTGAGACAAAACTAGACATTGGTGGTTAGGATTTTGATTTCTTGTGCCCTCCTGTCTTCAGAGGACTGATTCTTACTTGAGCAGTGACACTGTGTAGTTTTTCTTCCTAAAAATCAACTTAGAAAAAAATCCTCTGCTCAATTTTGGTTTGACAGAGGAATAAGTGTGCATAGAAAAAGAAATACTCTCAACAGATATTTGAGTGCCTGCCTCCTATTATGCCTAGGCATCCTTAGTGGTGGGATCACAGTGTTGAATGAAAGTCCTACTTTTGGGGAGTTTACATTCTTGTATGGTATTTTTTGTATTAGCTTGATGCAGTTGAACTCTATGATTTGATATATAAGTCTGCACAAGGAATCTACTGCTCTTAAACATAAATACCACTATACTTTTGTTCAGTCTAAGTGCTGGTCAAATCCTTAAGAAAAATGCTGTGCTGTGAGCTGCCTGCATTAAATCAGTGAGTAGGCTAAAAGTTTTAAAGGGTGACTCTCTGATCAGATGGACAAAATGATGAGATTTGAGGTAAAAGTTTTATGATCTTCCAGAAATACCACTGATGTGTGTGTGTGTGTGTGTGTGTATAAACCCATTTATATACATACATATATACATATATATATATGTATAAAAATGGGTTTACCTCAGTCTCTGGCATGTCAGTGGAATATATTATATTTAGGGGAAAGTCCAGAGGACTTAGGCTTTTAATTTTTATTTATTTAAGTAACTTGTTCCCTGACAGTAGGGAATACATCAAATTTTAACTTAATTGCTTAAAAGTTAGCTAGAGCAAATGAGGAATTTTAACTGAAACTTCTCACCAACAGTCGTGAATATTATTCTCTCCTTAACTCTTCTTCACAATGGGAATTTTGAGATTTATAGAATATGAACTGGAATGGTAAGAATAGCTAGGAAAGATGGCGTATGCCTATCCTGAGGAGAAAAACACTGTCTTACTCTGCCAGGAACACATCTTCTGTGTCTGTTCCTAGGTTTTTATAGCTAGTAGTTAAATCGGAATGCCCATATTTGAGAAATAGTCTCAGTAACAACTGAGATTAGTACAATGGTGGTCAAATTTGTTGCTTTGCTATTTTATATAGTCACACATACAGCTGTTTGTGTTACTTTTCCCAGTATAAAAGTATCATAGTGTAGATTTGAAGATACTATTGATTATAAGCTGTACTGTTGTTTTATGTTCCACTAAGTATAACTAAGTTTCTCAGTTAAACTAAGACACACTATCAATTATTAGATGCACCCTGATTTCAAGGATACTGAAATGTGGGGGGGGGGGGGAGTCAGAATTGATGAAATACTGTTATCATTTCTTAGGAAACGAAATACAGAGAAGTACAAATATCAATTTTGCGGTGAATTGCTCTTTATAAAAAAAAAAAAAGTCTTAAAAAAAAATCCCAAACTGAAAATTAACTATAAACATTTGAGTGTATTTTTATCCACCTTTTAAGTATGCATGCATATAATTTGTTTAAGCATAATCTTGTTAAATGAGCCCTGAATGTTTTTCCTATCTTTCTTTAGGAGCTGTGGGGAAGTGGGACGTTGGGACATTTTTTAATTGACTGTATTCTGTTCCTGGTCATTGTTGGCTATTTTAATTATGCTCTTAACTGAAATTACTAAAGCACACCATAATAAATACCTTTATGTAAGTCAAAGTGTTCTTAATGCATACATCAGAGGCATATTTTGGTGCAGTATACCTCAGTTTACAGGCTTGCTACCTGTGTGAGAGAAGATACTCTGAACTCAGTTTTGGTTTCTGCTTCATTTTTTAGAAATGAATTATGCCTAGCCTTTTTTTAGATCATAACTCAGCAGTAATGTCAGAGCAGTTTTGAGAAGGTTTCCAAAGTCTTAGATGTTTCTCAGTATTTGGAAAGTAGTTAACCTGAAATTCTGTGTTTATAGATTACCAACAAGTTTTATCATTCAGGGAATAACATATAAAAGAAACAGCAGACTTTTGACTTGGTAATCTTTGATTTTGTAGTCTTTGCTTTGCTGCCATGTATCTATCTGCATGAGGGAGTCCCATTTCTGAGCATCTGTTTCATGGTCTGTAAAATAAGGTGTTTAAGATAGTCTAGTACATTTACTTTATAATACATTTGTATATACATTTACTTTACAGTCTGAATATACAATGTCTGTTAGAGAGTTCTGACAGGTAGAGTAAAAGTAGAATAATAATCCCAATAAGTAATAAGTCAAGAAAATTCACAACTGTATTAAATATTTATGTTCATACAGTGTCATTTTAAAACAAATGTATCCATTTACTGAGGTTGCTATGACAAAGTATGGCACAAATTGAACGGTCCACTTAAAACACAGAATTTTTTTTTTTTTTAAGATTTATTTATTTATGCATACAAGAGCTGGGGTACAGGCCAGAGATGTGGGAGGGTGAGAGGATCCACCAGAGACAGAGTGGGGAACAGGACAGGCAGATTGACTGAAATACACTGCTGAGGGAAGCAGCAGGAGAGGTCTGCCTGCCCATGTGGGTTTCTCCCTGGCAGAACGGAGATCGAACTCGTGCTGCAGAGGCTGCGGATTGCTTCATAGTGTGATGCTTAATCCCTTGCCCCACCAGGGAGTCCCAAACACAGAAATTTTCTCACAGTTCTGACTGAAAGTTAAAATCCTGTAGTTAAGGTCTAGGCCAGGCAATGCTCCTCTGAAGATTTTAGAGATGACTCCTTCCTTGCCTCTTTATCCTTCTTGTTGTTGCTTGCAATTCTTGGTGTCCCTAGTTTTATAACCAAGTCATTCCAGTGTCTATGTTGGTCTTCACATGGCCATGTACTTCCTGCATGTCTCTTTCCAAAATTTACCTCTTAAAAGGACACCAATCACTTTGGGATTTAGGACCCAACCTAAAGAGGCTTCATTACACATGCAATGATTGTGTTTCTAGTAAGGTCACAAATTTGGGGCAGACACTGTTCACCCCTGTATAACAAAAAAGCAGTGTAATTCCCCTAAAGGATGTATTAACATTTTGTTTGGTCTTTATGCATCACCCCATAACAATAGAAGTCTTAGCATTTACTATGGACCAGACACTGTGCTAAGCATTTTAGTGTTAACCACAGATGTAAAGATAAACAAACTAAGGACCAAATAGGTCAAGTACTTTGTTCGTGGTCATATAGCCCAGTGAGTGCAGAGCTGAGATTTGATATCTGACTCCAAAGCTGTTTCGCTTTGTCAGCAGTTGCTGTCATTGCTTACTTAACCTTTTTTTTAATTACTGAAATAGGAAGTTTTAATCCCCTGTGTGTTAGTAAGTTGGGCTGGTGTTCCCCATTTCCCAAGAGTTGCCAGAGTTGCATGGGCATGTATATCATATTGCCCTTGAGGTGAATCTAGGTTTGGTGGTCAGCTGTAGAGTTATGCATATGTCTTTGAAAGGGGAGTTGGAAGGTAAGACTTTTTGAAGATGTAAATACTGGCTTCATCTAAAAAAAATTTTTTAATTGAGGTAACATTTGTTTATAATATCGCGTAGTTTCAGGTGTGTGCAGCTTTATAGTTCATCATTTTATGTCTTATGGTCACCACCAGAAGTCTAGTTTCCATCTACCAGTACACAGTCATCCCTCTTCCCCCACACACACTTTTTTTTTTTTTTTTTAAGTTGTGTTTTCAATAAGAGAAGGGGTTTTGAGAACTACTACTAAGTGATTACCAATTTCTGGTCTCTCAGAATTTATTTCCTTTCAGATGAGTAATGACTTTCTGGAATCCTCCTTAGGACAAATGATTACTCTTGCTCTTTGGAGAAAGGATACAGTTTGTAGGATCTCTTTCCTACTCTTCTCCATGTACTGCGATGCTTTAACTTTATATCCTTGAGTGTGTACTTTATATAGTAAGTGTGTGTGTTTAATGCACAGAGTAATAAGCCTTATGTCACGAACTTGTAAGAGACAGAGCTAAGTATGAAAGCAGGACTACTTATCTGACTCCAAAGCATTTTCTAACACACTATGCTCTTTTATCCTTTTATCATTTCTCTCAAGCATATTTCTTGAAATTTCATACCTGGTAAGTAATGCTAAGGGGGGATCAATCAGGTTCTAGTACAAGATACACTGTTTTTAATCCCTCCTTTTGACATATGAGAAATTACACAGGAATGCAAACTGTGGACAGATTAGTAATGGGAAGAAGAAGAGCATTGAAACTTCTGGATAAAAGAGGAGCTAAGTAGGAATAACAGAATCCTAGAACACATCTTAGTCTTCAAAATTGATGTAAAGAAGTTGAAGCACCCATCTTAACAGAGTTATAAGACATTATGGATAGTTTTCTCTTGTCTAGATAGCCCAGAAAGATTCTTGTGAAACTGGTCTACAGTGAGGTCACCAATTTGTCTTGACTGGCAGGGAAGATTGGCCTGCTTACACAAAACAGGGGAGTGAGTATGTGAAAATGTCCCGTAATTCTGTACTGCAAATTTTAAAAGATGGTGTTTATTGACTTCATATCTTATCTGGAATTGATTAAGGGAAAGCAATTAACTCAAGCATACAATTAATTTTTTTTTCTTTCCTTTGCCTTGTTTTATCATTAGGTTTGGCATAATTCTTTCTACCCTTTCTTCCTTTTTCAGTTTTAGTTTCTATTATTTTCTCCTTCTCTTCCCCTCCCCCACCCCCTTTTTAAAATATAGGACAGCTCTGAGTTTCCATGAAGGATTAATTTGTAAAAATATAGAACTGCATACAACTGTGACCCATCCCTGTCCCTCTGGTCCTTGGTCCTTATGTAGGAGTTTTTTAGACCTGAGGAGCCCAGGCATGATCCTCAATCTGACTCTGGGTGCTGTTGTGAAGGATGGGGAGATTCAGGCCCTTTTACTGTGGTCTCTGCCAGTTGCTGTCTATTTTAGAGTGCAACAGCTGAGGTTATGGTCACTCAGCTGATGCCACAGCCACACAGCATTGACCCAGAATGCTAGGGAAGTCCAGATTGGGGTTGCCCTAACAGGTGTGCAGTGCAGCTCATGACGTTTTCTTTGCTAATAATAGCCTCTCCTTTCATGGCTATTAACTATGTATTAGGTATATTTTGAAGAATTTTTTTAAATAACCATGTGAACCCTCCCTGCAAAGCCTTACTTCCATCTGCTTTTTCAGTTAAATCCTACTGTTTTCCTGCTCTCATGCCATCTTCTCAAAACTGCTGTGACAACAGTGTCATGGTAATACTCCTCCTGTCTATCCAAGGCTAGATGAAGATAAATTCTTTGAGTGCAGTGTGTTTTATTTTTTTATTCTTAAGGTTTTGCACTGCCCAGCACATGGTAAACACTAAATAAATAGCACCTGAATGGATTTTAGGTATTTGGATACTTTTCATTTGCTTATCTCTTTATAGAGCAGAAAAACAATGTGTAGATGAATATAGCTGCACAGTGTAGTATTTGAGCACGTTTGCAAAATACAGATTTTACTTTTGATGTACAAAAGTACTGTGCATTGAAAAGAGCTCAATAAATGAATGAGGTCTCCATTCTTGTTACAGAAGCCCTTCCCTCATATCCCAAGCAGTACAATTATATAGATAACTCATCTGCTTTCAAATGTGTATATCCAGAATCTGATCACACTGGTCAAAGCACAGCTCTTCTTTCTGCCTCTCTATTTGCTACTCACTAGTCTTTTCAACACAATAACCAGTTCGAGCCTTTTAAACCGTAAGTCAGATCGTTTCCCTCATATGCTTGAAATTCTCCCAATGATTTTCCATCTCTGAATAAAAGTCTCAATACTCAAAATGAGTTAAAAGCCCTGCAAGATTCGCGCCGCACACACACACACACATACTGTCTCTACTAACTTTCACTCCTGCCACGAACTTTATTGTATTACTACTATTGGTATAGTATTGTCTCATTGGTAAATACCATATAAAATACCATACTGTGACAAAGATTCCAGATCTGCAAGATGTGAATAAAAGATGCTAAATGGGAACATGCTAAATAGGTCAACACATTCCAGTGGAATAAGAGGGACGCTTGGGTGTGAGTCTTAGGCCTTACTCATGGGACTTTCTTTTGAAATAATTCTTGGGGAGAAAAAAGCTACTAGTGGTATATATGGTTTCAGTACTGTAAACCATAAGGGAAAAGACCTCTGGTAAACCAGTCCCCCATCCTTAACCCTCTTGAGATTAGCTCCTAAATCAAAATTATAATTTATACCATTCACTTAAACTATTTTTCTTTCTGTCCTGCAGGGGTTGATTGTTCTTGGGGAGGCACCTCCCCCAGAACATATAACAACAGACTTATTTCTTCCACTTAATACTGAAGTGAAGACAGATCATGGGAGTGATAAATTGGTAAGTATGAGAGACAAAAGGAGGTGCATGAGAACTCAAGGTAGAATGACAGCATGCTAGAGCTCTGTGCACAGATTCCTGAATTGATGAAAGAAGGGGGATTGCATTGACTTACACTGCTTCTGACATTTCGAGATTTGAATTTTCCAGTAGGGCAGCACACTGCCCCTTCTGTAGGTATGGAGCAAACCTTAAATTTAAAAACAGCTTCTCACTCTCAAGACAGCACAGCCAGCGCAAAGTGTGGCATTATGGAATGCTGGAGATCAGGAAGTTGTGTGTGTCTCTGTCTCTGTCTTATTAAATTGTAAGGATCTGTACAGTTAAGACCTTCTTCGTTTATCCACAGTAGGTTCTACACGATACAGTAGAATGCTTTTTGGATTGAATAGATAATAATTATGAAAACAGCCAAGAAAAGTATACACTATCCCTCTATGTCTTCAGGGAGAGGTTAACCATGCCCTTTCTTGTGAATTATATGTGCTTTCTAAAGAATCTTCAGACAAGTCCTTACTTTCTGAAGGGAACAGAAAGGCAGACAGAAGGCAATAAATTTCTGTTGATTTTTTGTATTGTTGAATGATGCTGCAAAGCATATATTCCTTAAATTAAGCAACTTAAGGAACCGCACCATTAAAAAAAAAATGCCAAATACTTGGAGAGCTGTGCCTAGAACATCAACTGCCAACCAAAAGATTTTCAGGAAGAAACTTCCTAATTTTGCATTTTTATTAACTTTTTTTGGAATGTGATTTATACCTTGCCCTTTCAGTTTTGCTTTTGTGTAAATTCTTAGGTCACACTTGACACAGGCCAGTTACAAATTTTCATACTCACATTTGTAACCACTCTATTCTCCATTTTGTTGATTATTTCCCCCTAAAATGGAAGGATTTATTGCCCTTTTTGGTGTTGTGTTTACTTTCGTATTTTTATTTCTGAAACTCACAGGTATTAACTACAAAAACAGAATTAAAAAAACTCAAAATATGTTTTCAAGGAATTAGACATAATTCTCCAGGAAATATGTAGTCCTTTATTGATTGATTAAGGAGGGAGTCTTGATCGTGGCAAAACTGGTAACAACATCTTGATACCAGATACTGCTTTGTCCATGTGGTTATTAAAAGAAACAGTGCTGGAATATGGCTACTTAGTAGCATACAGAATTTATTAATATCTTATAGAATAATACAGCCATAATTTTAGAATTGTTTTCCTCTAGACACAAGTCAATTTTAACTTGCTAATGTTATAAATATCCAAATTAAATATGGAACATAAGGCATCTAGACTGTAATTACAAGTAATAAGTAAAACAGGTTTTACTTTGTTTGTATAGTCATATGATACTCAGGTGGTCGTGTTAGGTAGTGTTCCAGTATTATACTGTAAGAATATGTCGCCATCACTTTGCTTTATTTCCAAATTGAATAACTGTTTCCTGACAGGGTCATTGTATATCTGCTTCAGTTATGAGCACAGTACAGATATTCCTGAAGCTAAGTTGTTCTGAAGACCTAACCTTTGATCAGAAATGCTAGAATTCATGTGCATGGATAAGCAAACCTTTTTTGGGCTCTGGAGACAAGCAAGAAATATTCCCTGAGGGTTCTGTTTTTAGACCACAGAATAATGGGGTAGGGGAGAGGAAAATCTGAAGAAAAAAATCCTAGAAAAACGCACACTGGAGTCCTCTCCCCCACCCCCACCCCGTTAGCTCCAATCTCACTTCTTTTTAGAAGGTCAGTAAAGGTAGCTTCATGGGGAAGGATGTACTTAATACTGAGTCTTTTTTGGACTTGCTCAGAGATGGTGTTGGGGTTGGGTTCCTGCCAGAACTACACTGCTTATATAACAACATCGCATAATAGAGGCTTCAGAGAGCCTGGTATTATTGAAGAACTGCAAATACTTCCATGTGATGGAATGTTGGATGATTGGGCCAATTTATAATGGATTTTGTATTTATCTTAAATGAACTTGTGCTTTATCTAGGTGCCAAGAAGCAGTAGGCTGATCTCAGATTTGCAAATGATTGAAATTTACTTTATTAGTGCTGGGTAAATTTTGCTGCATTCTTTTTTAAAACTTAAAAACTATTTTAAAGTTGCAAAAGTAGTACACAGAATCCCCTGTACCCATCACTCAGCCACCCCTAGTATTAATACCTTGAGTTACCATTGTACCGTGATTGAAACCAATCTAATGTACTAATATGTAGTACTACACAGATTTTATTTGAATTTTACTCATTTTCTCACTGCTGCCTTCTTGGTCCAAAATCCCACATTTACATTTGGTTGTTACTTCTTTTTAAATCTTCTCCAATCCATGAGAGAGCCCTAGTCTTTGTCTTTAAAGACCTGACACAGCTGAACAATCATCTTGTATAATGTGGGAGTCAGAAGCCACCTGATGTTTTCCTTTTTTTTTTTTTTTTTTTTTATTTATACAAGCACTGGGTACAGTCAGAAGCGCGGGAGGGTGAGAGAATTCACCAGAGCCAGAGCGGGGAGCAGAACAGGCAGAAGGACCGAAGTACACTGCTGAGGGGAGCAGCGGGCGGCAGGAGAGGTCTGCGCGCCATGTGGGACCCTCCTCTGGTGGCCGGGGAGCAGCCGGGGATCGAACCGGCACCGCAGAGGCTGCGGGCAGCTTCGCAACCCAGCGCTCAACCGCTGCGCCACCGGGGAGGCCCCCCACCTGATGTTTTCTTACCATTGGAAGTCATGCAGTTTTTATAGGAATATCACAGAAATAATACCATGCCCTTCTCAGTGCGCCATATTAGAGGTACATGACTTTGGTAGTGATAGCTTTTTGAACTTGATTAAAGTGGTGCCTGCAAGGTTTCTCTGCTGTAAAGATTAGCGTTTTTCCCTTTGTAATGAATGGCTATGTAATGGAGAGACTATACAATATTCCTTTGCTTATTATACGTTAACCCACAATTTTTTTAAAAGAATTTTTGTTTATTTATTTATTTATACAATAACCGGGGTACAGGCCAGATGCATGGAAGGGGGAGAGGATTCACCAGAAACAGAGCAGGGAGCAGAACAGGCAGAACGATGGAAAACACTGCTGAGGGAAGTGGTGGGCGAGACAGGAGAGGTCTGCCGAATGTCTGGGATCGAACCCGCGCTGCAGAGGCTGTGGACAGCTTCACAGCACTGTGCTCAACTGCCTGTGCCACCAGGGGAGGCCCTTAACCCACAATTTTATCATCCCCTGGTGGTTTTTACCTGCAGCAATTACTGTGATGTTTGTTAATGATGTGGGTTTTTTTTTTTTTTATTTCCTACATTAGTGGATTGGAATTGTATTAGAAAGAGCTATTTTTTTAATTTAGTCAGTCATTTATATTCAGAGTAGATTCATGGCTGTTTCTTCTATGGATTGTGATATGTTGCTGTTACTCATTCAGTTACTCCAACTGTTTTCACCTTTTGACATTGGTACCTCCTTCAGATTGGCTTCTGTGTCCTTTCAGCATCCACCCCTCTTTTTTTTGAGCATTCACTTTCTAGCACCACTCTATCTTCCAGGGTCGTCTTATATTTTATCTGCTCCAGTTCTGATTCTTTTTATTTTTCATCTCTTCCCCTCCCCCGCCCAGTTCTGGTTCTTTTTATTGGAGAAACAAGATTGACTACTAGATGTGCTCATTGTTTCTAGGACTTTTTAGCAGGTGAAGCTGGAAATAGATGTGTGTGTGCTCATGTATGTGTGCTATCACATGCATATACACAGTTATATTCTTTCATCTTCTCATCTGTTGTATATATACTGAAAAACATGAGTTCATTCTAGTATCTGGTATCAGAGCTTTCCTTCTTTCTTGGTGATACGTAATTGTTCTAGTGTACTACATTAAGTCTCATAATTGCCAACTCAGCACTGTGGGAAATACATTTTATTTTTAAATTTAAAATTTTATTTAAACTTTAAACATTGTAATGGATATATTTACTAACCCAGGTATAATATTGTAGACAGTATGTTAGCCCTATAATACATAGTCAGAATGCTATTTTCCTAAAGTCACTTTTCAGTGTGGGTATATAACTGTTTTGTAATTCAGTTATAATTCATGAACAGTTCTGCTGTCCCTGCAGTATTCCACTTCTTGTTCTCCCCCACACACAGTAGTTGATCTTTATTATTTGAGCATGTAAAACGTGAAATTCTAAGAGTCAAACTATATGAAAGGGATGTACTCAGTACTGCCCTCTTTCACTTCCTGTTTATATCCTGTTCCTACCCACCCCATGTTGGTAGCCAGCTTCATTTGATTTCGATCATCCCGTCTATATTCAGATACATGAGTATTTTCTTATGTACCCTTCTTTCTTAGAAGAAAGGTCATTTACTGGATTTTTAAAAACTAGATTTGCAATAGACCTTTTTTTTGTTTTGTTTTTAGCAAAAACACTGTTTCTGTGCTTTATGACAACTGTCTTTGTTACTTCTTTTGTAAAATGAGCCTTCATTCTTTTATCTTTTTCTTTATGGGAATGATGGGGAGAAACAAGTGACCTATTAAATGAAAGACTGGTGCTTTCTCACAAGAAAGGCATGCTAAATATGTAAACTCTTGCTTTTTCTTTTTAAACATTCCAAGGTATAATCTTCCTTCCATTGCTTAAGCAGCAACAATTTTCTTTTTCTTGGTGATGGTGAGGGACACAATCTTTACCTTGAAGTTTTGTGGTCACAGGGATTACAAATGGTACATTGACTGAATAAGAGTTGAGGGATAGATACTGGCTGGGGAACATTTGATCCATGATATTAAAAAATAGTGACCAATTAGTACTTTTAAAATAGATTAGGGCTGTGGATAAGTGAGTTGAGCCATAAAAATTTATGACTCTGATTATTTTATTTCTTTAAATTCTGTAAATCTTAGGGTTAGTAGTCATAACATTTTGTTAGATTTGTAACACATTATGTTGATTGAAATTTCTAAAACATGAATAATTCAAAAGTATTTTTGCATATAATTGTGTAGATTTTCTTTTAACCTCAACATAGAGACATAGGGAAGTGAGTTGCAAACAGTCCTATTTTACATATACAGAAAGTGAATCCTGTGTAAGTAAGTTGGTGAAAGTGGAATTTTCAGAATGTACCACAATTCTGAAGTTAGCATTTTCCTGACCATGGGGCTAGTTCACACTTGATTGTTCTGGCTAGTATACTCTTTATTAGCAAACAATATTTTGGTGGTTTTAAGAAAGACTGTGCTGAGTATTGAGATGAGGAGCTTGAAACATGAAATAATTCACATAAAATCAAAAACTTAATTTTTTGACCTAGGAATAAAAGTTGAATTCCTTATATCTAGTTAGCGTTCTCTTTCTTTTTTGATGTTTGTCAGAAAGACACAATAATTAACCAAAAATGAACTGTTAAATTTTCTTAATAAACAAGGGGCTTTTTTAAAAAATCAGTATTTCTAAGTGTATGCTTTTTATTTTTATCCCTTTACTTTCACTATTATAAAAAGTCAGTTCAGTAGACATGGGTTTGTAGACCCTAGAAAATTGTACGCCATATGAACTCTTAATTTACTAGAGTTTTTGTTTTTTGTTTTTAAGTACTCTGTCACACTTGATTGGTCTGGAAAAAGGATGGATTAATCAGGCACATGCATACTTTATATGAATAACAAATTTGAGCATCATTGCTATACTAATCATTTTAGTCTGTACACCTAACCCTTTCAATCAGCAACACTCCTTGCTGCCTTAGCTGTAAAATTTGCTACCCATCTCATCTCCCACATGGTAATCCCCAGGGTGCTGCTTTATGGGGTGGAGAAGGAATTACTTAAGGTTTTCTACTCTTTCTGCCTATGGATGCCTTTAGAATATATCTGAACATTAAATGAAATTCAAGAGAAGCCTTACAATAACTCCTACTTTCTAGATAGGAGCTGCTTAAATTCTGTCATCCTTTTCATAGTTTCCCATTGGATGATATCTGAGTAATGCTTTAGTTTCCTGAAAATACTAATGTTGAAAGCCATTGCAGTAGTAATGATTGAAATTAAATTTATTTGTGGATTATAATACTTCTGAAATGTTAATGTTTCTCTACCTTCTGTCTCAGCAGGCATTTGGACTGCAGGATAGGGAGAGTTCACTTTGTCTTAAAAAGTTGAATGCATTTTAGAAGCTCTAGGTAAAAAATGTGTGTGTTTGTGAGGGTTTTGGTTTTTTTTTAAGATTTATTTTTATTTATACATACAAGAACCAGGGTGTAGGTCAGAGGTGCAGGGGGTGAGAAAATTCACCAGAGACAGAGTGGGGAGCAGAACAGGCAGATGTACTGAAGTACTCTGCTGGGGGGGAGCAAGGTCAAGACAGGAGAGGTCTGCTGCCCCTTGTGGGTCAGCTTCCTGGCCAGGGATCATGCCACAGTGTTTGGCAATTGCTTAAGGCGCTGAGACTTTAACCACTGTGCCACCAGGGAAACCCTGGGCTTTTTTTTGTTTTGGTTTTTTAATCCAAATGGAACACTTATTGGAAGGTTGAGGGGTTAATATTTTAAGTTCATTGTATTTGAGAGTAGGTGATGAACTTTGTTGTCCTAATGCCTTGTTTTGGGGTCTCAGTGGATTATAGAACATCCCAGGGTCTCTATGTTGTACCTCCCTTATGACTGGGACTGGAGTCCAGATACAGTCCCTCTTTGGAATTCATGCACTTGATCACTGTGTACTTCTATATCCTTGACAAATATTTCTGTGCTAAATAGTCTTTTGCCTAGTGACTTCAGCTTTAATTTTAGGATTGAATTACCCTCAGGAAAGTTTCAAGTTCCTCTAAGAAATAAAATTTACATTGAAGATTAACGTCATTTAAACATGTATGTATAGGCATAAAAGCAAGAGGTAGGCTTTTAGCTATGAGTACTGAGATTACTGGTGATTTGTGTTTTTTCTTTAGAATTCATGTAAGAAAAATTTGCTTTGAAATGAGATTTTTTTGGAAGTATGGCAACATTTTATACTGGACAAGTGTCTTTGCAGTTAATTGTCCCATAATCCCTGCAAAATAAACTAATAAAATGCAATCAACTTATTACTAAATGAAACCTTGTAGAATATTTAGATACATAAATCAGATTTGCCATAATTTAATGCTAAAAGCTATTATTTTAAGTGGATGTAAAATTGACAGTGTTAGGTTGATACACCAACAAAAATTTCATAGTGACAGTATTTTTGTGTTGAAAGGAAATATCTTCATCTAAACCAGAACTTTCGAAATACAAGAAAGCTGTGACAGGAGTGCCTCTAGTCACATATCTGCTGGTTAATGCCAACATGTAGCTTCAATTCTTTTGATTTCCTACTTGTATTATAATATTTGTTTGAACTTTTTGAGGTTCCCCTGAGTAGTAAATCCTCACTGACATATTTGGTAGGGTGTTTGGGGGTTTTTTCCCCCTTAAAATAGTGCTACTATATAAATGTAAAGACTTTTTTAGAACAGTTTTACTTCTATGACACTATTTTTGTTTTTCCATTTTATAGTTTAGCCACAATTGCATTAGAGTATTTTGAATTTAGGGCCTCCCTGGTGGTACAGAGGTTAAAGTCTCAGTACTATCAAGCTATTGCCAGCCACTGCAGCACGAGTTCGATCCTCTGGCCAGGGCGCTGACCCACATGTCACAGCAGACCTCTCCTGTCTCACCCATTGCCCCCCCCTCAGCAGTGTATTTCTGTAGATCTGCCTGTTCTGCTCCCCACTCTGTCTCTAGTGAATCCTCTCACCCCCTACATCTGTGGCCTATACCCTACTTCCTGTGTGCATAAATAAATAAAAATACTTAAAACAATTTTTTAATTAAACTCTTCCAAAATATTTCTACATAAAAGACAATTATTTTTTAATCCTTAAATTTCCTTCTGACATAAGGGAAGAAGAGATATCCTTTATCATTATTTTAACAGTTTGATTTGGTGTATCATAATTTATAACTATGCTTTAGATGTTGAGCATCTTTAGGTTATTGATATTGTCAGTGGCCACTTTTGTGTGTAGGCAGATGTTAACTTTATTTAAATTTCCTTTTAGTTGTCTTACTGCTCAATTTTATGTATCCTTCTTTTAGTTGAAGGCTCTTATTACTATATAATTGTTTTTGCTAAGCTTTTTTGCCATGAAATCATTGGGTCATCTCCCTGTTTGGTCTGTTAAATATTTTGGTTCCTCATCCCCATCCTCTGTAAAACAAAAGTTTATTATCCTTTTTTTTTTTTGTCCTCAGTCATAAGAATTTTGTTTTATTTTTATTCTCCTTATTCAGGTGGAGTCTGTTTCTCAGTCACTGGAAAACCATGGTGCCTCGGGTCATCCATCAGAGTTGTTTACCAAATCATCTGGAACATTGAGGCCTGTCAATGGAGTGGTTAACACGTAAGTTATATCTTACTTCTTAAGCTCAGTAGACTTGGTGGGGGCACGGGAGGGGGGAGGACAAGCTTTGCAGCATTAATTATCCCTTGCTAGGACTAACCCTTGTTTAAAGAAGAGAAGCATTATCGCTTACTAATAACTTGCTTCCCTCCTACTGTAGCAGTTATATTTTAATTAGCACACTAATGTATTTCCTTTAAGTTGGTATGGTCTAAAACCAACTCAGCATGAAGATAAGAGGTTATTCAGTTACATGAATAGTTATGATTGGTCCCAGTCTTGGGAGAATTCCTCAGATTTATATAAAATCCTCTAGTCTAGAGCTGATAAGATTTTTTTTTTTAATATTTATTTATGCATGCATACAAGAACTGGGGTACAGGCCAGAGGTGTGGGGTGGGGGTGAGAGGATTCACCAGAGAACAGAGTAAGGAACAGAACAGGCAGACTGACTGAAGTACAGTGCTGAGGGGAGCAGCAGGCGAGTCCAGGAGAGGTCTGCTGCGCCATGTGGGTTGCTCCCTGGCCGGGGATCAAACTTGGGCTGCAATGGCTGTGGAGAGCTTCATAGGTTGTGTCTCAACCCCTTGCGCTACCAGGGAGGCCCTAGAGCTGATTAGATTCTTACAGTTGGTATTTCTAAATACCAGAATTCAAGGAATCCTTCTCAAGTAAGCAGTATGTCCACATCCCTGAAAGTTCATTTTCATAGAATTGATTCTCAGGCAGCTCTTTAACATTTACAGAATTTGTTTTCTTACCTGTTGTAATTTTCTTAATTTTTAAAAATTCATTTTTCTGTTGTAGAAGAGAATTGAATTACTAGAAGCAGCATTCACTTTGACTTTGATGTGATGGGTCTAATGTTCACCAAGAGTCTTACGAATAAGCATAAACACTATACACAAAAATTAGCAGACATGGGCCTCCCCGGTGGCGCAGCAGTTGAGCGCTGGACTTCGAAGCTGCCTGTAGCCTCTGCAGCGCCAGTTTGATCCCTGGCCGCCGGGCGAGGGTCCCACATGGTGTGCAGACCTCTCCTGCTGCCCACTGCTCCCCTCAGCAGTGTACCTTGGTCCTTCTGCCTGTTCTGCTCCCCGCTCTGGCTCTGGTGAATTCTCTCACCCTCCCGCGCTTCTGACTGTACCCAGTGCTTGTATAAATAAATAAATATTTAAAAAAAAAATTAGCAGACATCAGCAACAAGAATGACCTGTTCTGCTCTAGAGTACTGTTTTTTGGGGTTTTTTTTTTTAGATTTATTTATGCATACAAGAGCTGGGGTACAGGCCAGAGATGCGGGGGCAGGGTGAGAGGAATCACCAGAGACAGAGTGGGGTGCAGAACAGGCAGATTGAAATACAATGCTAAGTGGAGCAGCGGAAGAGACAGATGCTGCGCCATGTGGGTTGTTCCCTGACCGCCAGGGATCGAACTCGTGCTGCAGAGGTTGCAGATTGCTTCATAGTGCGGTGCTTAACCCCTTGCGCCACCAGGGAGTCCCTAGAGTACTGTTTTGTATCCATGAATGTGAAGTAGAGGAGGTTAAAGCAGTGCGAGCAGCTTTGCTTCTTTGCCTCGTCTGAGAATATTATTCTTTCCCCTGTGTAGTCTTCAGCCTATTTTGGCAGACCACATTCCAGGTGATGGCTCTGATGCTGAGGAACAGTTACATAAAAAGCAACGACTGAATCTAATTTCATCATCATCTGATGGCACCTGTGTGGCAGCTCGAACTCGGCCTGTCCTGAACTGTAAAAAACGGAGGCTTGTTCGACCCAACAGCATCGTTCCTCTTTCCAAGAAGGTCAGTACCAGTGAGACTTGGTCATTGTTAAATAGTGAGCCAGTTGCTCAGATAGAGATATTATTCTCTTGGCAGCTTTGGTTCGTTTACCTAGTTTTCCAAACTTGGATTGCCACCAAAGTTTCGTGGGGAGCTTTTAAAAATACTAGGTTCCTGGGCCCTGTGTCCTAGAGATTCTGATTTGGTTGCTCTGGAGTTGGACCTGGGAATCTTATTTTCAAAAAAACAGAAACCTCCTAGTTGACTCTTCACCCAGATCTGGAAAGTACTGGCTTGAGATTTTTAATAAGAACAGGGAGTGGAAGTGCTGTCATCAACACTCTGAAGGGGAGTGATGTTCCTTCTTTCTTGTATGTTGTCACTGAAAATGGCAATGTGGAATGCTTTCTTTTGAAGCAAGAATCATCATTAAAATTTCTAAATCGATGTTACTAAACAAATGTTTGTCTTTGCAGAGAAAAGGGGGATTAAATCATGAGCACAGGAAACTCTTGCTGACCCTTCAAAAAGAATTTATCCCTAACTAATAGAAATAATCTAGCAATATTAGAATTAGTACCATGCAGTGGTTAAGACCATTAATTTAAAGGTGATAGGCTTAATTTGGAATCAGACACTGCCACTTAGTATCTTTGTGATTTGCAGCGTGTTAGCACTCCCTTCTCCCCTCAACCCACTCACCCCAAAGCTTGTGGAGATCTCATAGGTTGTAGAAGTAAATGAAATGTGTCTTTCTTACTGCCTTTCTGACCTATAAGTTACTTGTACAAGATAGTTGTTATTAACCATTTTTAATTTTGCTTCACTCATTCAGCAAGTATTTATTGTGCTTGTCAATGAGATAGAGCTGTGCACTGGGCATACAACACTAAACAAAACCATGAAAATCTTTACTCTGACATATTCTAATGGGTGGAGACCAGATAAAGTGAGCAGCATTCTTAAGTACTGGGGAGAAAAATGCAGGAGAGGAAGAGAGTAGGGAAAACAGAGGTCAGAGAAAGGGGTTGTGAATTGATCCTTAAAGCATTCCAAGGCTTAAAGATATGAAATAAAAAGATGAGACTGGGAATGAATGTTTAATGAAATAGAAGGAAATCCTGGAGAGTAGCATATATGGACAAAAGTGTTTCAGAAGGGGAGAAGTGCTTGTGTTAGATACACTAAGAATTGACCTATGGAATCAGCGAGGCCAAGGTTGTTAGAGGCCTTTGTGAGCAGTTTTGTTATAGGGAAACGAAGAGTGAAATTCTGATTAGGGTGGGTTCTGGAGAGAATGGGAGTCATGGCAATGAGGGGACCATTATAGATAATGCTGTCAAAGAACACTTCTTTGGAAAGGAAAGCAGAGAAAAATAGAACGTTTGATTAAGAACTGTTATAATTTTGCCGAGAAAACTGATGGCAAAGGAGTGGGGAAAGGAAGAAATTGCTGGACCCTTAATATTTGCACAGTGAATTTTCAGTGTTTCATTTGTTTCATAATAATATACAATCAGAGTATAACTTTGCCTTCATCTTTTTTAAAGGAAAGTATTGCAAATGAAAATTGACCATTAGTGTATCATTTCTTTTCTCTCTGTTCTTCAGATTGCTGTCTGCTATTTTTATCTGAAGCTGCAAGCCTTCCTTATTGATGTTGACAGCCCCTTATTCTGCTCTGTGCATAAAATCAAAGTTCTCTTGAAGGCACATGGAAAAAAAAAAAAATTAAAGGGCAGTGGAGGCAAAGAAAAACATGTAAACTAAAGACCCTTTGGTTCCAATGTATCTTTGGTTTCAATGCCATCCTGCTATGGAAAATAAGACAAAAGACGTTGAATTTGGGAAACAAACCATTTGCTAGTTAGAGCAGAAATAGCTGGAGTTCTGCCAAAGATGGAAACAAACGGCCATTCTGTATCTTGATTGCTTTCTGTGTCTCCCATGATACTTGCTGTTGAGCAAGCATCTTGCCTTCTATATCATCTTGAGGTGCTGGATTTGTCAGGCATATTTATTCCACAGGTTTTTGTGTGTGCCCCTTATGTTCTTAATATTCTTCAAATACTTGAATTTCATTGATGATCAAAAATCTTTGTCCTCATGGAGCTTATGTTCTAGTGACAGAAGTAGATAATGAAGATAACAGATAAGTCATTTTCTGGGTTTGGTAAATAGCGGTGCATTCATATATATGGTAATAAGGTTTGATTTTTTTCTGAAGTAAAGAAAATTTTTTTTTTTTTTAAGATTTTTTATTTTATTTATTTATTTGTTTGTTTGTTTGTACAAGCACTGGGTACAGTCAGAAGCGCGGGAGGGTGAGAGAATTCACCAGAGCCAGAGCGGGGAGCAGAGCAGGCAGAAGGACCGAAGTACACTGCTGAGGGGAGCAGCGGGCGGCAGGAGAGGTCTGCGCGCCATGTGGAACCCTCCTCTGGTGGCCGGGGAGCAGCCGGGGATCGAACCTGCGCCGCAGAGGCCGCGGGCAGCTTCGCAACCCAGCGCTCTGAACTGCTGCGCCACCGGGGAGGCCCAAAGTAAAGAAAATCTTAATAAAGAGAACTGTGTGTTTCTAGATTATTCAGATTACCTTTTTCCCTATCCCAAGAAAGGTGGGTGCTGGTATATTTGCCAGAATATAGTACATAAAAAACAAATAATTAATATCACTAGTAATGACTTACCTACATTTTAAGTTATTTTACTGTATTTCAGATTCAACTCTAAAATTTACTTTAGGGAAATTTTAAATTACTGTGTTTTAAGGGGCTGTCATCTTAGTTGAATCACGGAATTTTATTACATCTAGTCTTAACGGCATTTCTGAGATTAGGCTATATCTTACAATTGAAATGTACTTTTATAGTAGTGACACACGTCTTTTTGCCCCTAAAGACTGTTTTTATGTCATTGGTATTTTAAAATCAGTGACTATACCAAAGATTTTAGTAAGATAAACATACTGCAAATAAATGGGAGTGGGACCCAACAGTAAATACGAAGCAGTTTTTAATGCCCAGACTCTTGATTTGGGATTTCTAAATTTTAGAATTTTGATCTGTGAAGCATCATGGCTATTTTTTGAAGACAGGTGTGGTAGTTTATGTTTGGAGTGGATTGGTATTAAAGAGACGGGAGGCATAATGTAATAATATGGAGGAAGGAAGTGACAGCCTAAAGTCTCTAAAGCTCTGAAAGCTACAATAGAATTTAAAAGTAGTCCCAAGGGCATAGTGGGTGAATATCAGAGTTGGGAGGCCAGACAGCCTTGAGACTGGGGGAGAACTTGGGGTACTTTCCTATATCATGGTTTCATTGTCATATTAGAACAGATCATTACAAGTTACCTATATTGCTATTTGTCTTGTATTTTTATCACTTTCAGGGTCTAACACAGTAGATGTTAATAATTAAGCCAGTAAATAAACATGCAAAGAGAACATTTTTATAACTTTTGTTTCCCATCTTCCTGCTTCCATGTGGTGCAAATTGATAATGGCCTAAAACATTAGTTTATAGATACTGAGATTTCAGATCAATAACATTTTTTTTTTTAATTTTTTTTTTAAATTTATTTATACAAGAGCGCCGGGGTTCAGGCCAGATGCTCGGGAGGGTGAGAGGATTCACCAGAGACAGAGCGGGGAAACAGAAGAGCCAGACTGATGAAATACACTGCTGAGGGGAGCAGCGGGCGAGACAGGAGAGGTCTGCTCGCCATGTGGGTTGCTCCGAGGCCAGCGGGGATTGAACCAGCACTGCAGAGGCTGTGGACAGCTTCACAGTGCTGGGCTCAACCACCTGCGCCACCAGGGTGGCCCCCAGATCAATAAAATTTTTAAATAAATTCAGGACTAATACAGGGTTGCCTTTTATGCCATAATTTTATAAATTAAATCTTAGTATAGTTGGTGTTTTAAAAAGAAATAACATACCTTGAAATTTTTGGATTGGCCTTATTTCTATTCTAAGTTTTTAAAAAACAATGTTTCTTATCAGATATTTTAGTAGTGTTCTGACATGATTTATAGTCTGTGTTGGAGTATAATTGTTAAGAAGGATAGCCTTGGGTTAAATTTTAAGGTTAACATCTACAGAATTCCCAGTAGTCCTCCACTTCTTACCCTTGTATCACACACGAGGAGGGATGACCATTTACGTATAGGACATTCTCTTACTGTCTGGTGTTGACAACATTTGTGGTTGAGAACAAAAGAAATAAGATGATTACAAGTCAGTATTGAAAGTGAATAATTTAATATCAAATGGGTTATCTTCTTTATTGAGGGCTCTTGTGATAGAATTGAGGACCTCACTTTTCAATAAGAATGAACCTTTTGGGAAGAAGCCAGTTGTGACGTGGAAAATTGTCGTTCTTTATTGATTAAAGTTACTGGAGTACTCAGATACCACCCACTGCTCAGTACAATAACTCTAAGCTCTAATGAGTTTTCAGTGTATTATATTTATTTTATAGCATGTAAAATAAAATTTGAAAGGCTGAGGTAAAATACATTTTGAAAGGCTAAGATAAATAGAAATAGATCTAATGCTTAGATAAACTGTCCTACAGCCAAGAATTTTTTAATGCTTTGAGCTAACATTCTGTAACATTCTGACTAATAAGTTACTAGTACAAAATAGTTGCTATTAAGCATTTTTAATTTTGCTTCACTCATTGGGCAAGTATTTATTGTGCTTGTACAATGAGTTAGATCTATGCACTGGGAATACAACACTAAACAAAACCGTGAAAATCTTTGTTATAGCCTTAAAGATATGAAATAAAAAGCAGAGACTGGGAATGAATGTTTAATGAAATAGAAGGAAATCCTAGAGAGTAGCATATGTGGACAAAAGTGTTTCAGAAGGGGAGAAATGATTGTGTTAGATACACTAAGAATTGACCTATGGAATCAGCAAGGTCAAGGTGGTTGGAACAAAGAATTATAAATAGTGCCTTACTTTGATACTGAAATTCCTTCAGAGAGAATTAATACAATTGCAGTATTAAGAGACCATAGGATTTCTCCATGTATCCAAGTATTTTATCTTTTCAGTTCAGTTCTTGAAATTTCCTGCATTCTTGATATTTTTGTAAAGTGATTAAGGTTGATATTTAGATGTTTATTTTGTAATTGAAGACTTCTGAACTCTTAATAGTGCTTTGATTTTTAATTTTCTGGGTAGGTTATCCGTCATCAAACAATTTGACAATTCTTTTATACACTTAGGGTCCTTTTCCGTGCACTTTCAGAACAGAGTTGAGAAAGCATTTATCTCAAAGAGAGGGAATCTCATTCCTGGTTTTAGTGGCAATACTTTTAGAAGTTCACCATTACTTTTAATATAGGATAATTTTTTTAAATGAATACAGAACATTGTCATTCACTATTTTCTGGAAAAGTTTAAAAAGATTGCTGAGGAAGTGTGAATTTCTTTAAAATTTACTTGAACTTAAGATAAAAAATCTGAGACCAGCTTCTACGTTACAGGAATTTTTCTTGTCTCTGATATTTTCAGATTTACTCATACAGAATTTTACAGAAACATTCTTAATTTTAAAATCCCTAAATCTGTGGTTCCATTCATTTCTTAGTCTGAATTATATTTATCTTCTTTTTCTTGATTAATCTCGTCATAGTTTTGCCATTTCATTGGTCATTTCAAAAGATAAGTTTTTGCTATTAATTCTTCTTGTCATTTTGCCCCTGCAGTGCCTTTTATTCATATGCTTAATTTATTTTTATTTCTTACATATTTTTTCAAGCATTTGACTTTAAATTTTCTTGGATGGCGTTCCACAGCCTCTGGTGTGTGTCTCTCTGCACGGTGCTTTTCAGTTGTTTTCCCAACAGACAAACATTAAGTTTCCAAGTTCTAACTGTGGTTTGCTTCTCCTTTTATATTTTTATTATTAATTACTAATTTTATAGCATTTTTGTCAAAGCAGTGTTTCTGTGGTTTCCTCTTACATTTGTGGTCTATTCTGTAAATACATCATTTTAGTGATTTATGACTTCTGTCTCCATGGGTTGTTTTGCTTTGCATTGTACTTTTCTTGATATCAGTGTTACAGTATATGCATTTTCCTCATCCATTTACTTTCAGCATTTTGTTTTCTGTAAGTTTTTTTTAAACATTAAAGGTTTTTTTTTACATAAAAAAACCTAAAACATAAAAAGGTTTAGATTTTTTCCTTTAACTTCCTAAAAATCTTTGATTCTAAAATATGGTATATATTCAGTTTTGAAACTAGACTTAAAGACCTACTTAGATTTAATTTTGATTATAATGTTTTGTTTACTTATAGTCACTTTTTATACCTTTATATGCCTTTCTTAATTTGGATTTCTAATTCTTCAGTGATTTTTTTTTTTAACATTTATTTATGCATACAAGAGCTGGGGTACAGGCCAGAGGTGTGGGGACGGGTGGGTAAGAGGATTCACCAGAGACAGAGTGCGGAACAGAACAGGCAGACGGACTGAAAGCACTGCTGAGGGGGAGGAGCAGGCGACAAGAGAGGTCATGTGAGCGTCTCCCTGGTCGGCTGGAAATCGAACCAGCACTGCAGCGGCTGCGGACAGCTTCACAGTGCAGTGCGCTACCAGCTGCGCCACCGGGGAAGCCCTTTTTTATTTATTTTTTTTAAAGATTTTTATTTATTTATGCGTACAAGAACTGGGGTGTAGGCCATAGGTGTGGAGGGGTGAGAGGATTCACCAGAGACAGAGTGGGGAGCAGAACAGGCACACACTGAAATACACTGCTGAGGGGAGCAGCGGGCTAGACAGGAGAGGTCTTCTGCGCCATCTGGGTCATCTCCCTGCCTGGGAATCGAACTTTTGCTTCATTTGCTGGTGATAGCTTTGATAGTGCTGAGACTTAAACCCTGCGCCGCCAGGGAGACCCTCATTCATTTTTTAAATTATTATTAGTTGAGGTAACATTAAAATCCTTTATCAGATATCACCACTGTAGTGTACCCATCACCAACCAAATCACCCATAATCCATTGTAACTCCTTCCCTCTTTGTTCTTACCCATCTCCTACCCCCTCTTCTCCACTCTTGGTATTTGTCACCAAAAAATTTAGTGACTGCCTGTGTTAGTTTCCTGTCACAGTTCTGGAGAGTCTTAAGTATAAAATCAAAGTATCAGCCCTTGCTGTCTCTTAAGGAGAATCCTTTCTTGACATGTCATGCTTTCAGTGGTTGCTAGCAATACTGAGCATTCCTTGCCTTGTAGCAGCATACTTCCTAGCTCTGCCTTCTTTTCACCTGATCTTGATCTCTAGTAATCTTGTGCTTCTGAGTCTTCACATGGTCTTCTTACAAGGATTACTAGTCATTGGATTTAAGGCTAATTGTAATCAATGTTTCTTAATGTTAAGCTAGTTGCCATTGTAGCCTAAGCTAACACCTCTATTATGTTGCATAACTATCTTTCCCTTTTTTGTGGTGAGAATGATTAAGATCTAGGCTCTTGTATCTTTGATGTTATTTTTAATAAGGTAGTATTGTCTGCAATCACTATACTGTGCACTAGATCTCCAGGACTTAGGTACCTACTAGAAGTTTTGTTCCCTTAAACAGTATCTCTCATTTCCCCATACCCTCATTTCTATTTGGTTTTTTATTCATATATTACAGGATGACTGGTTAGATAAATTGAAGTTCATGATTATTCTTTGTCATCATCATTCCTTTCATCATGTTTCCCTCTTGATCTCTAGTAATCTTTTGCTTTCAATACCCTCAGTGAGTACTCGCTAGAGATCTTTTTCCATCTCTTATTTCCTATCAGTTTGTAAGAGATTAAATTCCCATTTACATTTACTCTGTTTGGAATTATTTCTCCTGTAACATTTTCTCAAGCCTAGCCTTTTCTGCCTCTTTTGGATTAGTTGAATATTCTTTATATTTCTTACTGCCTTGGGAACAATAAGACTTCAGAATACCTCTTTTAAAACTCTGGTCTTTACTTTCTTCTAAATCCTTCCCAAATTAGCCATTATTTTAAGTTCTTTATTTTTTTTTTTCCCCCAAAGATTTTTTTTATTTATTTATACAAGCACTGGGTACAGAAGTGCGGGAGGGTGAGAGAATTCACCAGAGCCAGAGGAGAGAGCAGAACAGGCAGACAGATGAAGTACACTGCTGAGGGGAGCAGCGGGCAGCAGGAGAAGTCTGCACGCCATGTGGGACCCTCGCCGCCGGCCGGGGATCGAACCGGTGCTGCAGAGGCTGCAGACAGCTTCACAACCCAGCGCTCAACCGCTGTGCCACCGGGGAAGCCCTATTTTAAGTTCTTACATATTGGCATTTACCAAGCCTTTGCCATTCTTGCTCACAATTGCTTCACATTCCACGTTATCCTTCTTGCTTATCACATTTTTTATAAAGATTTATTTATGCATACAAGAACTGGGATCAGTGGTATGGGGGGTGAGAGGAGCATTCACCTGAGACAGAGTGGGGAACAGAACAGGCAGATCTACTGAAATACACTGCTGAGGGGAGCAGCAGGTGAGATAGGAGAGGTCTGCTGCACCATGTGAGTAGTTCCCTGGCTGGGGATCAAACTTGTGCTGCAGTGGCTGTGGACAGCTTCATAGTGATGCGTCCTAACCCCTTGTGCCACCAGGGAAGCCCCGCTTATCACATATTTTAGAACCTTCCAACAGATCTATGAGTTATAAAGTCAATCTTTTATATATATGAAAAACATACAGAGTTAATATTGTATGTGTATATACATATGTGCATTTTAAAATACATATATATTGACTTTATTTTTGAGTATTGTAAAGCTTTATATTTAGCGCTTTGAAAATATTGCTGTCTTACATTGTTAGTGAAAATTCTGATGTCAAGTTGTCATTCTCTTACAGGTTATCTGAATCTTGTCTTTGGTAATTTAAGTCCCCCATCCCTATTTTTGGTTTTGTTTTAATGTTTTGCAATATCAAGTATTTAGATAAGTGAATTTGTTTAAAGTTTCTCCTCTTTTATATGAAATGTCCGCTATTGTGGACCTTCTCATTCTCTTCTCGCCTCTTATTTTTATACTTTCCAATTCCACCTCTTTGTCCTCTTATGCTTTATCTTCCTTGCTATTTGTACAAATAAATGTGAAGCAGAATCTGTCAAGAGAAATGAATCTTTACCCACCAACATTTTCCAATTAAAATCTCATTCTGAAATTATGAATAGATGTGGTAGATGTTTTCAAGTGTCCTAAAGTAAATATGAACTATGGAGACTATTTGCAACATAATTTTCTATTCCATTCGATTTTCAAATATAGTCTTTTTTCTTTTTTTTTTTTTTTTTTAGGGTTTTATTTAATTTTTTTAAGATTTATTTATTTATTTATTTGTACAAGCACTGGGGGGGGGGGTGAGAGAATTCACCAGAGTCAGAGCGAAGAGCAGAGCAGGCAGACTGACAAAGTACACTGCTGAGGGGAGCAGCAGGCGGCAGGAGAGGTCTGCGCGCCATGTGGGACCCTCACCCAGCGGCCAGGGATCGAACTGGCGCTGCAGAGGCTACGGGCAGCTTCGCAACCCAGTGCAATGTTTACTAGAAAATTAACTAGTAAAAGTCTAGGTTTTTATCAGATAATGAAGTGTCGGTTTTTCCTGACTTTTCATAGGTTCACCGAAACAACAACATGCGCTCTGGCTGTGATGTGAATCCCTCCTGTGCACTGTGTGGCTCAGGTAGCACCAACACCATGCCTCCAGAAATCCACTATGAAGCCCCTCTATTGGAACGTCTCTCTCAGCTGGATTCTTGTGTTCACCCGGTTCTAGCATTTCCAGATGGTAAGAAAGGCCACAGAATATGAGGTTTTAATAAACTGAGAATTAAGAGTTCAAAGGGAAAGATAGTCGAGATCCTATTACAACCTAGGTACTATGAAGGTATCACTTTGCCACAGCAAAGTCTAACCTTTGAAATTTGCCTACAGTACATAGATCCACCAGACCAGATTTCCCCCTCACCAGGTGGCTAGGTAAAGCCCAGGGATAGTTACCTCCAGCCATAAACAACCTGGGCCATTACATTCTCGGTATGTCTTTTAAAATGTGGTAAGGGTGGGCATTACTGCTCTGGGAAAATGTCTTCTTATTAGGGGGAACATATTACTGTGGTTTGGTGACTGCTTTCCATGGTAGAGAGCTATAGCTAAGCAAAATAGCATTTACTTATTTCTAAAGTTCATCTACCTGGTAAGTCTCTGTGCCTGCCAGTTTTTCTGTTTCACCTTCCTTTTGATAATTACTCTTCCATTCACAATATGAAGTCATTTTTTCCCACATTGAATACTACTGTGGATCCTCCTAAACACACTACAGATTAATTTAGGCAGTGGGAGGCTAAACAAAGGGACCCATTTCCAACAGTTTATGACTCCTAAAGGTGAGTCCTGTGAAAGCTCAGTAAGAAAGATTTTTGGAAGGAAAAAAAACAAACAAACATGGAGATATCTTATTTTGTTTCGAATATAACTTTATAGCAAGATTCTGAGTTTTGTCATTTTAAAATATGTATTTAAGATAATTAAAAACAAGTTAAATTTTACTGTAAAGTTTGATTGATTAAAATACTTCACTTAAGCTAAACATCCTTACATGCAGGATATTGGCATGTCAAATATTTTTAAAAGTATATTTACTATTCTAGAAAATGCAACATCCACAACTATAGGAGTTTGTAATTTTTTTTTACACAATTCAATTTCAAATGTGGGGTGCAAAAAATGTTGAAACCACTGCTCTGGATATACACTAAAAGGAAGCCAGTGCTTTCATAATCTGGCCCCAACTTGCAAACTGAGCATTTCCTCTCAAATCACTGTGGCATTTTATCTGCACGTTATGGCTATTGATGGATGTATTTTCTTTCCATTACTTAAATTTTATGCTTCCTGAGAAGGGACTGTGTTTTTCTTTCTGCTCTGTCCTTCCTAACACTTTGATAGTCTTTTCCAAGTTTTTGAAGGGATTACTGAAATAGAAGTATGAGGAATGAGAATTATGTGTGGGATACAAGATTTACTTGGTGGTATGGGGGGAAAAAAAGTTTTTTAGCCTGGTAGGTGTATAAACTTTAAAGGGCCTAGCCTAAGTAATTTAGAGTCTGCTGACCAAACTATGTTTAGTCTATTTTGCAACTGCTCAACTCTATTATAGTACATAAGCAGCCACAAATGATATGTCCAGTAAAATTTTATTGCTGATATCTATCCTAGAGAATCTTCTCTTGTAATTGTCAGTTGATCAAATGCTGGATGGCAGTAATCCCCTCTTCATCTGTTCTTCACATCACTGAATTCTTTCTTAGTCACCTAAACCCTATTCATGCCTTATTACCAGAACTTCCTTCACTGCAAGAAAAGACATTATTTTATAATCTGGCCACATTACTTCTAGTAAAAGTAGAAAAACTGAGAAAATTTGGAGTATATGGGTAGCAAGCTGGTAAGGAGCAAGGGTTAGATCAGGAGTGGTGGAACAGTATATAAGCTTTAGGATATAAGTGGAAAACAGTCCTTTCTTTGTACCTTCTCTTGCCATTTGGATTCTAACTCCTATCACTGAAGATACTTATATAACCATAATTTTATGATTACATATGATTACATTTTCTCCTACTTGTCTCATTTGCTTAGTAATCTTGTAAATTGTTACTTCCATTTTACAGATCAAGAAATAGGCCTAGATAAATTGTGGTTTATCTCAGGCTAATGAGTTTGGATGGCTCTAGAATTCAAATCCAGGTCATTTGTTGCCTTTTGTTTCACTATGTTTACCATTTTCCTTTTAACCAAATTATTACAAGAAGTCCGGTTTCTACCCATCTCCAGACCCAACCTACATGTGGAGCCATTCGGAAGTCTTGGAAATATTTCTTAGTTTACTCTTATGATTACAGTTTTGCATTATATGGTCTTATTTGAAGAAGGACCAAAATAGAAACCTGAAGCCTATAGTTGTATTCTGATTAGGCCTCTCCCATACTCACTATCATCTAGTAAATATCGTGATCATTCCTTTGTCAAAAGTATTACCATGCACATTTGTAATTTCCAGCCATATGTGCCCAACCTCTCTGTCTGACGTCTTTGCTAGGCAGTACCATTCCATAGTAACACTTCCTGTTCTTTTGACTGCATCATATCTGCCGATGTGACACTGTCCTTGCATTTCCCCACTCCATCCCATTCCAAGTAACTATAGGTAACAGTGATGGGGAAAGAAGAATCCCTTTCTCTGATCTATCTTAATTTTTGTGTCTTGCTCTAAATATTGTTCTTCTCTTCCACTTCCCTGTCCTTCCTCCTCCTCTGCCCCTCCTCATACCTTCTAATCATGACAGTGGAGTTTGGATGAAAGATTTGGTTGTTAAATTTTCCTTGTGAGGCTGTGAGGGGAACCTGTCTATATTTCACTCTACCAAGTAGGGTCTCTGAACTTAACTTGCTCATGGATAAATTATAATTCTGTGGGTTAACCTGGAAATCTAATCACTGTTCCTGGGGTAATATTGCTTTGATTCACCTAACTGCCACATTCACTCTGCAGTCTGTTTGTAAACTGAAAGAATGCCAGGGTCACACATACTCAACTCCAAAGGGCACCACTCTCTGTGAATAGTGCCTGTCTCCTAAAGTATTGAGATTCTCCTGTATGTTGTTGTGTAGGGTAGTAATCAACAGTGAAGTCTAGCAGCCAGCATAAAAAACAACATATGGACCAGACATTCATGCACTGGACCTGACCTATGGAGTTACCCTTTTGTAACCTCTTCTCTAGAGGAGAAAGATGCAGAATTTCCATCTTTCCAGTCTATATGTATATGACTCATTCTTTAATTTTTTGGGGTGGTTGCATTTATAACAATCCCCGATATAAAAATGATTCCTTTGAATTACTAATCTCTATTCAGTATCAGGTTCCGTCCACATTTAGAATTGTTTAAATGTGATAGTTGTTGTCTGGTGTCATGACACAGTTTTTAAGTAGTTTAATGTTTTTTCACCATTTTATGTAGATTGTTAGGATGGAAACCAGCTGTAACTCTTAGTCCTAGAATTCTTTCTTCTATTTTGAACACACTTTAGCTGCTCCAATTAAGAGTGGCTAGTGATGGTAGAATTTGAGGGACTGTATGCCTGACTGGAATGTTTAGGCATTAGGATGTGATAACCATTTAGTGCTCTAGAAGGAGGGACTTGTTTACTTATAACTTCACTTAATCAAGCCAGTTAATTCTTAGCTGGAAATGTAGAGGATATAAACCTTAGGGGAAGAACTGTGAATTCAGGTTTCACCTGCATAAGAGCACCACCTACTGGCCATGAAGATCTATGCTGTTTTGAGAGAACATGTTAAGACAATTGTCTGTGTATATGAAACTATCACAGCTTACCAGCAGGAGGAAGAATTGAGCATTACAAAACACCCAAGAAGTGTGCTTGAGGAGAAAATGGTGGAAAGTAATGGGCAGAACAGTTGAGTGAATCATGAAATGTCATGGGCCTGAAGTCCAGGTCTCTTCTTTTTGTTTGAAGAAATAGTAACTTGAGGAAGTAGTGATCACTTCCATTTTCCTCTTATTTACTTGATCAAGATTTTGCATCCTTTTCTGATAATAACATTTGAACTTCATTGCTTGGGCCACATAGACAGTGTGTGAAGTCTTCTGGCCAAATAGGTGTCTGTAAGCTTAGTGCAAATTCTAGTACCCTCTATCCCTGGAATGATTTGTATTCAGCGAGTTTATAGGGGAAATTGCTCTTGATCCTGCCTTACCTCCAGGATATAAGGTGGTGTTTTACAGTTGTTCCAGTTTCCATTTCAGAGCATTTAAATGAGAGGAAGGGGGATTGGAAGTGGGATTCTAGTTGAAGAGTCATTGATTCACATTTTATAGTTGAGGAACTCACCAGTCATCTAGTCTAGCAAAAAACAAATAGATATCCTTTCTTGGGCTTACTCGAATTAATAGTCGTTGATTGATTTCAATTAAATTTTGAGAAGAACCAGAGGTCTGGTGTACAATAGGAAAGAGTATTGTGTTCGCTTGGCCTATGTCTTCCACAGGCAGAGGAGTGCCGCGCTAAAGCCTGTGTGCCAGGCTGCTACCAGCCATGACCTAGTTCTGCTGCCTCTTTTTACACATGAAGAAAATAAAACCAGGCAGAGTGATTTGTTCTGGGTTTTTCCTCCAATTCAGTGAGGGAGCCAGGGCCCAAATGCAAACCTATTTATTTCTAGTTTGTTGCTGTTTTCACTATAACCAGGTCTTCTGATGTCCCTATCTCCGTTCTCCTTGGCTTAATTTTCAGGTTTGGGAGAGGAGTGACTGGCAAAATTAAGTCACTTGCTTTTGTAGTCTCATTACATATATATTCAGCCTTTGCCAAGTAGGAGTAACTCTTCTGCTGAGAAAAGGGTGGCCTTGCTGTAGTGCAGTGTTCTCACTTTCCTTCAACCTTTTACACAGCTCAGGCTGGGTTTCAGAATGCCCCTAGACAGCACTTTATTTCCTATACACCATTTTCTCCTATCACTCTGAATTGGAGCTAAGAATTTTTATCAGTACATTAAATGCAGTTCTTTATTATTGATTAATCAGAAAATAAGTATAGAATTTTATTACTGTTTTTTCAAATTTGTTTTGCTGCCCTAAAGGCAACAAACTTGATCTTTAAAATATTGAGAAGTTTTCCTTTATAGAAAAGTGTAAGTTATTTGGACCTCCCTGGTGGCACAGGCAGTTGCAGCCTCTGCAGCGTGGGTTCTATCCCGGCCAGCCGGCGATAATCCTAAATGGCGCGGCAGACCTCTCTTGTCTTGCCCACTGCTCCCCTCAGCAATGTGTTTTTTTGCCAGTCTGCCTGTTCTGTTCCCCGTTCTGTCTCTGGTGAATCCTCTCACCCTCCCACACATCTGGCCTGTACCCCAGTTCTTGTATAAATAAATAAATCTTTAAAAAAAAAATGGGGGAAAAATAAAGGTAGATCGTGGTAAGGTTTTTTTTTTTTTTTTTTAAAGAAAAGAGTAAATTGTTTCACATTACAGAATTCACTTGAAATATATCCTTGAATTTCCAGTTCCAGGAAGTAACTTGAGAATATTAGTCAGAGTCCACCTCAGAGTTAAACTTCTCCATTCTCTGAGCCAAAGAATAATTTCATGGCTAGGAGTAAGGACTGTTGGACCTCAGGGTTATAGAAATCTGTGTGTGTGAATGTTGGTTGTTAACTCAGTTAACCTCGGACAGTTAATTCCTCTCTCTGAACCTGTTTTCTATCTTTAAAAGCATACTGATGCTTACTTACAGCATGGGATTATTAAAATAATTAAGTGATACGCACATGGTTATGAATACACACAATGTCTGCCACGTATTGAAGGGGTCAGTAAATGTTCAGTAGTCCTGTCTTCTCTGCCCTCCGCCTGCCTATTTCTAACGGGTGGTGCTTCTCTACTTTCCTGGGACACCAAGTCCCATAAATGTTTAAAAAATATATTAATTAGAATAAATCTCAAAGTTCTAATAAAAGAAGGCATGCTGTCATTGACAACAATTTGGAGTGATTTTTAAAAGATGGAAAACAGGATAGGAGTAAACTGGGGCAGAAGCTATATTGGGAGGTTCTTCACCTACGATTAGAACGGACACAAAGAAGTAAGGATGTGACCTGGGCATTTATTTGGGTGATAAATTTGGGCTCTTTTGGAATAGCTAGGTTGGGTTTTTTTCCCCTCATGCCTATCCCACCGGTACCTGCTTCTATCAAGTAGTGTTTTTTATCGAGGATGGATATATGGATTCTGGGGCTAGAACTTTTGAGTGTGTCCCAGAATGGCTGATGATGTGCTGGTCTTAAGATTAAAAGGACCCTGGAAAACTTTTTATACCCTGCAAAAGACCGCCTCTAGAACTTTTAGCTGGAGTGAGAGGAAACACACAGTGATCTATTTTCAGATGACATAGTTGTGTGTGTAGAAGATTGTAAAGAGTTTATAGCAACCAGAAATAGAAAGCTTATTAGTAATGAGTTTTAGCAAGATCATAGGAATACAAGGTCAGTATATTAAAAATTAGTTGTATTTATATATACTAGCACTGAATAATTAAAAGTTGAATTTTTTAAGTTCTGTCATTTATAATAGCATAATAGCATCAGAAACCATGTAATACCTAAGAATAACCCTGAAGTATGTATAACTGTGCAATGAAACTGCCAGATACTGCTGAGAGAAAATTAAAACCTGAATAAATAGAACACACACACAAATTGAAATACTGTGTCTTGATTATACTTCTCCCCAAATTGACTAATAGTCATCTTTTTTTTAACACAAGAAGCATGGGGGGGCAGGGGCAAAGCTTAAAAAAAGGAAACATATTATCTACCTACAAGTGAGTAAGAACCAGATTCTTTCTTATCTGCAACACTGGATGTTAAAATACAATGGAATAATGGCCTCAAGGGTCTGAGAAAAATGGTTTTACACTATAAAAATGGTTTTATACTTTTTTCTAAAGAAGTACTCAAAATCATAGTCTTCGGAAAATAAAAAATGAATCTAAGAAAATAGACAAGGAATAATAGGAGGGAACCAGAAGTAAAAATTTTAAGTAAGCCTAAAAGATTAATTTGTGCTATTCAACATTTACTTACCAGCAAAGAAAATCTAGATAATGTCAAGATGGGCGGTGATGGAGCTATTGTGAAATGAGGGCATATGAAATCATTTTTATTTGGGGGAAGATGGTGGTGTACTCACTACAATGCGGGTACATAGATACAATCAGATACATGTAAATATTTGCTGAATGAAGATGTCCTGTTAACTATTGATAGAATTGTAGGTCTAACTATTTTAAAGTCTGTAGAAAAATGGAGACAAAGTTTTTGTTCTTAGTATTTTTAAGCCTTTTTTTTTTTTTTTAAGTTGCAGATGTACATTATGTACAGCTTAAAGCTGAAAGATCATTAAGCTTAAAGCTAAAAGATCATTTCTATCCTTACCCGTACTGTTATGACCTTTGAACCTATTTATTCATCCCCTTTGCCCCTTCTGATAACTACCAGTTGGTCTACCATCCAAAAGTTTTGTTTTTGGTTTATTTAGTTCCTCTATTGGCTTTCTTTATATGTCACATTTGAGTGAAATCATGTAGCATCTGTCTTTGTCTTACTTTACCAAACATAATTCCCTCTTGATCCATCCATGTTACTGCAAATGGCAGGATTTCAGTCTTTTTGTAGCTGAAGAGTACTCCATTGTTTATATGTACTGTATCATCTTTATCTAGTCATCTGTCATAGGTTGTTTTCCATTCCTGGCTATTGAGAATTGTGCTACAATAAACATGAGGTTGCATGTATCTCTTCAAATTGGTGCTTACGTATTTTTTTGGTATATGCCCACATGTGGGACAACTGGATTATAAGGCATCTCCACACTGCTTTCAATATTTACATTCCCACCAACAGTGTACAGGAGTTCCCTTCTCTCTGCATTCTCTTAGACACTTATTTGAGAAACAAGATGTTTCTCAATCATCCAATTCAATAAAGTTAACAAACTTACTGGAACATGCAAAGAATACTTGATCTAGCAAAAAAGTGTGTTGGATGTACTTTTTATTTAACGTCTGAAATAAAAAGGAAAAATGACTTGTGAATAGCCTTCAATAAGTTTTAGACAAGCTGATCTTCCATGTGACAGTACTTGCCCTTCTGGATTATCATGCCACTATGCAAAGCAAAGAAGCGTGTCATGCAGTACTTACCCACTGGAGAGTTAGAGATACTGGTGAGCCCACCTCGCTTTGTGAGAGCGGAGCCCAGAGGCCAGGTGTCTGGACTAACCTGCAGTTTTTTGTGTTTTTTCACAGATGTTCCCACAAGCCTGCACTTCCAGAGCATGCTGAAATCTCAGTGGCAGAACAAGCCTTTTGACAAAATCAAACCTCCCAAAAAGTTTTCACTTAAGCACAGAGCACCCATGCCAGGCAGTCTGCCAGATCCAACTCGTAGTAAAGACAGGCACAAGCTGGTCAGCTCCTTCCTCACAACAGCCAGTAAGTTCCAAGGGACTAGAGAATTCAGCAGTTATTTTTCTATTCCTTTTGTGTTCCTGTTAAGATTTTACTGTGGCATTACATCAGGGTTGGGAGAAAAAAATGAAGTAAATTCAACTTGCAGTCCACGTCTTCTGCTTGTCTTGGGTGCTCTCAGATGCACTCTGAAAACCATCACAGACAGCATGGTCTTGGGGCACGACTCAGTGAATGGTTAACAGCTGACTGTGGCATGGCATGGTCCATCTCTGGGGCAAACTGTGTAGGCCAGTGTCACATTTCTCTGTTGAGGGCTCTGTGGGCTCCCTATGCCTATCGTGGCCATTGTGCTATTTGCTAGAAGGTTTAGTCCCAGAGGACTGTCTTGCTGCCATGGGTGTCTATCATTGGCCTAGAGATCACTCAAGATCTTGGAACTCATACATAAGGAAAGATTGAGAAAAGGTATTTCACAGCTCTTTTTCTGTTCCCCTCTTCAGAGCTGTCCCATCACCAAACGCGGCCTGACAGGACCCACAGGCAGCACTTAGACGATGTGGGGGCCGTGCCTATGGTGGAGCGAGTGACAGCGCCAAAAGCAGAGCGCTTGCTCAACCCACCGCCACCTGTGCATGACCCAAACCACAGCAAAATGAGATTGCGAGACCATTCATCTGAGAGAAGTGAAGGTAGGGCCAGGCCCGGCACCTCTACCTGCATTTGCAACTGCTCAGAGCTCTCTGGGGCAGCCTAGGCTTTTCTTAATTGCCCCAGCTTTATCCTTCACTTTCTAGGGAGGCCGAGTAGAGGGACCTATGGCTTCTAAATGCAGGCCACTTCTTACTGCTGCAGCAACCTCTGCCCAGCCCCCTACCTGCCGTCAACCAGTTTGCTTTACCTTTTTATCCTCTAGGCTTAAAAAGCATTTTTGCCTTTACTGTGAATTGTTGGCGTTCCTCGCTCGTGCTAGAAGTAGAGCTAGTTGATGTAGCCACATATTCTTTTCTGTTGATTTCTGCAGTGTTGAAGCATCATACAGATATGAGCAGTTCGAGCTACTTGGCAGCTGCCCACCATCCACCACACAGTCCCTTGGTGCGACAGCTCTCCACCTCATCAGACACCTCGGCACCCACCAGCTCTAGCTCACAGGTTACCGCCAGCACGTCTGTAAGTACCTGCATGGAGTTGGCCAGATAACCCCTCTGCAGTTAAGGCTTTCTCAGGTAGCTCTGGAGGGCAGTGTAGAATGGACGGTAAGGCCCAGGACAGTCAATAGGGACTCAGTTCACCATGTCATATGTGTCATTTTTAAGTCCAAGTTTTTCTTGAGTTGTTTTTCACAGTAGACATGGATCTGTACTGAACTATCCATAGAAAGTTTGCAGAGGCAAACACTTAATCCTGTTGCTCTAACATGAGAGGAGGGATAGAGGACAGAGAATTGTGCGCAAAAGAGAGACTTGATTTCTTGTGGTGAGTGGTGCTGGAATACTGAAATTAAACACTGGGTGTTAAGGAGCCTGGAAGGGAAGGAAGAAGGCTAGAGCACAAGCTTTTAGGTATGCAGAGCAGAATTACAGATGCAGCAGTCCACCCCGCCATTACTTACATATGCGTGCACTCATAGTGGCGGGCTCTCTGACCCCTATCAGCTTTTACAGTACCACACTGCCTGCAGAAAACTGTGTGCACGGCCATTTCAGACACCCCCGTTAATTTCATTCTAATATTTTAACTCCTCAATGAAACAAACTTTCTTGACCATATACCTTTAGCTGCTGTATGCCCACCAGAAGGTCCTTTGTGTATTAGTTATAATAGTAATAATAAAATACTGCAACTGTTAAGTTTATTGTCAGTATTTTCTCATTCATCACCATAGTGCCTTTTGAGGTAGAGGCAGTATTTAGGATTCCCATTTTGTAAGCAGGGAAACTGAGTTTTCAAGATTTTTGTATCAGGCAAGTAAACTTGTGAGCGCTGTGATTATGATTCAAACCTCGGGAGTATGGCTGCAGAGCCTGCTCTCCTAGCCATTACACTGCCCGGTGAGCCTTTGGTGGGGCATTGCAGAGGAGATTTGTGCAAATGCTTGGAAGCCCCTTCACAACTTCCGCAAGAAAACTCTAAACCCACAAAATGTGCTCACTTGGCATCTGTAATCAGAGAGGAATTCACATTGCTCTCTGTTAATAAAAATCAGTCTTTTCCAAATTACTTCCTTGTTCCTCCCCCTTCTTCACCTCCCACACCCACCAGTTTTGTCTAAATTGGTATATAGTATCTATCACAAAATCAGTTATCCAACAGCAAAGGATCTTAGATAACCAGTGGATTTCAGAGAGAGTCTGATTCTGGTATAAAAAATGGAGGCTGAGATCCAGGGCATGATGAGCCCAGTGTTTTCTCGCTTGCCAGCCCGCGCCCCCTCTCCCCCCCCCCCATTCTAATGTTAAAACAGACTTAGTTGTTTTAAATTTTTGTTATTTATTGAGTATAAATTTTGTGTATAGATTTATGCTAACTCTTAAGGTTCTCACTGCCATTTTTCTCAAGAATCAGTTTATTTAATAGGAATGGTGGGAGCTTGGGAGACTTAGGACATTTATGGTAGTGCTTCACAGAAGCAGCTTAAGTGTATCAGAATCACCTCAGTCATTTAAAGAAAAACAAACTTGAGGGCCTCCCTGGTGGCTCAAGGGTTGAAGACAGCGCTGTCAAGCTGTCACCAGCCACTGCTGCATGCTTTCAGTCCCCGGCCAGCTAGGGCGCTAACCCACATGGCATAGCTGACCTCTCCTGTCTCACCCTCTACTCCCTTCAGCAGTGTATTTCAGTGGATCTGCCTGTTCTGTTCCCCTCTCTCTCTGGTGAATCCTTTCACATACACCCCCACCAACACACACACACACCACCACCACCACCACCCCCCGCACCTCTGGCGTACCCTATTATATGCATAAATAAATAAATCTTTTTTAAAAAAAGAAAAGAAACTTGAAGATTCTCTTGTCTGATCTGATAGAAGACAGGGGAGGGCTGTGCAAATTTGATTTTTTAAATTTTTTTTTAGCACTCCTTATCATCTAATGTGCAACCAAAGTGTGAGAACCACTTTGTATTCTTCACTACCTGCTCTCCCTCTCTAACTCTAAACAGGAGAGTGTAGTTAAGTTAGACCGAGAGAGTACCTGGTAGTGTGGGGGGATCTAGGTAGAGGGTGGGGTTCCAGCAACAAACCTACAGCCCACTCCACTATCTTTCTCTTGAAGGTATACTAACAGCAGGCAGAAGAAAATTCAGGGGAAATAAGTACCTGTTTCTGCTGGCAGTTTCACATCCATTCTTTTTTTTTGTTTTTTTGGGTTTTTTTTTTTTTTTTTGTTTGTTTGTTTTGTTTTTTGTGTTTTTTTTAAATAAAGAACAGTTTATTGGTGCCCATCATTCAGCAGCACACAAACCTTCTGACCTTGTGGATCTTTCAGCAGTGAACAAACCTTACAACTTGGTGGGGGAAAGATATTAAATTACATGATGATTATTTTGTATATTTTTATAATTATAGGCTGAATTATTTAGTTATCACTACTATGAGAACCACTGAAGAAAAGCATAGAATATGTAGAAAATATTTAGTAGAGGCATCTAACATCTAGAATATATGTAATGGCCAGGAAAACCCACGATTTCACCCACTGCCCAGGTAGTGTCTGGAAGTGAGGACAGGTTCCCTTATGAAGTGGAATTTAATAAGTAGACCTGAAGAATGAAAGATGAAATTTCAGTGTGGAATACATGTGTCTCTCTAGATACTGTGATGTGTTTGTAACTCTTGCATTTAGCTAGTACCTTACGCCTAGTAGCTACTCAATAAATGAGAACAAGTAAAATGAAATGTAAATATTGCATATGAAAATTTTCATTTATAATGAAAATGAAAAGTGAATTTAAGTGCCCATCATGAGCCAGGCACTAAGTTTCACATCCATTCTTGACCAAGCTAGCTCTTTGAGAGAGCTTCATTTTTTGTAGTGGGGTGTATAATTTCCTCAGATGTGACAAAAGCAGGGGCCTTTGGGTGTGAAATCACTAATCCTCAGCTGTGTGCTCATCCAAGCAAGATTAGCAAAAGTCTCTTCAACCGTTTTGGTTAACCAGCTACCCCAAATCTATGAGGTCAGTTGTTGTCTGTGCTCATTTGATGGAGAAGGAAGTTGAGGTGAAAAAGACACCTGGATGACCTAACATCATGGGTGACAGCAACTAAAATCCTGGCCCAGAGGGGCACTGCCTTTCAGCATTCTCATCTGAGAGATTATCCTGAAATGAGGAGGTGACTCCATTGTCTATCACCCTGCAAGAACGGAGTAGAATGTTTAGCTGTAGGCAGCTGTTCTTCCTTTACCAACTTGGTCCCTCTGTGTCAGCCACACTTGGTAGTGTGGGTTTGAGCACATCCTCTTAGGTGTGTCCAGCTGTGTTGTCACCATGGCAACATGTTTGTCATATCACTGTTTCCCTCACCCCCTCACAGCTCAGTTGTCAGTCTGTTTCAGGGTAGGGCACCTGCTAACTGGGCACCAGCAGCTAGTGGACTTTTTTCATCCATCTAAGAAACCAAGCTCCTTTGGTCTCCTAAATGCTGTAGATGCCCACCCCTCCTCTGATACTGGGTCTTAGTCTTATTTCCTAAAAGTTTAATCTCAGCTTCCTGTGGGAGCATATCTCCAGTATTGTGAGCTATATAATAGCCAGGTCTTCTTCTTTAGTTTCCCTTCATTCATCTTTGTCAGTAGAGCTGGAAAACTCTGAGCTCTTTCCTCAAGAATAATAACCAGAAAGGGGAAATCACATAAGGCCTGAGCAGGTGGTGGGTGTAGATTTAGCTGAAGAGTGCAGATCTACAAGAAGGAGGTGCTTTCATGTCAACTAAGGTTAGATGATCTGTTGATATGTGTCTATCCTTTGGGCATCTTTCAGGATGAGGGAATTCATTTTTTTTAACCCAAAGAGTCACTACTAGCGTTAAGCATTGCTTTTAGGAGCTACTATGGGTCTAAGTCATAGATAAAGATTAAGAGGGGAAACAGAACTCAAGGGGGGGGCCCTCCCTGGTGGCACAAGGGGTTAAGCACTGCACTATGAAGCAATCCACAGCTACTGCAGCACAAGTTCGATCCCCAGCCAGGGAGCTGACCCACATGGCACAGCAGACCTCTCCTGTCTTGCCCGCTGCTCCCCTCAGCAGTGTATTTTGGTTAGTCTCCCTGTTCTACACCCCACTCTGTCTCTGGTGAATCCTCTGACACACACACACTTCTGGCCTCTATCCCAGTTCTTGTATGCATAAATAAATAAATCTTTAAAAAAAATTCATAAGGGGGCTAGGGGTAATAAAGGTCTGTATAGAGGAGTAGGAACCACAACAATTGACTCACGGCCCCAGCATCCCCACCCCTGTGAAATTCAACAGATGTCTTTTCATGTGAGCCTATGAAGGAAGAGGGTAGCCAGTGGGACTTCTGAAGTGGGGAGACTTCTCAGGGCTACCTAGTGTTTCTCTTGGGGACTTTGTTGTGGGAGACCATCTCTAAGGTACAGCCTAGATGCAAGCCAAGGACCCAGATGCCTGCTTATTGGAGATCCTATTTGAAGTCTCCGATATTGTAATTGATGTTTGTAGACTTGTGCCTCCCATTTAAGCATACTCTTATCTTACAGCAACCCGTAAGGAGGAGGAGGGGAGAGAGCTCATTCGATATTAACAACATTGTCATCCCGATGTCTGTTGCTGCAACAACCCGTGTAGAAAAACTACAATACAAGGAAATCCTTACTCCCAGGTAGAGGCTCTTAGACACTTGGCTCTTTCCCCCTTTATATTTCAGCTATTACCCTTTCTCCCTCTTCTCACTGAGGTTTGGCCCCTGGGCTTGAATTTTGTCTTCTCTTTAAGATAAAATCTTTACCTGTAGAATTCGTTCTGTGTATCATTTATATAGTTCTCTCTCATTCTATGAACTCACCAGCCTGCCCAAAGGCTACAAACTGGCAAGCCCACTGGCCATCTCTAATCTGTAGACCTTTTTTTTTTTTTTTTTTTTTTTGACACGTACAGTGTGTTTTAAAATAATTGAATTTGTTGTCAACATCAAAGCAGGATTTCATGTGAATCTGTGTTCAGCTTTTGTTGACAAATCTGAAGGTCAGGCACCTCTGCACGTGCATTTCCATGTGTGGCCATTGGGTAATGCTGAGTGGTGAAGGTCTCCTTTAAGGTCTCCTTTTGCTTGAGTCTGCCACAGACTGCCAGCATGCTTCCTCTTTCTGCCCTTGTGGGTGTGTGAGTGTGGGGTGTCTTTTTAAAGGCCCTCGGGGCTAAGCCTGCTATGACAGAGCCTGCCCAGCAGAGTGTCACTGGTGGAGGACCCTTGGTCTTGCTTGGACAGGTCGGTCCTGCCCCAGACTGCTGGCCTGCTGCCATCTCACCGTTACCTTTCTTGGTTTACAGCTGGCGGGAGGTCGACCTTCAGTCTCTGAAAGGGAGTCCTGATGAGGAGAACGAAGAGGTAATGTCATAGGCCTGCTCTCAGAAGGACACACGTTATGCATGCATTCCATGCGCTTTCGTAGGTGTCAAGCACAAGTGTATTCCTGTGCTGACAGGGAAAGAGCCCAGGGAGGGAGTGCGAGGGTCTCAAGTGACCTACCCATACTTAAACTTGCTTCCTGGAGGAAAAAAGGATCAGTGAAGCCCCTCTGTTGCAGATCGAAGACCTATCTGATGCAGCCTTCGCCGCCCTGCATGCCAAATGTGAGGAGATGGAGCGGGCTCGGTGGCTGTGGACCACAAGTGTGCCACCCCAGCGGCGCGGCAGCAGGTGATGAGGGCGGGTGGGGAGGGAGTTGGGGCCCCAACTGTGTGTCCATGAATTGCCACTCATCTCAGATTTTATATTCATCCAGTGGCAGTGGCTGAGAATGCAGAGGCTTCTGGGTGTTTGGAAACAAAGGCTATAAGCAGTCAAATACCAGCTCCTTGCTGAGTGGCCACTTTCCAATTCTGACAAACTCATAATCTCCTGGACTCCAGAAACAGGCTGTCTAGTGAGGCATTTGGTGGCCTCCCTACAAGCTAACCTTCCTTTGGACAGTAGAGTGTGGTTTTGTGGTCCTGCTTAAAAGGATGTCCACTTAGACATCACCGCCCTGTCTCTGCTTGTCGTTAACAGTGGCAGTGCCCACAGGATCCTCAAGTAGAAGCTTTGGGGTTCTTATTTTTACTTTCCCAACTACACTTTTCAGAATCTACGCTAATTTCTCTCCCCCTGTAAAATTCCAGGCACTGTGCCAGAGATTATCTAACCCCTGACATTGTTTGGCCACTGCTTGCTCGGGGTGATAGGTGTGCACAGTTCTTAGATGTCACATTGTGGACCTACCCCCTGCAGGGGTGGGAGGAAGCAGGGAAAGAAGCATTGATGTTAGTCTACCTCAGCTCCTCCCATTGGGATGATTTTTCATGCTTCTTCCTCAACCCCCCACATTAAGCATGCAGTCCAGCCTCTGTCCAGACACTCAGATTTGCACTTCTTGGTGTACAGGTCTTACAGATCATCGGACGGCCGGACAACCCCCCAGCTGGGTAGTGCCAACCCCTCCACCCCCCAGCCCGCCTCCCCCGATGTCAGTAGTAGCCACTCTTTGTCAGAGTTCTCCCACAGTCAGTCCCCAAGGAGCCCCATAAGCCCAGAACTGCACTCGGCCCCCCTCACTCCTGTGGCTCGGGACACTCTGCGACACCTAGCCAGTGAAGACACCCGTTGTTCCACGCCGGAGCTGGGGCTGGATGAACAGGTGAGCACGCTGCCTTTGTGTGGCCGGGGTAACAGGTGGGGGTGGGAGGAACTATCTGCTGAAGGGGAATCTTCATCTTCTGACGCCCCCTCCTCATTTTGAAGGGGGTCTGCACTTGAAATTCACCTTCTGAAAGTACCCTGGAACTGGCCATTATTAAAAGGCAGCCCACTCCGTGAGGAGGCTTCCCCGAGTGTCCCAGGGGCCCTAGAGGGGTTGTTCACCAACTCAGTCCACACATTTTGGGTTGGGCCTTGGGGTCAAGGCAGGTGGGTGCTAGGTCCTCACCAAGGCATCTTGTCTGCCCACAGTCTGTGCAGCCGTGGGAGCGGCGAACCTTCCCTCTGGCATACAGTCCTCAGGCAGAGTGTGAGGACCAGCTGGATGCGCAGGAACGGGCAGCCCGCTGCACTCGGCGCACCTCAGGCAGCAAGACTGGCCGGGAAACAGAGGTGGCACCCACCTCGCCTCCTGTTGTCCCCCTCAAGAGTCGGCATCTGGCGGCAGCAGTCACAGCTCAGCGCCCAGCTCACAGATGAGCGGGATACAAGAATCTAAACAGACTCACTAACTATTGGCATTAAAGCTTCAGAAATCTCTGCGTTTGATATTCAAACATCATATGCTAGAAATTTTCACAGTTTTTAGTGAATTTAAGAAATTTAGATTCTACTTTGGTAATTTTTTTTGTTTTGTTTGTTTCCATGTTTTGTCGTCACACACCTGAGCACTTCCTCTTGTTGGCAAACAAAGTTTGGGCTCAAACCCGCTGACCTGGTCCTGGCACCTCCTCTGCACTGTTGAATCACTGGACTTAGCCATGTTAGATGATCGCCCCTCCCCCTCGCACCTGTGGGCAGGTGGAAACACCAAGTGGGCAGAGAGAGTGGAAAGTTCCAGCTCAGCGTGACCTCATCAGGGTGGGAAAGAACGGCTCTGGACTGGAGGCCCTCCCATCTGTGGCTTGACTTAGCCCGGCCCCCTAGCTGGGTCCCACTTAGCACCCCACCAGAGCCTCTTGGTCATAAATGCCAGCTGTTCCCATTGAGCTCTCAGCCAACAGAATGGCTCTCCCTTCTCACGCGGAATGTGGAGACCCATTTTGGATGTCCTCTAATTTGGTCATCTGTGTTACTCCTTAACTGCAGTGACCTGGCTGCGGCTGCTCAGGTCCCCATCCTGCCCTCTTGTGCCTCCTCGTCTGTCCCCCATGCTAGTCCCCTCTCACCCCCGAACTTTTTTAGCACCTTTCCTATTTAGGAAAGTAGGATAGGACTACTTAAGCTCTGTTGCCATTCCCCTGCAAACTAGGGGTTCTGGGAAATGAGCAGCATCTCCCCTGTATAATTCTGTTTCACTGACTGACTGATTTAGTTGGGTATCCTCCACATCCTGCTCCCTGCCAGTGTCAGTTAGGCCCGCCCTTTATCAAGCTCCCCCTTGCCTGTGGAACATTGTCTGATCCTAGCTGTGGTTCCCATCACTACCCTGCACCCCCTTTGGTTAACCGTGTGCCTGTCTGATCTATGATCTCATCACCAAAAAGGGGCACAATGAGGGATGTTTTTGTGTTTTTTTTCTGGTGGTCATTTTGTAATCATATAAAAAATAGTAGACAAACTGCTTAAATGGTTGGGTTTTTTCACAATTTTCAACATTAGTGATTATTTTTGATTGTTTGCAAGCTAAAGGGGTTGCCATTGTTTCTTCAAAAAACAATAATGCACCATATCCCTATGCATAAAGTGCTTCTTCTATTTATAAGGTTGAAAATTCTGAATAACCCTTTTAGCATTGTAAAAAAAAAAAAAAAAAAACAAAAAGAAAAAAAAACTTGTATTTTGTAAATATTTTCTTTCCTGCTTTGAGCTGTGTATTGGCAGCGAAACATGTAGCTGTCTTTGTTCTATAGAAATGCTTTTCTTCAGAGAAGCTGATCTTTGTTAATGTCTTGATTCTGTTTGCAAAGCACAGACTAGTGCTTACAAAAAAATGAGCAAAGAAAAATTTAAAAAAATAATAAAAAAAAAAGTTACAGAATGTTGTGTGCTGGGCCTTTCTTGACCTTGGATGTGGCCGTGGCAGTAGCTGCGGGACATGCCCTGCTGGAGCAGCTTGCTGGTATCTTCTGACTGGCTCTGGACCTTGAGATATCTCCAGTCAGTCTTCTGAAGACCTGGCAGAGTCATCTGCTGGTCGCCAGGGAGAGGATGAGGCGGTTCTCGCAGCAGGGGGAAGTCTGCGTAGATCAATTCTGACCCTGAACTGCTTTTCAGAAGAAATCGCACATTTCACCATCTGTTTCTGGGCTTGGGGTCAATGAGAGTGTAGTCTGCATGGCGCCTGAGCTGATTCTGGCTTGCTACTTGATCCGAGCATCTTTCTTCTGAGGAGGCTGAGTGCTTGATATTCTTAGTACGAGATGAATAAGTTAGTGGGCAGCCCTGGTCTCCGCACTCTTCCATTCGTGATGTTAGGTTGAAACAACCAGTGGGGCTGCCTGTCTCTCTCTTGCATGGTTCTGAGCTAGCATTTGTTTTTGGATGCCCTGTTGCTGCCTCTACAGTTGCATTTGAGACCTGCTGTGCTTAAGCTCTTGTCTACAGTGGCTAACTCAGATGAGAAAAAACTATTATTTTGAAACAGTGTTGAAAATCTAAAGAGTTCAGTGTTATCACCTGCACTTAATTACTAAGGAACAATATGAAGGGTTACTGGTTTTTGTTTTGCTTTCTGGTATCCCTACACCTTGATTTAATAGACATTCTCGGGGTCCTCCCTGGTGACGCAAGGGGTTAAGTTGCAGCAGTATGAAGCTATCTGCAGCCACGACAGCATTGGCATGCGTTCAATCCCTGGCGGGCCAAGGAGCTGATCCACACGGCGCAGTAGACCTTTTCTGTCTCACCCGCTGCTCTCCTCAGCAGTGTATTTCTGTCGATCCATCTGTTCCCATTCTGTCTCTGGTGAATCCTCTTACCCCCCCTGCACCTCTGGCCTGTGCCCCAGTTCTTGTATGCATAAATAAATCTTTAATTAAAAAAAAAAAGCATAATAGGGCCCCCCTGGTGGCGCAGGGGTTAAGACGCAACCTATGAAGCTAACTGCAGCCACTGCAGCACGAGTTCGATTCCTGGCCAGCTGGGGAGCTACCCACATGGTGCAGCAGACCTCTCCTGTCTCCGCTGTTCCCCTCAGCAGTGTGCTTTGGTCAATCTGCCTGTTCTGTTCCCCACTCTCTCTGGTGAATCCTCTCACCCCCCACACCTCTGGCCTGTACCCCAGCTCTTGCGTGCATAAATAAATCAATCTTTTAAAAAAAAAAAGAAAAAAGTATAGTAGACATTCACCAGTCTGAATTGAGGCACCAAAGGAGAGAGGAAGGCAGGCCTGGAAGAATCTGAGCCATTCATTCAGCATATTGGCCTACTATTCTGCTTCAGCCCCAGGCCTCTGGCTTGGTTTCCTGGGACAAAAAGATGTCAGGCTCCCATCCCCTGAGTGCAGCCTGGTGAGCTCAGCCACAAGGGTATTCCCTTTGAGTTGAAGCAGGATGGTTTGCCAGGACCAGAATGAATCAACCAGAAATGGACTGGTCTCAAAATGGCTTTCATCTTCAGGGCCCCAGAGAGAGCTGGTAAGTCCTGAACATCCAGGTGCTGGGCTGGGCTCTCGAAGGCTGGGAAAGGACTTGGAAATCGTACATCTTGATACTGTTTTCTTGTCATTTGAATCCATGCACAGAGACCTTCTTGAATCAGTAATAACTTTATTTCCAAATTCACTTTTACAGCAACAGTCAGTGTAAATCATTTGTTAAAACACAATACACCATTATGGACAGTCACAGACAGGAAGCTAAGCTAAGATGGTTTTGTGTCCCTCCCCCCACCCTCAAATTTACCTAAGAAATAATGGGACTTGCAAGTGCCAGACACTGTCCTGCCCAACATTGCAGGTTCACAGGGCGAAGTCCAGTAGGTGAGACTTAAGACTGAGGCGGTGCCCGGGGCAACCCTTCTCCAAGCTGAAAAGAAATCTGGCCTCTAAAGCCATAGATCTGCAGGTGGGTGAACTCATGATTCTCCACTTCCACCTTCATCCCCTTCTCTTGGCTTTACATGGGGGACAAAGATAAAGGGGAGTCCAGGGAGCGATCTTGGCGAGTGTTACAAGTCTGGGCTGCGCGTCTGGAGCCACAGGTGCAAACAGCTGAGGAGAGGCCAGCATGTCGGGACAGCACGATGGGCTTGGGGCCTCGCAAACTGCAGCGGGCCAGAGCAACCGATCTCCAGATAACTCCACCCGCCTCGCTGCCTCTAGCAAATGTGGTTGAAATTGTGAAGAAAAGGGTTACAAAGCGGTTTATCTGCTGCACCCCAAGACTTCCCTTTTTTGCCCATGGTACTATCTTACAGGTCCTCCCCCCTCCCCCCCAGCACAACAAGCATTCGCTAACAGGACACAGTCTCACCACCGAAGTCAATTTAAATGGAACTATTGATAAAGTGAGTGGAGAGCTTGAAGGAACCAGGTGGGCAGCGTAACTTCTCCAGCCCACCCGGGGGCCATGGCTCTGGAGGTGGGGACCCACGGCTGGACAAGTACCCAGCCCGGGGATTGTCCTCGTTTAAGGTCACAGCCAGCATCCCTCTGCCACCTGTCTGCCAGCACTGATCTGATCACCCTAAACCATGATCTTTGGGCTCACCCCATAGCCACTCCACGAGAGGGATACCAGGGCCCTTTGAAGAAGGCCCTTGGAATACGGTGCTGAAGAGGAGGAAGAAGCCAGAGAGACGCACACAGAAATGCTGCCAAAATCGGTGGCCATGACGAGGGGCTGAGTCTCTGACAGCCATCACATCTTTAAACTGCATCTTTTTCTTCCTTAGGACCTTCTAAGAACAGCTGGGACTCAGGACAGTGCCTTGCGATGGAAAGTTCTGGGTCCAGATGAATCCTTGTCCAGAAAGCTCTGGCTACAAGTGGAGCCTCCAACAGCAGAGGGGAGACCCTGACTCCTGCCACCCATTGTCCAGGGTTGCCTTTGAACTTACCCAGACCAGAAGCTGAACTGGGCCCGAGGCTACGGAATTTCTTTAAACCCATTTTCTACAAAGGCTGCACCCCTTTTCCCTGGGGGCAGCTGGGCCTCCTCTCTGAAAGGTCAGCTGGAGTTCTGGCCAAGGCTCGGGGAATGGTGTCTCAAGGCTTGTTGCTCTTCCTTAGGCCGGCAGAGGCGAGTCCAGGGCAGGCAATCCATGCCAACCCCTGCTGTGGCTGCAGCCAAGTCCTTCCTGAGGGAGAGCTTGGAGAGGGACCCCAGGCTGAGGGGTGGGCTGCCTGGAGGCCCAGGGAGCTGGGGGGAGTGGAGGGGATGGGCTGGGATAAGGGCTGCAGACTTTTCTCCAGCTGGCTGGCTTCACCTTTCTCACGATGCAGGGAGTTGTCAGACCCTCTCTCAGGGCTGCTGTGGGGATTCTCCAGCTGTAACCAGAGAGGGTCATCTTCATGCTGCCAACCAGGCCAGCCACAAAGCAGCACGCTCTGCCCTGCAGAGAGGAAGCCCTGGGGCAGGGAGGAGGCACCACGGGGGCTTCTGTTTCAGGACTTCTTTGAAGCTGAGGGTTCTCAGATGTCACAATCTGGTCTGCGTGGGGCCCCAGATGCTGATGAAAGCCTTTCAAAAATCAGGAGGCCCCACCGGGGTAGGCCACACTGGCCGCCTGGAGCCAAGTCCCAGCGTGGGGTGCGAGACACCTAGGATCCCCTCGAGGGCGGGTTAGATACCTCTTTACAAACATTTCAAGATACATGCGTCCTTTTTTTTGTCTTTTCACTATCATAGTCACTCTGGTGAGTCCAAGCATCAACAGACAAATCCGACGAGCACACGACAGGGTGCAGATGGGGAGGGAGGGCGACGACATCTATGTATACGTTCAGCTGCTCCAGCGGGACAGACAGAGCTGCTTCCAGCTGGGACGGGGGAGAACCATTTCCGACGGGGCACGTCCCTCTGTTGGGGGGTGGAGGGCTGACTATGCACTTGGAGTGGAGCTGCACTGGGCTAGAGAGGCTGGCGGTCACAAGCTGGGGTGGGACTGGGGGAGAGAGGACTGTGGTCCAGCCCCGGGGGCCTTGCCTGCCGTGCCCCAGCAAGCAGGACACCCACCTGCTGCCAGCTCAACGCAGGAAGGGGACTGGGCCCTGGGGTGGAGGGGAAAGAGGCGCACCGAGTCAGCAAGGCCAAGACACCCCGGTGTTTGCTGGGCCCCGCTCTGGGAGGTGGGGCAGGGAACGGAGTGATGTCATCAGCTTCCTTATGAGGGACATGCCAGTTGGATGAGGGAAACTTAGACTGAGTGCCCACCTCGTACCCGGCTTTGCCCTTCCTTCCTGTCACCCCTTAGATTAACAGTGTCCATTGCTGAGAGCAGGGGTGGTGAGCCGGGTGCTGGGACGGCGTGACGTGATGAGGGTACAGGCAGTGACTGAGCTCCGCACGGCAGACACACAGGCGTGGCGGGGGGCAGACAGGTGGCTGCAGTGGCCGTGGGAGGGGTGGAGGCTCAGGACCCACCTCCCGGACCCCCGCGCTCCAGAGATGCCGGGGCCCAGGCTTGGGAACAGGCGGATGTCCCCCAAGAGGCACAAGTCCTTACAGAGAGAACTGGTTAGCCCTAAAGTCCCAGATCCGAGAGGTGGCCAAGGTCGTGGCTGCGGTTCCAGCCTCCAGAACGCAACAAAACGGGGTTTCTGGTTTCCAGGGGGCAGAGGGAGGCCCCACCGCCCATGACCCCCTCCCTGCAGGGAGGGAGGACGAGGCCAGCGCTCAGGACATCAAGGTCGGTCTTCTCGGGGGCGGGATCCACGGGGGCCACCCTCCCGCGGCGTCCCGTCCGCGTCCTGCGCTGCCCCTGCGCGCTGCGGGGACCGAGCCTCTCCCGGGGCGCCCTGCAGAGGCCGGTGCGCGCCCCGCGGCCGGCAGAAGGGGGCGCCCGTGCAGGAGCGCGGACTCCCCCACGCTCCCCCGCCGCACCCCTGCCCCGCCCGTGCACCCCTGCGCAGCCTCCCGCGCGCCCCGCCCCGGCCCCCCCCCCCCGCCCCGCCGACCCCGCCCGCGGCTCCAGATGCGCCGAGTTTCAAATCCTTTGTTGCTGCCTCTGTGACACCCCAGGGCGGGGCCGGAGGAGGGGCCCCCCGTCCCGTGAAATTCCCCAGAAGCAGCTTTCGAGCCTCTCCTCCCTCTTCTTCTCAGAGGGGGGAAAAAAAAAGAATCCAAACTAATTGCCCAAGGAAACGTGGGGTGCGGCCGTCTCTGCAGGCGCGTTTAAAAATATTTTATTCCGCGGAGCCCACCCGTCAATTTGGAGAGATGGCGCTTTTGCTCTATTCCCATCCCTGATTTTGGAGTCCCGAGCGGGGCGAGCGCGCAGGTCGGGGCACCCGGCGCGCAGCCCCGCGGGGAGCAGCTGGGGGCGGGGGCGGAGGGCGGGGGACACTTTCTTTCCCACGCTCGCTCGCTCCTCTCCACGTGCGCGACCGCCCCGGGGGCCGGATCACAAACCCTGCTTGGCCAGGGACGCGGACACCTCGTCGGCCAGCGTGGCGAGCTGCGGCGAGTCCACCATGTCGATGCTGCCCGTGGAGGACACGTTGCTGAGGTGCCGCGGGGACGTGTCCCCCGACACCACGGGCGACTTGTACACGATCTCGGCGCCGTGGTCCGTCTTGGCCTTGGCGTTCTCGCGGAAGGTCAGCTTGTGGGTCTCGATCTGCAGCCGGGCGGGGTGGGGGGCGAAGAGGAGAGACGAGGGGTGAGCCCGACTGCCTCCCAACCTCTGCCCCCGGGGAGGGGGGTTGGGGCCCCCGTCTTTGTCCAGCCCCCACTGCTCTTAGGGGGGCCCTTACCTCACCCGCGCGCAGCCGGCCTGTCCCCCAGAAGGCACTGACCCGCTGTAAGGTCCTGGTGTGCTTCCTTCCAGAGGGAGCCCAGAGGGAGTCCACCCTATGCAGCGTGTGCACGCGCGTGTGTAAATGCATGGAGTCACAATAGTCACCTGCTTTGGGCACCTGGTTTTCTGCGTTTTTGTGGCTGCTCCTTGGTGCTAAAACCTGGGGACTCAGCACCTCTGGCTTCAGGCCTACCCCCCCCCCACGCTTGCAGGTAGCTGCAGGGGCGCCACTGCTGTTCCTCCCCACTCAGGGCGCTGAGGTCGCCCCAATCTTGCTAGCACAGATAAGGCTTATGTGAGTGACCCCGCATGCTCTCCCCCCCTGAGTATATCTAGAAGCAGGCAAAAGGCTCGCACATTTTATTTGGATAGAAGTTGCCAAAATGCGGATGAAAGAGAGGCCAGAGAGGCTGGAGACAGGCAGGGGGTTGCTGCCCACACCGCCCGCCCCGCCCTGTGCCCCTGACCAGCGCGGAGCCTGGAGGCGCGGCGCCTATGCAGGGCGCAGTGAGCTGTGCAGGGTCCGTAAAATCCTTTTAAAGGCAGAGACGATGCCACAGCTGGGGCTCCAGAGGTGAGTAGGAGGGAGTCAGTCTCTCCTGCGGAGCCCTGAGCTGACGGTCAGTCACGCTCACCCCGGCTGGGCCCTGAGGCCTCTGAGCCTTTGGTGATACCGGAAGACACTGCATGCGGGGAAGACACTTCGCCTTGTTCCCTGCCTTGTTCCCTTGTCCCGGGGATTTCAGGAGCCTCGACCCCAGGTGCAGCCCCAGGGCAGAGGGCATGGATAAGGGCAGAGAGAAGCCGGCCCCTGCCCCCCAGATGTTTATTTTGTTCACTTTGAGTCACTGCTTTCAAAAAGGTCACGTCCATGTGACCGTGAGGGAAATGCCATTTTGACTTGCACTTTGATAAGAGTGTGTTTTTCGAAAGCTTTGTTCTTAAGCCACATGGTCCTAGGAATGTCCCCAAGTCCTCCAAACCCAAGATGACAGGGCCTGTGCTCCACTGTGGGTGAGCAAATTTGCTCCTCACAGGAAGAAATGCAGGAGTGAGTCTACCCCCCCTCCCCCCCCCCCCCCCCCGCCCCGGGGCCTGCTGGGCGGGGGCAGGGCAGGGGGTCCAGATGTGCCATCACAGAGGTGAGCTAAGGCAGAAGCCCAGATTGGGGGGTGGCTCTAACTCTGTTCTTGGGTGACTACAACCTCCCAGGCACCTTCCAGAACATTCTCGTTTTGGGTCTCACAGTGTCCTGGGACATGGATATTTAGGTCTTTCTGAAGGAGAAACTGAGGCTGAGCGTGCCGGCAGAGCTTGCTCAGGTCACACCTCCAGAGGCAAGCCCAGCACTTTCCCCAGGACACAGAAACTTCCAGAAACAGTGTGGACACCCCGGGAATCACCAGCACCCCCCACTTCCCTGAGTCAGAAGGCCTCCTGCGCCCTCTCTGCTTTCTGGGAAAATCTTCCCTCACCTGGGGAAGCCAAGTATAAGGGTCCACATGGAGTCACCAGAGGGGGCGCTGTGGGCTCCCTGGCCTCCCTGGTCTTAGAGGGCCTGGGTGAGGTCTGGTCAGGGTCTCTGTGTGCAACCTCTGTTGTTAGAGATCACCCCGGCAGGTGCTTCTACACACTACCCTGTGGTGTCCACTGCCGGGCGGCCTGTTCAGTATGAGGGGCCAGGGGTGAGTGGAGCTGCTGGAGGCACTTGCGGGGAATACTGGTTGCTGCCCAGTGTGATGTGTTGGGAAAGTGCCCAGCTGAGCCACCCCACGGTGGGGGTTCTCACACTGGTGGGGCCCCAGATTCTAGTCTCATTCTGGAACATCCCTTTCCCTCCCCTCCTCCTCACTTGGCATCTGGGAGGTACTGAAGGTGAAGGGTGGGCCACTTCATCACCCCAGGGCCCCTGGGGGCACGCAGGTGCTTCAAGCAGAAAAGTGCAGCAACAAGATGGTGTCTCTGATGGACCGGAGGGAGCTGGCTCTGGGCCACACAACCCCTTGTGCCCCACAGACAGACGCCCACAGCAAGACTCGAGACTAGATCGTGCAGGGCACACGGGAGGGCTCCGTCCCGCAGCCACCTCCTGGGTCACACTCAGGGCAGCCAGAGGTTCTGCCGGAACTGGAGTCAGTACCCCATGCGCCCCCCTGCTGAGCGACCCTCTGAGCAAGTCAGCTGCCTGGTGACTCCCTCTGGGTGCACCGGGCCTGGCTTTCCAACAGCTCTTCCTTTTGTGGATGCCGCCAGCCGCAGTTCTCACCTTTATACCTGAGAACCACCTGGAGGCTTCACAAATTCCAGGTGCCCACACTGCACCTGAGACCAATCAGTCAGGCGCTCCAGGGCGGGGCCCAACGTCAAATTTGTTCAAGCTCCCAGGTGATTTCAGTGAGCAGCCAAGGTCAGGAATCCGCCTCCAGTCAGTCCTCGCGGGATGCTCAGCTCCCCTCTCCCGCCCCGCAGGTCCCCCCACTAGAGGAACAGCCGTACTCAAGGTGGCCTCCCCCGACCCTGCCCCTTTACCTTCTTGTTCCCTCCGCCAGGGACATGGGTGATGTTATCCAGGGACCCGATCTTGGACTGGACTCTGTCCTTGAAGTCCAGCTTCTCAGATTTCACCTCCACCTGGCCGCCTCCTGGAACACAACACGCACAGACACCACGTCTGAACGGGGCCAACAAGGACTCCACACGCGCACCAACCTCTAGGGGCAGTGACGACGGCTGCGTCACCTTGAGAAAGTGGTTTGGGCACAAGTAAGTCCTTCCACGGGGCTTGAAAACTGTTTGCTTCATCTCCCTAGCAAAGGTGTTTCATCAAATATTTACTCAGCAAACGCCTTCTCCTTAGATAATGCAAAAGTAAATGACAGCTCGGTCCAGGGAAAATTATTCTAAACAGTTTAGCTTCCAAAGAGTGACGTCTATCAATGCCAACATCCTGTGAGCTACGGCCCCACAAGACGGCGGGATCACGTGAACACCCAAGCTCGCCCTAAGGAGAAGGGCCTGGCCTGTTCCCTCCTCCGTGCTGGATGCCACCCACACCGAGCCCGGGAGACAGGCGCGTGGCCTGAAGAAACACGACCCGCATCCCTCTCTTGGGAAGGAGAGAGCTGTGTGTGGTGTGGGCTGCTGGTATACCAGACTCCCACAGGATGTCCAGGCCAAGACAAACACCAAGGCAGGCTCTGGACTGCGCCTCTGGTGGCCTTGCCTGCCATGGTAGCGGCTCAACTGGAGGGCCTGAGGGCAGAGGCCCCTGGTCTGGCCTGGCAGGGGGAGGCAGGCCCTGCGCCTGCACTAATACAGCAGCCGTGGCCACGCGGCTGCCTACGTTTTAATTAGCTCAGTCCCTCAACTGCCTGTTCACATGTCAAGTGCTCAAGAGCCACATGCGGGGAGCGGCTAGTATAGGGGCCACGCCAGACCACCATCCGAGAAAGACGTAGAGAAAGCATTAATTTCTGTAGTGTGGGTGGGAGGGAAATGGAGGCTTTTGGAGCTCCCAGAGGTTCATCTTCTGTTAAAGGAGACACAGCAGGGCCTCCCTGGTGGCGCAAGGGGTTAAGACACAACCTATGAAATGATCTGCAGCCACTGCAGCACGAGTTTGATCCTCTGCCAGGGAGCTACCCACATGGCACGGCTGACCTCTCCTGACTCACCCGCTGCTCCCCTCGGCAGTGTACTTTGGTCAATCTGCCTGTTCTGTTCCCCACTCTGTCTCTGGTGAATCCTCTCACCACCACCCCCACACCGCTGGCATGTACCCCCGTTCTTGTATACATAAATAAATAAATCTTTAAAAAAAATAAAGGAGACACAGCAATGCCCAAGGGCCCCGATGGTGGAGCTAAAGTGACCCCTATGTTAGCTGGGGGCTAAACTGACCCCTATGTTAGCTGGGGGCCATCCACATACCCCATGCCCTGCCGCCCAGGGAAGCAAGGGTCAGGCTTCAGGGCCTCGCCTTGCTCTGGCCCACTGAGCCGGCCCAGGAGCAGGCCAGGCAGCCACTCCCTGCAGGGCCAGTAGCCCCACTCCCACCCTGGCAGCCCGGCCCGCCCGGCCTTCCGCAAGGGCTACCTGGTTTATGGTGGATGTTGCCCAAGGAGCCACACTTGGAGGTCACCTTGCTCAGGTCCACTGGTTTGTAGACTATTTGCACCTGGAGGTGAGAGAGAATGAGCGAGAGAATAAAACAGGGTCATTTTCATGGGCCACACAACGCGGAGCAGCTGCACACACCCAGGCGCTGCTGGCAGCTGCCCCAGCACGGAGGACAGATGCCCTTGGCGTGGCAGGGAATGCGCCGCTGGAACCCTGCCAGCCTGCCCCGGAGCTGGGCCTTCCCTGAGGAACTGCAGCCCCACTGGACAGGGGCCTACCAGGGCAGGCCGCCGGCAGGGCCGCACGCTCTTCCTGCCCGAGATGGCGGGTCACAGGGAGGGGGTGCGGAGGCAGCTCTGTGTGACCAGAAGCACCTCGTGGGGAAGGCAGCGGCACCGTAGCTGGGCCCCGGGAGGAGAGAAGTTGGGGTTGACAGGTGGGCTTTCTCCCCTGCAGAAGCCCCCCTCCCCAAGACAGCAAGGGCCCAGCGAGCAGGACCCCGAGGCCGCGGCTGGCACCTGGGCACAGGGTCCGGGGCATTTCAGCTTTTCGTGGAAGGAGCAAAGCAACACCAGCAGGACGCAGGCACACAGCAGACACCTGTGGGCTCAGTGTCCACGGGCTGAACACACACTGGAGGGACAGGGCCCTGGGCTCGGATCCAGCCTCAGGAACCACACCACCCACCCTCCAGGGGGAACGGTGGCCCCGGAGCTGCCAGCATTGGCTGACAGGTTCTGGGGGCTGCTCTTATGGGGACTCCACATGGGTCCCCTGGAGGTGTCTCTGCAAAGTCATGGCTGCCAGTGGGTCCCCAAGATGGTCACTGACCCCTCCCGGAGCCCCTAGGGCCTTCAGCAGTGACCTCGTGTGAGGCCACAAAACAGGGGGACAGAAGGCCACAAGGACACCAGGAGAAAAGGGGATTTCTACTCGGGTGTGACTCATCTGGGGTAAACAGTCCCAAATTACGCCCGTTAAATCGAAGGCATGTTGGCCTTGGCTGCTGCTGGCGGAGAGTTGATTGAGGCAGACAGGTGCGTGCAGCCCGTGATGTGTGGGAGCAGTGACATGTGGGAGCACGGCTGGCAGCCTGCACCCGAGAAACATTCTGAAAACGGGGTCTGGGGTTGGGGCCTGAAGGAAGCAAGGCAAGGCCTGGGAGCTCCTAGCAAGAGAGAGCTCGAGTGAGCAGGGTCCTGCGAGGCTCCTCCTCTTTCCCTCAGCCTGGGCAGGTAACCAGCGGGCAAGAAGGGCGGGGTAGCAGGACAGCTGTGGGGGCGGGGAGGCACTGGCCTCGAGAGAGGGGAGGGAGGGAGGGAGGAGACGAGCCCTGGTGAGTCAGAGTTTCAGATCCTCCCTGGAGGGAGGACCCGGCGGTGCGGGGGGAGCAGGGCCTGCCTGCAGGGAGCCACCTCGGGGCGGCAGCAGTCGGGGAAACTGGCCAGAGAGACCCGAGGCCGACACTGTGCAGGGGCGTGTGGCCCCGACCCCACCTCTAGCAGCAGAGCTCTGGGGGCAGGGCGAGGGTCAGCCTGGGACAGCAGGGGCTGCAGGCCAGGCCGCAGGCGAGCCCACGCAGGGTGCAGGGCACATGAGAGGTGCCCCAAGAAAGTCCCCTGCGGTCCTGGGCACTGCAGTTCCGTGAGGCGGTCCACGGCCGTCACCAGTGGGAAGGTCCTCTCCCCCTCCGCTCCCAACTCCCGCCCAGGAGCCGTGGAACCGAGGAACTGTTCTGTTGCCAGCAGCCCACGGGACCCAGGTCCCGGCCTCAGCGAGCACAACCTCCCACGAGTCGCCCAGACACGCGTTACACCAGAAAGCGCACGGCTGCTGCCTCCTCGGGCAGCCCCACGCCTGCAGGGAGGCCGGGGCCGAGCCAGCAGGGGAAGCCCAGGAGCCGGGCGGTGGGGCTGGGGCCTCCCCACGCCTTCGCTTCCCTCCTGGCAGAAGACAAGGCGGCAGCGGGACGGGGGCAGGGGCGGGCGGAGACACGGAGCAGACACTGGTGAGGAAGCGTTAACGAAGCGCCATGCAGCAGCGGGTGCGCCCACGACCCGGGGGGCACGGAGGACTTGGTGGCAAAGCCAGATCCAGGTGCTGGGGCGGGAGGCGGCCGCGCATTGCAAGAATAAACCCTCGGGGCTGGACGAGGTGATGTGGGGTCTAGGCTGGTCATCTGGGGAAAGAAACCCACCCAGCAGGGGCTGCGGTGCTGCCAGCCAGGAATGAGGGGTCTGAGAGCCGGGGTGGCCACCCTCCTAGGGTCTCAGACTGTCCTTCCTCCATGCGGCTGGCCTTTGCTTACAGCTGACGAGAGGGGGGAGTGAGGAGCGGGCTGCGGAGAAGGGGGGCTGAGCCCCGGGTGCTGAGTGGGCACCCCTGTTGACGAGCATGGGTCCCCCTGGAGCAGCTCGGGGAGCTGTGAGAAGGGAGGATGCCAGCCCAGATCTCAGGGGACACAGCACCGGCAGGAAGGGAGGCCCCGGGATATCTGGACGAGTCCACTCTGAAAGGGCCTAAAGCCGCCGTCCTCTGCCGGCCCTCGCGGCAGGCCCCGCGCCCTCCGCTGCCTGCACTCCGGCATCTGGAGTCTCTGCCGGGGGCTCGGCTGTCTGGACCCTGGGAGCTCACGCCTCACCGATGCAGGAGAGAAGCGAGGAGAGCGGAGTCACAAGGTGTGACCTCTTGTTCACTCTCAGGACAAACAGCCCTCAAAGTGTCCCTGCCCCGGGAACAGGGAAGGATGTCAGGGCCAGGCTCAGGCGCCCCATTCAGCCCACCTGCAAACGGGCCGTGGGGCTCCAGGGAGCTGGCAGAGTGGGTCGTGCTGGGCATTCTGCCCAGGGGCCAGTCATCTTCCCCTCCTGCCCGGCAGCCAGCCAGGAGCGGGCCCTCTGAGCACAGCGGACACGGGTGAGGGGGCCGGGCCTATGTCTACTGGGACACGGGGGACCCTGAGCCTGCGAATGGTTTATTCTGTGCAATGCCTCGCAGCGTGGACACCCATGCCACTCCCGGACACCCAACCGCAGCGGGGCCGGGGAAAGTGTGAAGGTACTCACACTGCCGCCTCCAGGCACGTGTTTGATATTATCCTTTGAGCCACACTTGGACTGGACGTTGCTAAGATCCAGCTTCTTATTAATTATCTGCACCTTTGACAGCCAGAAAAGAGGATGAGTGACACACCCAGAGGATCCACCGTCTGCAGACCGCTCTGCTCGCTGACCTCAGATGGGGAGAGGGCCTGGGGCAGAAGGTCCCTCCTGGAGCCGCCCCAGAATCCTGAGCGGTTTGAGCTGGGCCTGCTTTACAGCAATGGGTTCACAAAATGGATCCATCAGGAGGGTTTAAAAAAGCAAAACCAAAACTGTTTTCTTGCCACTCTACACCACCACTTTGCACTCTGTTGGGCCCCTTGGAGCCTCACATATAAAAGTAACAGCACGTGTGTATATGGTAGTGATGACCGTGGACACGATCACACGTGGCTTCATGCCCTGCTTCCTGAGGTGACACCACGTCCAAGCACCAGCGGGTCGCAGAGTAACACAAGCATCATCTCTGCTCTCACATATTTGTGTCCATCCCATTTTAAACAATACAAACAGCTCCAGCATGAACATCTTTGTGCAAGCTTTATCCACAAAATAGATAATTTTCACAGTATAGAAAGTAGAGCGTCTCAGAAGTAGAATTTCTGGGTGAAAGTTATATTCTAAAAGTGCTCAATTCAATCCTCAAAACGGCTTTCAGCTGAAGTAAACGGGGCTGCATTGTTGGCTTAGTCTATTTGTTTTTTTAAAAATTTTTATTCTTTTTATTTTCTGTTAGGTATTTTTGTTCTGATGTCACCACGTATTGTATCTGTAACAGATACAATACGTGGTGACATCAGAACAAAACCTACTTATAACCTACTTCAGTCAAAAGTAAGTTAATCTTGAGCTTGAAGGAGCTGCATTTAAACAGCTTTTTGTCTTGAGCTGTTCCAAAGAATAGAAAACAAACTCTAACTCTAACTCCTGAGTAAGACACGACTACCAACTACACTCTCATGTTTGCCTTTAGAAGAGCTAACTCATGCAAATACAAATTATGCAAGCACATTTCAAAATATAGCAAGTCATTAATTTAAATGTATTCCTGTTTGCCCTCTTTTTGCTGGCTGGTGTTTTTTTTTTTTTTTTTTCTTTCCTAACATTCAAATGTTTACAGTGTCATATACTCAAATTCTTCCTTTATGATTTCTTCTCTGCTTTTTAAATGTAAATACAAGAGCCTTGAGAGGTTGGATAAATATCTGCAGGAGGAAGGAACCAATTCCCAGCAGCTGATCAGGGAAGGAACCAATTCCCAGCAGCTGATCAGGGATGCCTGAATTCCACCCCTTGAAGATTTTTACAGAAGTCACCCCCACGTGCAGGGAAGGGCTCTGCATGTGGGAACTACAACTCCCAGCATGCCGTGCTCCTGACTTTCCCAAGGGCCCCGGGACTGGGAGCAGGTAAGCAGCCTTGCTGGGGTTATAACTCAGTGCACGTGGAGTCGACTCGCTCTCCTTATTTTCAGCTTGCACCCTGGGGTCTCGACAGGTTCCTGGTAGGACATGTGCATCAGTTCATCTCTCTCTCTTCTCATTCCCCATTTAAAAATTGTTATTTCTCTCTGTGCACCTGCTTTCGGTTCTTGTCCTGCCTGAGTTGTTAAGCACTCCGGTGGGGACTCCCCCAGGTGCCCTGCTTCCCCCTGGGGCTCCTGCCGGGAACCCACATCACTGCTCACAGCAGGGCGGCCACCCCCACAAAAGCCTAGATCTGGGCGTTTCTGTGGCCACAGCTACCTGTGTGACAACAGTTTCACCTGAGCTGTTCTCAAGTCAAACAAAAACAACTCTCTTGGCAAACACTGCTGTCCTCTCCTGCCAGTGGGGAGTCACCTCAGCCCAGGCTCCCTGGGAGGAGGGGGACCCCCGCTTTCTCCCAAGTAGCTGCTGTCACCCTTAGCAGATTCTCTTTCTTTTTGGATTGCATTACTGTGTATGGAGGAAAGGAACATTGGTTTACAAAACAGTATGTGATTTGGGGTTTGGAGTCTCTGCCTCTTCAGGTGTGTTGTTGCACCAGCTTTTCACATCATGTCATGGAATCAATTCATATCCCCTGTGGACTTTAGGGAGTCCCCCTGTAACAGGGTGGTCCCCAGGAAAGGGGGAGGTTCCAGGTTCCCTGCCCCACCCAAGGGAGGGTGGAGCTGAGCAGGAAGAGAAGAGGATGCAGAGGAGACTGAGGAAGGAAGGAAGCAGGATGGAGCCAGGAGGAGCCCTGGAGGAGGCGCATGGAGCCAAGAAACATGTGAAGAAACTGTGCTTGTCTTTTGGTCGTGGACTGGGTGACACAGACGTGGGTGAGGCCCGTGGGGAGGTGACAATGGCAGCTTTTATCTTGATGTTGATTTTGCTCTTTTCCTTCGGGCTTGTCTGGTGGTTTCTGACCCTTTTCTGTGGGTCCCCACTGGAAGATGCTTTAGACTTGGGGCAGGCTTTGGGGCCTTGTTCTGGGCTGATCCCATATGGATGGACTTTTACCCATGAGGGGATGGGTCACTTTGGGTGCTTCATTTAAAAACTAGACTCTTTGCCTTTCCTGTACTGTTTACTAATTGTACTGATGTTCCTTTTCATTAAAATCTCATATGTTTTGTGCTGATGCGGCAGATGGCAAAACCTATTTAGAATAGGCAGGTTTGCGGGGTTTGGGCTGCCCCTCTCCCTGTCCTATAACACCATCTGAACCCTCCTTTGGGGATCTTTGTGTATTCATAACTTCTCCCTGGATAAGTCTCAGAGGCAAGATTGCCTGTGTTCTCAAAGAACTAGAAAATACATGATAATAAAACAAACTTTACAAAATAATGGTAAAAAGGAGGGGAGGTCATCAGGAGTCCCAATTACAAAACTGCTTCCTGGAAGCCAAGGCAAGAAAGGGAAATGGTAAGTCTCAACTGTCCTTATCTGACAAGAAAACATTTGGGTTTTTCAAGGGAGATAACCCTGTTTTTCTCTAATGATGACTTGCGAGGCATTAAATAATGAACAAGATCTACAACACACATAAATACAGTAACAGCAATGACTTTTCCATGTGGCTTTTTCTTGTTCCAATCCCACAAAAAAGGCAGGGCGCTCTACATGGTTTTTTCAGAAACACAGGTGCCTCATATCTGGCAGTAGCCCTGAAGATGCTCACACAGCACACCTGAGTCACTGCTGGTCGACAGACTGCATCAACACCCTTCACAGAATGTTTAGATTTGCAGAAAAGAGAAAAAGAGGTAATGGTGTAATGGCTGGTGTTACAAAATTGGAATCCTGGAACAGTTTCTCAGAGTAACGTGTTTCAGCTTTGAAAAGACATTGAAAATACTCATCAGAGGAGAGAACAGTGTTTTTAAGCTCCAGGGAACATTGAGTCAAGGGACAGATTCCTGTGGTCAGGGCTTGACCCTGGAAGAGGGGCTGGGCTGGGCTGGGCTGAGGCTGGCTCCACGTGGCTTTAATCCGTTTTCCAGAGAACCAAAGCCACCCCACCCCCTCACTGCGCCTTGACCTGGCTTCCGGTTTCTGTTGGGTTCCGGTCTGCAGGTGCTACTGATAGTGTCGCCCTCCCCCATCTCCCAGGCTGGCAGAGAGGCCCAGGCTGCCCCTGGGGAGGCCTGCATTCACGGCCGGCCTGCAGAGGCCACTTTCTCATTTGCAACCTTGGGCTGAGGACGGGAAGCTGGGATGCCCTGGCAGGGCTCACCTGAGCCCTGGACACCCACAGCGAGCCTCCAAGCCTAAGAGCCTGAAAACGGACACAGGAAACTTATCTAATCCTGCCACATCAAGCAGACAAGGAAGAGATCGAATAACTAGGGACTCACCTTTGAATGATTAACTTCCTTTTTAAACAGTGACAACGCCAATTTCCTTTAAAATGATCCACTTTACATGTGGGTTTTTTTTTTTTTTTTTTTTCCCAGAAACACAGATGCCATTTACGAGGAGAGATGCACAGAGGGTCTCAGATACTGACCCAGAGGTGGCCAGAGGAGCCCAGGCTGGCTCCTCCCCAGACCCCCACTGTAGGGCATGACCTCTCAGCGCTGGGCCCCCTGAATCCCGGCCTTCACCCAGGACGCCGGGCGAACTACCTCAGGTACAGATTCATTGTATTTACTCCACGTATATGCTCTACATACATGTGTGCTTTTAATAATGACAACTGGGACTTTGCTAATCAAGGCAATATAATTGTAGGGGTAACTTTCTCCAGGATGGAGACAGAGGTTTATGGGGTTCTGTCGCCATCTCATGGCCATCTGGGGCATTGCAGCCCAAGGTTTTGGAAGCCTGCAGTTGCTGGTAGGTTCTATCCTGCTGGTCCTGGCATCCTGGCTACTGGCCTGGACATCCTCAGAGGTAGTGACTGTAACCCCATCTGGTCAGAGCCAGCCTCACCATCCCTTTGCCCCTTTCTGGCAATGACCCTTGGCAGCCACAGAGAACCCGCCCCCCCAGTCCTCTTGACCAGGCAGCCTTGCGCCCAGGTGTGCTCATTCACCCAGGATGGTGTCCTGCCTACGTGCCTCCCTAAGTGCTCTCCACAGGCCACACAGAGGGGCTGCTGCGCCGGTTCTGCCTCCCCCCGCCCTCATTCAAATCTGATGGGGACGCCCAAGCTCTAGCTTGAGGACAGCTGAGCCTGAGGCTCTCTGCAGGCGACCCCCTTCCTTCCCTACCCGCTTTCTTCTCCATGCTCCTGGGGGATGAGAAGCCATGCCCCGGGTGCAGCCGTCCCCGCCGCTCCATCAGTGCGCAGCGCCCCTTACGTCTCGTGGGACCCGGCGTGCTCCAGCGGGCCGCGCCCAGCCAGCCCTGGCTCTGTTTTGCTCTGAAAGTCAGCTGAGCTCTGGCCCCCCCACCCTGGTGGACCCCATTAGTCCTCTGACTATGGTCAAGGACGACCTGCATGCGCCTCTGAAAGTGACGTCACTCTGCCTCTTCAAGCAGCACGTGTTCTGTGCAGAAAATCGTGGAACAGAAAAGCGCGAGGCAGAAAAGAGACGCAGAGCCAATAAGGGGTATTATCTGGGGAGGCTCCCAGTCTCTGAGGTTGACAAGCCTGTGTCTCCCGCTTGCCCTTCCCTGGTGTGGTTCTGGGGTGCGGCCCCTTAGGCAGCCCCACCGGCGGGGCGCTGGCTGGCGGGCGGCACCAGGGTGGCTCGGGGCCTGCAGATCTGGAGGAGGGGGGGAGGCCCCGTCCAGGCGCAGGAGGCTGGGATGCTTCACAAATCTTCTTCCTTTCCCTTCCTCTTTTCATCTTCCCTTGGCCTGTCCTTGCTGCCCCAGAGGCTTCCTTTGTCTCGACTTTCCAGGTTTTCCCTGGACCTTAAGGGACAGCGTTTCTCCTCCGCAGCCACCCTCCTCCTCAGAAGTACCGGGAAAGTCACCCTTTCTCCTCTGACCCTTCTGGAGAGGGCCCCTGGGCTCCTCCCTCGCCCTCCACTCTGCGCTCAAGCCTGGAGTGTGGTCCCGCCGCCAAAGGGGACTTTGTGGACGCCTCTGTCCCCTTCCCTGGGGGTCGGGCTGTGGCGGGAGCTGCTGCCAGAGCCGGCTCCCCTGCCCTGCGGGTGCCCGGGCTCAGGGCTGTCTTCTCAGTGGTGCAGGCCTGGCTGCAGGGGGTTGGTTTTCACTTTTCAGACGGGGACTCCCGGTTCCCTGGTGGGGAACACCCGAGGCCCTCTCCCTGGGGGCGCCTTGGTGCCCCAGGCTTCACCGAGGGGTCGGCTCAAGCCTCCTCAGTGCCCAGTGCAGCTGCCCGGGGTCCCTTGGGAAGGAGATCTGCACACCAGGGAAGCAGACGCGGCCCCTGTCCAGCCCCCAGGGTCCAGCCCCAGTGACCCCGGGACCTGGTGCTCTAGCCCCCAGGTGCTCCCTCCACGGTGTCGGGTCCTAGAGCGGCGGCCCCCTGCGGCGCCCAGCCCGGCAGATGGAAGGGAAAAGGTGCTCAGGACTCCGTGAAGCCCCAGCTCTCCAGGAGGCTCCTTGCCCTGGCGATGGCCAGCCTGGACGCCCACAGGCTGTGGAGAGTGGAGTCTCACTCCTCGGCATCCTGCCTCCATCCAGGGCGCCTCTTCTTTCTCCCTCCCCCACCCTAGCACTGGTCAGGAAGGCTGTCTGGGGGTCAATGGGGTCCCCCTAAATTCGTGTGCTGTATTCCCAGCCCCCTGGAGCTCAGCGTGGAAGTATATTTGGAGACAGGGTCTTGAAATAGGACATTTAGTGGAGATGAGGCCCCTGGGGTGGGCCTGATCCAACAGGATTATCAGAAAGGCCGCTGGGACAGACACACTGGAGGGAAGGCGGCCAGCTGCGGGCCTCGGGGAGGCCTTGGGAGAAACCAGCCCCTTGAACTTGGACTTCTGTCTCCACAACTGTGAGGAAACACATTTCTGTTGCCTCAGACGCAGCCTGTGGTACTTTGCAAGTCAGCCCGGGAACATGAATACGGGGAACCAGGGACAAGAGGGGGGAAGGGCCTGGGGCTGCCCGGTCTCCACCTCAAGCCCTCGGAAGCTCATGTCTCTCCACTTTTAGGAGACCCGAAGATTTCCCAAGCACACACTCACCCCGGCAAGAATCAGCTGTTCAAAGTGGAAGCCCTGAGTGTTCCCAGAATTGAGGAACAGAGAGAAACTTCACCCAAACAAATGTCGGGTCAATACCAGAGACGCCCACCGACTGCTCGACTGGCGTGTTCTGAACACCGGGGACCAGAACCTCTGGCCCCAGGTCGTGCAGCCCCGCCCTGGAATCTGGGATCCTGTCCCTTCAGCAAGGGCAGAAACGGGGGAGAAAAGAACAAGGCTGTCTCCCCTGGGCAGGCACCCACAGCCTCGTGGCCGCGCGAACCGTCACCCCAGGCCGTCTGTCCTCGGAAGACGCCCCGAGTCTGCTGTGTGAGTGGTGGGAGCCAGGCCCACCCGCCGCCGCCGCCCAGCCGCAGCCCCCACGCCTCCTGCCGTCCTGTGGCCGCCCGCGCCAGCCTGCAGGCCCGCCTCGCCCGCCTTACCTTGCCGCCGCCGGGCTGGTGCTTCAGGTTTTCAGTGGAGCCGATCTTGGACCTGACGTTCTTCAGGTCTGGCATGGGCACGGGGGCGGTCTGCAGGCGGCTCTTGGCTGAAGACGGCGACTTGGGGGGCGTGCGGACCACTGCCACCTTCTTGGGCTCCCGGGTGGGCGGGGTGGGCAGGGAGGGCGTGCGGGAGCGGCTGCCAGGAGTGCCTGGAGACCCGGGGCTGCTGTAGCCGCTGCGATCCCCCGACTTCCCAGATTCGCCTGGAGAGGAAGGAGGGAGTGAGGCCAGGATGGGGGGTGTGGGGGCTGCCTGTCCTGAGGGCCCACGCCCAGACTCGGAGGCCGTTAGGCAGGTGGGCGCCGGTTGGAAGTTCAGCTACAGCAGCAGGCCGCGGCCCTTGAGGTGGTGCCTAGTGACACACCCCGCTTCCCAGCCCTCCAGGAGCCGAGACGCCCAGCAACAGCGTGATCATCGAGGACCGCCCAGAACCCCCTTCCAGAGGGGGCCCAACTCTGCCCTCGGCCTGGGGTTCAAGAGACGGGCTCCAAGTAGCTGTGCGGTCTCAGACAAGTCACTCACCCTCTCTGAGCTCAGGGCCTCAACTCAGAAACAAACAATTACAAAGCCTGTAGTGAGGCCAAGTGGGAGACTCTGCAAACTTGTTTTGTGAAACTCCAGGGCGAGTCTACGTGGCCTTTTCCCTAAAAGGGACGATGCAGTGTCAGGACACAGCCGGCACCTGGCTGGACGGGCGAGGCCCTTCAGAGTTTGGGCAAGTTCAAGGCCTTTTCTAGGGGATCCCTGGCCCCTCTGGACTCCTCTGCAGCACCTGCATCACCCGCCCCTCTCAACAAGCCTCATGCCGCCAAGCCCTCCCTAAGAACACCCTTTGCCCAGCCCAAACAGTGCCCCCTCCCCCACCCCGGTCCAGGGCAGGTCACCCTGACTCAGCCCCTCCCTTCTCAGGGCCTCCTCCCGTTCCTGCTCTCATCACGCTGTGGTCGCACGCTGTTCTGTCTACCTGCTGGGTCAGTGTTTCCAGGGTGTGGCCCTGAGATCCTGCATCAGGATGTCCAGAGTATGGGGGTGCAGGGGAGGAAGATGCAGGGGCCTGGGGCCCAGCCAGAAGTGATCACTCAAAATCTGTGCAGTGGGGGCAGCCAGGCTGGCTTGTCCCAAGCTCCCTGGGGATTCTTGAGCAGACTCAGCTCTGAGAGCCGCTGGGCGGGATGCCAGGCCGGGTGACCCGGGCCCGGCTGCAGCTCTGAGGGCGGCTGAGCTCTGTGGTGGGCTTCCGAGCCTCTGGCCACCAGGCCCCGCCAGGATCCGTCTGTAACCAGCAGGACCCCAGCCTGTGCTCAAAGGGCCGAGCAGCAAAGGAGCCACTTCTCTGGCCACGGGGAGAACAAGCCAGTGATAAGCAGATGCTTTCAGGGGCTGAATTTCGGTGCCTGTCGGGTATTCCTAAAATGACTCAGCTCTGTGGTGTAGGGGAGCAAAAACCTGCCACTCGAAAATAGGTCTTTGGCAAACGGTTAGTTTCCTGGGAGGGGCTCTGAAGGCCGGCTGGGGCAGCTTCTCTGTAAGGGCGTCGCTGTCGCTGTGCTGGGAAGACCTAATCTCGTCTTTCCTGGAGAAGGCAGAGCTTCAAGCTGCGTACCTGCTTACCGCGCCTTCCCTGCGGAGGCCTCACTGTCTTAGCTAAGCTGTTTAAGGCAGCGGCTGAGGCCACTTAGCAAGTGACTGGGTCACAGGAGGTCGACGCTTCGTTACTAAACTCGCTTTTGACTTATCCCTCTTATCATCTCTCTGAAGCTTGGTGCACTGTTTGCCTGCGGGGCCCAGAGGGGCACAGCACCATGCCTGGGCACCCGACAGTGGCAACAGGAGAGCTGTGGCCTTTTCCCTTTTCCACATAAGGAAACCGGAGCTGGGTCTCTGCCTCCAGGCTCAGCAGCTGTGCTGGGTGGGGGCCTGACACTTTCTGCACCATTTCTTGCCGAGCGGCCGCAGGCAGGTCACTTAACCGACCTGAGCTTGTGCCCTCAGCTGGAGAAGGCGGGGAGCAGACAGCCCACAGGTGTGCGGATGCATGTAGTAAGGGCTGGCGGGGATTTCACACACACACTTGGTCCAGAACAGTCCAAACCTCCAGCACCCAAGGAGAGCTCAGGCACATGCTCCCCATGCCAAGGGCCGCCCGAAGTTAATGAGAACACGCGGGGTTAGCAAGGTCCAGCAGATGGACACGTCCGCACAAACCACGCTCAAGACAGGCGGGCAGCTGCCCCCGCCTGCTGCGGGCCCGGCGCGGGGTGTGAGTGTCACAGCAGGGCCTGCTCTGCACACGTAAGCCGCATACACAGAGGGCCCCGGGCCGAGCAGGCTCAGAATTACCTCTCTCCGACTTGGCCCCCGAGGGGGGCGGCTTCCTCTGCACTTGCTTGGTGGCTTAAAAAGAAAAACCCACACAAGTCTCATTAGGACCAAGCTCACGTGAGCCCTTCACGAGCTCCTCAGCCCAGCTGTGCTGGCCGTCAGCCGAGGCCATGGGTGCAGGGACCAGGGCTCCGTTAGCAGCCCACCTGGGGGGAGGTGGGGGTGTCTGTCCACTGCCTCTCCAGGGCAGGTGCGCGCGAGGAGCATGCAGGCTGTTTCCAGCCCCGCCTCCGGGCGTGTGAGGGGGCCAGTCACTTGGCGTGATGTCAAGGGTCATATATCGAATCCAGTCATGATTCTGCTCACATCATGTGTGTTGTCGCGCGGGAGGAGAAACACTTCTAGCCCACCTGGCTTTAGAGAGTTGTCCTTACCGGCGCTGCCCTAAGGTGGACCGGCTAACGGCCAACGCCTGTCTGAGCCGACACCTCAGGCCACAAGCAGCAGAGACACCAGCCCCCCAGCACCACAGAGCCAGCCCAGGCCACAGGCCCAGGAGTGCGGGATAAACCCGGTGGCCGGGCAGGTGGCCGGGGCAGTGAGATGAGGGAAGGGCTGGGGACAGTGGGATGGGGAGCTGGGCCTGGCTGTGCCTGCCTCCCACAGAGGAGGACGGCTCTTCATCAGCACTGTGGAAGCAAAGTCACTCGGCTGAGGCCTTGTGTCCAGGGCTCATAACCGACTGATTCTGCTCACAGGAGCCCATGAGACAGGCACTGCAGGCACCTGTTCCACTAAGACCCTGGGGTTTTATCCGTGTGTCCTTGAGCTCAGCACACGCGTCTCATTTGGGGACTGAGAACTCCCCCAGGGGCCCTGGACTTCGGGTGAGAGAAGCTCCGAGAAGCTTCTTTCCTGCTCCTTATTCAACATGCATTTTTCTCATGCTTTGAACGAGCTGGCTACACCCAGTGTTGCAAACTCCGTCTCCTTTCCTCCGCTGAGAAAAAGTGGGGAGTCTGTATCTACCTCAGAGAATTGCCCAGAGGGCTACAGAGAAAACAGACACAGGATTCTCGTGAGCCACAGGCGTCCATCAGCTGCCGGTGCCTTCAGAGGCCTTCAGGGGCCTTCAGAGCCAGGGGCTGTGCCAGCCTGGATGCCAGAGCCGCTCACCTGTGCCCGGTGGGGTCTTGGGGCTGGGTGTGGTTTTCGCTGGAATCCTGGTGGCGTTGGCTGGGCCTTTCTGGCCTGGAGGGGCCGCTCCCCGGGGTGTGGCGATCTTCGATCCGGTTTTATTATCCGACCCCTGCAAATGGAAGCGCCGAGAGTGGTTTTTATTTTTATGAGTGGGAGAAGTTCCTGGCCCAGCGTCACCGCCAGCTCACAGTGCGGCTGAGCCCGGCGAGTCTCAGACATGACAGCGTCTTCCACAAGCACCAGGGTCTGCTGGGCACAAACCCACAGCCCCACCCAGACACTGGCACCCTGCCTGCCGCCGCCTCCTGGAGGACTGTGTGCCATTCACTGCTATGGTGCCCAGGTCCTTTCTAAAAAGGCAACGGCGCTTCTCAGACAGTGGGGCTTGTGACCCACTGTGTCCGCCAGTAGCAGACACTCACTCCTGGCTCTCCCGAGAGGCTCTCTGACCTGTGACTCTAATAGACCTTCTGTTTGGTTTTGTTTTTTTTTAAGATTTATTTTATTTATTTATGCATACAATACAAGAACTGGGGTGCAGGCTAGAGTGTGGGGGGCAAGAGGATTCACCAGAGACAGAGAGGAGCACAACAGGCAGGCTGCCTGAAATACACTGCTGAGGGGAGCATCAAGCGAGACAGGAGAGGTCTGCTGCGCCATGTGGGTTGCTCCCTGACTGGGGATCGAACTTGTACTGCAGTAGCTGCTGATAGCTTCATAGTCTGTGACTTTAACCCCTGTGCCACCAGGGAGGCCCCCTTAGGGTCTCTGTGACCAGTGGCCCCAGGGCACTGCTTGTTGAGCCTCACTGAGGGTGTCAGTGAAGCCAGAGGTGGTCTTTTTGTTTTCTCCCAAACAATCTTAGGTTTCAGTAATTCCTGATGTGCACGAAGAGCCTGGGAGGGGTCAATACCAGCATCGGTCAACAGACCAGTCAAAGGTCATGAGCACGAGCTCAGCAAGGCTGCCATGGGGTGGTTGCAGGTTCTGGTTCCCCAGCAGGTGACCTTGGCACATAACACAGGCTCCAGTGACACCGGCATTCTCCAAGGCCTACGAGGTGGCTCGGGAGGGAGTGAACGGGAGGGTGGGCACTGCCGGAGAGTGATGCCATCCAGCCAAAGTGAGGGCACCAGGAGGCGCTCCCTGTCACCAGAGGGTCCCAACTAGAGTGGTGGTTTTCAAACCAGGGTCCCACTGGGCGCCTCAGGAGCTGCTCTAGCTGGACCCGGGGAGGCGGAGGCAGAGAAGGATGGCAGTGCGCCCCCGTCTCCCCACTTCCTTTGGGATTTTAACCGCTTCCAGCTAAGAGCTGATCTGAAGGTCTCCGAGGCGAAAAGCACACATTTGAAAACCACGCCAGCACAGCCTGATTCCTTGTCAAAGGTGGTTCCTTACCTTGAGCTTCATCTGCTCTGCTCCAGTACTGCCGGTTCGGGGTGTGACAGAAGACCCGTGTTTAGGAGTGGAGGATGGCTCTGGGCACACGGCAGGGCTGGAGGGTTTGATCAAAGGGTCTGAGCTACCAGGAGTGGGGCGTTTGGGGCTAAGGCAGGGCCTATTTCTCAGGGTTTTAGCAGAGGAAGGTGTGGATGTCTTAAACATAAACATAAATAAAATCAAAATAAAAGTCAGCACATGGGGAGCAGAACAAACCGAAAAGGACAGTAACCAAAAATAACTACGCAGGTAATGGCTTAAAACAGTGATCTTCAAATAGGATCCAGGACCCTCACCAGCATCGTGTCCACAAGAACAGAAAGTGACCACGCACCCCGATGTCCCTGTGGTTGCCGATCGGTAACACCGACGCCGCGATCACAACACACAAGGCACATCACCAAATTTACACAGGACACAGCTTTTGAAAGAACGTATGACAGAGGGTTGGAAGTTCTAGAATGGTCTTTGTCCGGCCCACAGGCTGGCTCTCCCTGTGTCTACTTTGGAGACCACTGGTTTAAAGGTGTTTTGTGCCCGTAAAGTCAGTGGAGACCACTGAAGTATTCAATTCTTGGAATGTTCCCCCAAAACATCCCCAACTTGACATGGGTCAGAAGTACCCCCACTTTCTGCTCAATTCTAAGTGGGGCGCTCGGGCCTGCTCACCCTGGGTCTTCTTCTAACCACCCCACAGAATCATACTTGCTGGAACCAGGCTCGCGCCTGCCCTGCATCTTACAGAGATTCTGACACCACTTAGGCACGCACACGTGCTTTCTGGTGACATGAATCCTAATCTGGCCAAGGCATCCCACCTAAGGAAACAGGCTGGGTAGGATGGGGGGCCTGGGGAGCTGGATGATCCCCCCAAAGGGAGCTGCCCCTTGAGTCCTCCAGTGGGTGCTGAGTGGTTTGTCCTGACTGCCTCTGGGGGTCTCTGACCAGAAAGCTAGGCCCCAGGGGACAGGTGGGCTGGGGGGGGGGGGCAGGCCACGCCCCCAGGGGTGAAACTGAGAGCCAGGCCAGGGGCGTTGCAGGGTGGGGCTCCAGAAGAGGGGCCCAGCTGGAGGCCTCCTCATACTTCTTGGGGTGTTTGCCCCCGGCCTTTGGATTTCCCACTGAAAAGGCCAAAGCCCTTTCTTTGGCCAGTGGTGGTCAGGATGGTCCAAGGAAGGGGCAGGGTGCAAGGGGAAGGGGTGCAGGCTGAGATGCCTGGGGTGTGGCAAGGAAGTAAAGCCCCTTCCACAGCAGCACCCGCTGCCTGGCTGAGGTTCCTGAGAGATCTGACCCTTTACTGTGAGACTGAGAGCATCTGCAGGCCAGGGATGTTGTTCCCTGTGTGTGAATGAGTGAGTTCATGCTTGGGTGAGTCTGGGGCGGGGGGCCCTAAGTGGGCATCGTGACTGGTAAACAATTCCTGCTTGCTACGAGGGCAGAGCACCCCCAGGCTCCAGCAGTCCCCTCGGCTCCCTCCCCAACATCTTGGGACAGTGATACCGGCTTCTTACAGGGCAGGCAATTTGGGGAGCGGCCGGCAGTGCAGGCTGCCCCCTCCTAGGGCTCTGTTCTGCATCTGGTAACCCTTCAGGGCTCCGTTACTGTCGAGACCTGATGCTTCAGGCAGGGTTTATATTGGGCATCTTAGATTCCTTTAAGAAAAGCAGGTCTTGTCTAGGGGCCACAATAGGGTTTTCGAAAAGCATTGCTGTGCGGTCACAGAGGCACGTTCCAGGATGCAAAGTCGTGAAAGGGCGTGACTATGTGGGGCCGTGGCGGGGAGAAACACCTGGAGGGCTGGGCATGGCATCCTAGGCAGCACTGGGCCCACAGCTGCTTCCTCTGCTGCTCCTTGGGTTGGTTTCTGAAGACTGACAGCAGCACTGGTCAAATGCTGCTTTGGTAAGGCTGGAAGAGGGTGCAGCTCCAGAGAGGGGAGGAGCACTGCACAGGTGGGAGCACAGAATGGGCCCCATCTCCCCACCACCATTTACATGCAGCCGCCTGGGATTGGAGTCCTGCGTGCTGTGATGTGGGCTTCCTGAGCGGGGCCCCTGGGAACTAGGAGCAGAGCTGAGTGGACTGCACAGTGCGGAAGGCAGGAGGGCCCACGCCCTTGCTCCTGTGGCCCGACTAGCACCCTGGCACCGCCGGGAGGGAGGCTTGGAGGAGAGATGCACAGAGGCACTTGTGAGAGACCGTGAGGAGGCTGCTCCTTGGCCAAGACCATGCGGCGTTGTCTTGACTTCATGGGGGTTACCTGGTCCTTTTGAATCTGGGGTCTCTCCTTTGCTCCCCGCTCTCTGTGACTGCCTAAACCCCTGTTGTGCGGTTCCCCACCAAGGACTCCTTGGACTTGTGGGAAGCTTTCAGGACCCAGGGCCCCTGCTTCAGCTCCACCCTGTTTGGCTGGGCTTTTGCCCACAAGGGGATGGGTAATTTGGGGGATTTATTGGGAAGCTATTATTAGGAATCGTAGCCTTTCTTCTCTATGGGCACTAATTCTACTGAAGATCTTTCACATGAAGAGTATGCTTCCTTAGCCTCAGCGTGGCAGATGGCTGACCCCCATTGAGAGGGTGCACCCCTCAACAGTTTGGGGCCCCTGGGTCCTCTCAGTCACTTGCTAACAGTGTGTGTCTCCTGTACCACAGCCATATTCATCCACTTAGCAGATGGGGGTGCAGCGAGTTCCCCCACTTCTCCTCCCGTCAGCCTCCACCACCCGGAGCTCTGCAGCAGCCATGCCAACCCGCCCGAGTGCTCAGGACGCACTCACCCCTTCTGCTGGTCTTGGCTTGTGCTATTCCTACTCCTGGAAATGCCTTTCCCACCCCTGTCTTGCCAACCCTCATTTGGGGTTCCTTTACCATCTGCCTCTAGCACCTTTCCAGAACCCCTCACCCTATATTGGAGATCATTTCAAAGGTCAACGCTTCCTCTGCCCACTAAGTAAATGGTGTTTTCTATATATCTTAAGTGCGTGTGTGTGTATGTGTGTGTGTTTGCTGAGCGCAGGTGTGTAGTGGGAAGTATAAGATGGGCAACATTCAAGCTTTATTGCAAAAAATTCAAACATACCTTTAATTACCGTGGCCGGCTCATTTAAGCCCTAATCACGATACTGCAATTAGGAACATTAATTCACTAACCTGCTTGCTCCCCCTCCCTGGCATAAGCCTCAAGGCAGAGAAACGCTGGACTTTTTAGAGTTTGCATAAAAATACGCAGCACTCTCCGCGACAGCTGTTCTGTGACAACTGCCCCCGACTTTACACATGAACACTCATTGCTGGCTGCTGCATAGACGTGACCTGTGGCAGGAAGTTGGTGGTTTCGACAGCTTACCTTATGCTTTTTGTCATCGTTTCCAGTCCCATCCTTGCTTTTACTGACCATGCGAGCTGGCAAGACACAAAATGAGAACGTGCGTTACCCCCACATCACAGCTCCCAGAGCCCAGTGCCGTGACGCTCGTTTCTCCTGGGTCAGCACGTTAGTTCAGCTGGCCTTGGTGGAGACCCAGGCTGTTTTCTTTCCCCTTGAATCTATTTGGGGTCACGTTGTTAGTATCAACACAGCACGCTGGGTCATTGCTGGGAGGACCCCGGAGAGAGAGGCAAGGGCTGGCTGGGGTTGGGGGCATGCGGAGGGGGCACAGCAGAAACTGTTCTGGGCACCGACTGGTCCAGGGCGGTCAGGAGAGGTGATGCAGGTCCCACCACCTCAGGTTCCCTCCCTTCCCAGGGTGGCCTCCCCCAGCTGGGGCCAACCCCACTTCAAGGAGGGGGTGGCATTGGCAAGCCCCAGGGTGACAGAGAGGTGGTGCAGCCAGCCACCCTTGCGGAGCCCCTGCTCGCATGCTGTTGCCCAGGAGCAGGGGGTCGAGCTGTCCATCCAGAGCCGTCCCTCACTAACGGGGCTGTGGCCACAGCCCAGCTACTCTCTGATGAGCCCATCCCTCCTCCGCGACCATCCCCTTCTGACCCAGCCTGGGGGTCTTCTCATATCACCCAAATAATCCCCAGGGGATTATATGCCATTCCCCCAAATTAGCCACAAACTAGTTACCATCAAACATCCCTCTGCTAACATCTGGATCTGAGGAGCAAGCCTTTGACAGGTTTTGTCTGGAGGACCAGACTCCTTTGGGGAAATGGATCTGGGCAGCTGGTCTACCTGCCAGCGGCTCCTCTAACTCTTCCTGTCCTCCTGTTGACACTAACGGCTGAAAGCAGGTTGTACACCTTCATCTTTGGTTTCAGTATCGTATTCCCCTGTCCCTGGGCGATGGAGCTCCTCATGGCTGCTGGACACACGACATCTTGGGTGACTGCCTCTGACCATCTAACCCAGAGGTTCCAGACTTTACCGTGCAATGGAATCATCTGCAGATGTTGCTAAAATACAGGTGCCCGGGGCCAGACTGTAAGCCTAGGGAGGGGTCCAAGAACCTGCATTTTTAACTGGGAGCCCAAGCAAACCTGACTGTCTTGGCCCAAATCAATCCCCATTATCCATGTCACCACAAAAGCATTGGCTAGATCAGCATTTCCCAAGTCAGGGTACAACTGAACAAGCCTTCTTCCAGGAGACATTGAGGGGGGAGCAAATAAATTTGGGAAATACACACTGACCCCAGAGGGTCACGTTAGATGATTAAAGGCCCTGATAAGTCCTGCAGCAGCAAACCCTGTTTAACTTTCTTTGGGCTGTTTTATTTTTAACCCTCACTTACTGGACCATGGAACTCCCTGGACATGCAGTGGGGCAAGATTCGATAAAGTATTCAAACTCGGTATTTGAATAAATCTGTATTCAAATTCAATAAATACTGATTCAATACATCAGTCTTCAAAGTTCAAGAAACACTGCGATGTACACCAAGTCATAGTTACCTGGCCCCTCACATGGAATTTAGGATATTTAAAAATAGGACAGAGGGATTTATTTTTGCCAGTTAAATTTTAAATGCAGGTTCCTTTATTTATAATATTTCAAAGTTTTCTTGACGAATAACATCTAATAAAAAATGAACTCATGTTTGCATCTCACAGTTTAAATAGCATCAATCTCTGCACCTCGTAAATAATTCAAAAACGCTGAGGGCCCTAAATACAAGAATGTGCCCATGTGTGGCCCCGTGGGCTCCTCTGGGATGTAAACTGCCCTCTCCCTGGCAGGACGCAGAAACCTCAGAACTTGGGGACTCGCTGACAGACTGCTGTGGTCCTGTCCCCAAGGGCTCCAGAGGGGCCCAGACCGAGACCCCTGCAGTACCAGCTCAGGGCCACCCGGGCTCTGCGGAGGCGGAGAAGGTGCCTAGGAGAGAAAGATGTTGCTTCTGCCCACTCTCTTCTGCCACAGGCAGGCGGTGGCTTGGCCTGTGTGGCCAGAGACCCTGCGTGGGTTCTTGACCACCTCCAACCAGACGGCAGGCATGTGCCCTGTGTGTCTTGGCCAGGAGGGCACACTGCAGACTCTTCTGGAAGTACTGTGGTGTACAGGGAGGAGCAGGGCTACCTGGACCCTGAACCTGGCTCATCACGACTGTGTGACCCTGGGCAGCTTACTCTGCCTCTCTGAGTCTCAGTTTCCTCCTGGGCCAAGTGGGACCAGTTGTGCCCAGGTGGGAGGTGAGGTGGCTCTACACAATGCATTTAGGTGCACAACAAGCCCTCAAAATGGGAGCAGCTGTCATCCTCTCTGCAGTGCGGCACGCCAACCCCCCGTGGCGGATGGGCTGTGGTGGATAAATAAGAGGTGGGAGGAATGTCAGGAAAGAAAGCACTGGGTGGGGTGTTGTGACATGCGGGGCGGCCGGCCGGCAAGCATGGGGGGCAGGTGCTGCCAGCGCCTGGGCGGGAGGGGAGGCGTGAGCGGCAGAGTCCAGGGGTCGGTGTAGAGGCTGTCCCGGGACCCCCGAAGCAGCAGGAGTCAAGGAGGGGCCGAGCTCGGCGGCAGTGCCCGCAGCCTGGGTGGCACACGAGGTTGCCAGGAAGGAGCCAGGGAGCTCGTCACAGACCTTTGAGTTGAGGGACCCGGCTGACGGGCTTCCCTGGCAGACCAGCTGCAGGCTGCTTGTCAGGCCATTTCGGAAGGTCAGTCTTTTTTGAGTCCTCTCCCACAGAGAGGCCCTGGGGCTCCTGCTCTTCTCTGGGTGTCCCCGGAAGTGCATCCCCTTCCAAATCCTCCTCCAAAGGTCCTGACTCCTTCGGATCCCTTTGTATGTTAGCTTTGATTTCCACGTGGAACTCGAACTCGGGGGGCGCTTCCTGCTCTTCGGCGGTGGGCTCTGCCCCTGGTCCTTCCGGCTCTGGGACTAGGGTAGCCTCTGTGGCCTCCCTGGGAACTGTCTGGGAGGGCATCCCACCTTGGGCTGGGGGGCTCTGAAGACTTGGGGAGACTTGGGAGGGAGGGGAGTCCTGGGGTGAGGACTCATCGATGTCTCGGTCTTCGTCAACTTCCTCGTCCCCCAACCTCTCCTTGTCCTGGTCCCCCTTCAGGGTCAGCCCCTCCTGGTGCAGGTCTTGCAGAATCTGGTGTTCCGGCAGCTCAGCCCTGCGGTGGCTTCCCTCTGCGTCCTGGGGTTCTGTGCCCCAAGGTCGGTGGGAGGCCTCTCTGGGGCCTTCAGGCAGGACGGGAGCCCCAGGGAGGTCGGACACATGCTGGTGGGCCAGACCCAGGGTCCTCAGATCTGCGGCCTCCCCTCTATGGAGCCCCGGGCCCTGGAGGAGGCTCCCCCGGGCAGTCTTGCTGCTCTCAGTGTCCATTTGGAGATATTCAGGGGAGGTCAGACCCTCCTTGGCCTCACCCCCTCTTTCTGGTGCCCATTCCTGGGGGGACTCCTGAGGCTCTCCTATTGGAGGCGGTCGTTGGCAGCTGGCTAGCTGCTGAGAAAGGTGAGAGGTCAGCAGAAAGGGGGCTTCCAGCCCTTTCTCCCCCAGAGGAAGCGGGGAAACCCCAGAAACTTCACCACGTCCAGGCTGGACCTGAGGGCTGGAGTCACTGGCCAGGGTCCTCCCAGGTGCCTCCCTCTGCGGACCCGGAACGCACAGCTCCGCTGGTTTGAAGAGGCAGTGGTGGCAAAGGGTTAGCAAGGGGGCACTGATCTCAAGGCGGGGAACACACTCTTGAAACAGGAAAAGGACAGAAACGGGCCTCGCAAGCCCCCCCAGCCCAGAATAAGGAGCACAAGGCGTTGTTGTTCTCGCTGCAACTGAGTCTAGCTGTCACCCTCTCGCTGGGTGGCCCTGCGTGAGCAGCTCCCCTATCAGGGCCTCAGCTTCCCCTTCTGTGAAAGGGGGCCTTGGACCGGTGCCCTCCAAGGCCCACCTGGCACCAGGGAGGCTCCTCCGTGTGCTCAGAGTGAGCCGGTGTGTCCACTCGGACACAGAAGCTTCTCCCCCGGCACTTGTGGCCTTCTGGCTTCCAGAGTGGACCTGGCTTGAGTGCAGCAGGGATCCCCACTCCTCTCCCACACTCCCTGCCCCCCTTTTTGTCAAATGAAACCAGCAGGTGCTCAGAAGCCAACCCTGCCTTCAGCCTGTGCCGAGACATGTGGACAATCCACATTCACCATCACTGGGGCCTGAGCCTTGAGGAGCCTGCCGAGACCTGCACAGAAGCTGACTCACACGGATCCGGGTCACGGAGCATGCCAGGCCTTCTGCTGAGGTGGCCTGGGCTGCAAAGACGTTGTGGCCCTGGGGACCCCACCTTCACCTGGACACGCAAGCACCACACCAACCGGGGGACAGAGGGCGCCTCGTTTTCCTGGCTCATTGGTGTGAATTCCGCCTAGACTGTCTGACTTCCCATTACAGGACAGGAAAGTTATGCCCTTGGGCCCAACAGGTCTCCTCTAAACAAAACCAAAGACCACGAAGGATGAAAGGATCGAGGGGCTTGGAAGAGAGGGAGGTGGGACCATGTGAGGGGAGAAGGCGGGAGAGAGCGTGTTCTACACACGCGTGGGGCTGACACGGGCAGCCAGGCCCGGCTGGCTCCCCGACCCAAGCAAGCCCATATGGCAGGCCAGGGGCTCAGTCCCGGGAGGCCCAGCAGGGCTGGCCTCTGCCTCCCACCCTCCTGCCGCCTGGACTCGTGACCTCGCCCATCTTGTGCTTTTGCACCGACCACACCTCGGGTGAGCAGAAGTGAATCCCACGTGGGTGACGGATTCAGGGACACGTGCTCTCTTCTGCCGTCTACAGGGTCTCCCAGTGCCTCTGGGAGGCAGGGGCGGCCTGTCTCCCAAACACCAGAGACTCAGGAAACAGCCACCTGCAGGAGACGCCTGGGGAAGGTGCCCTCATGCCAGGATTTCTTGTCAAGCAACCAGCTCGGCAGAGCAGGGGCAGGGCGGCTGCTGGTCCCCACCACCTTCCAGATAAAGCTTTCCTTCCAGAGCTTCCCAGAAATTGTTCTTGACGGGGATGTTACCACACTCTAATAAACTACAAGATATTGAAAGGCCCCCATTACAAAAGAAGCAAGGGTCCCCAGCCTGAAAGGTAAAACCATCAATATATGATTGAATGGTTGACCAGAGAGAGAGAGAGAGAGTGTGTGAGTGTGTGTGTGTGTGTGTGTGTGTGTGTGTGTGTGTGTGTGTGTGTGTAGAACCTTACATAATGCAATTCTTTTTCTGGAGCATTCAGTAAATATTTAAATGAAGCAATGGTTGGCGGGGGCAGAGGGGGCTGTGTTGGGAGGCCCAAGGAAACCAGTATCTCAGCAAACGCAGTGTGATAGTCTCAGGGGTCCCTCCGCCCTTGGGAGGCCTGGATACCCACGGGAGACAGTCTGCCTCTGGGCTGTGGACCCCACACCCCACTCCCAGCATGGCCCCTTCTGTGTTTCACGAGCACAGGCTGCCACAGGGAAGGGCGAGGAAGAGAGAGAATAACTATGCTTGTGTTTTCATGGCTCTTCTGAAATCTGGTGGTTGTCATATAAGACAGACTGCAGGGCTTGGGCGAATGTAAGTGTGTTGGGATCACCTGGTGTCTGGATTTCAGGGTCTCACTGGGGCTTGGACCAGCCATCCCAGCCAAGGCAGGAAGCTCTCTGGAGCCACAGGCTTGGTGCCGAGTTCCCACTGCAGCTGTTACCTGGTGAGCACCTTTAGATCTACAGGGTTCTAGGGTGTGGCTGGAAAGGTTAGACAGTTAACGTAATGGAAAGGTTGCCAGAGAAGCTTTGTCCCGGTCATTTCATTGCATGGGAGATGTTTTAGGCCTGCAGTGAACGTTTGTAGAAAAAACCCTCAACTTCACTTCACTTCTTTTTATGGAAAGAATCATTCTCAGAGATTATAAAAGTTCTAATTAAAAAATAAATAATTGGGGCCTCCCTGGTGGTGCAAGGGGTTAACACCGCACTATGAAGCAATCCTTAGCCTCTGCAGCACAAGTTTGATCCCCGGCCGGCCAGGGAGCAACCCACATGGTGCGGCAGACCTCGCCTGTCTTGCCCCCTGCTCCCCTCAGCAGTGTATTTCAATAGATCTGCCTGTTCTGCTCCCCGCTCTGTCTCTGGTGAATCCTCTTACCCCCCACATCTCTGGCCTGTACCCCAGCTCTTGTATGCATAAATAAATAAATCTTTAAAAATAAAAAATAAAAAATTAAGAGCTCTCATTTTACCTAAGATGAGAATCATGACCTCAAAGAAACAAGAGCTGGGGTTCCAGTTATTTAACACTCAGAGACTGAGGCCCCACTCAGATCGAGCATCCTTTCTAATATATCTCACAGCTCTTTATAGGTTTAAGAATGAAAATACGCCCCTCTGTGCATGTGAGATGGGAAGCAGTAGCCTGTTAGGTGGCAGCAAATCCCCCAGTAGCAGAAATGTAGAGTTGGGCCGCAAAATACCCTCAAGGGGACACTGTCTTGGGGCTAAAGGCCTCAAGAGTCAGCCAGATGGCCGCAGGGTGGAGCTAAACATTGGACAAGTCCCCTACTACCTTCTGGAGAAAACTGCATGTTTCCCCAACTCTCTGGCAAGCTAGAAGCTTCCACATCATACAGTGGACCCTCAAGTTCAATTATGCAGCAAATGACAGAAAACCACCCGGCTCATATTGTCCCAGAGGGCCCCGCTTCCTAAGAGAAGGAATCTCTGGGATTTTAAAAGCTTAGGTTCTTGGGCCTCCCTGGTGGCGCAAGGGGTTTAGTCTCAGCACTATGAAGCTATCAGCAGCCCCTGCAGCACGAGTTCAATCCCAGGCCAGGGAGCTACCCACATAGCACAGCTGACCTCTCCTGCCTTGCCTGCTACTCCCCTCAGCAGTGTGAGTCCTCTCACCCCACCCTCTGTACCGCTGGCCTAAACCCCAGCTCTTGTATGCATAAATAAATGTCTTAAAAAAAAACTTAGGTTCTGGACCTCCCTGGTGGCACAAGGGGTTAAGACACAATCTATGAAGCTGTCTGCAGCCACTGCAGCACAAGTTCGATCCCAAGCCAGGGAGCTACCCACATGGCACAGCAGACCTCTCCTGATTCGCCCGCTGCTCCCCTCAGTAATGTATTTCTGTCAATCTGCCTGTTCTGTTCCCCACTCTGTCTCTGGTGAATCCTCTCATCCCCCATACCTCTGGCCTTCTTGTATGCATAAATAAATAAATCTTTAAAAAGAACCTTAGGTTCTTAAAACATTCATAATAAAGGAGTACAGAAAGCCCCTTCTCTTGGACACAAGTTATGACTTGAGGAAAAAAATCATAGTTTGAAGGTTGCACAGAAGAAAGTTGAAAGGAAAGAGCCTGATGGTGCCATGGGCTCTGGGATGGGCTGGAGCGCAGCCCGCAGGGGGTCGCCCTGCAAGAAGTTTGCGCATTTGCTCTTGTCTCCCTAGGCTGGACACTGCCAGCTCCTTTCAGATTGCTGACACCTTAGGAAATTCAGAAATAGTGTTAGGAAAAAAAAAATGCTAACGCTCGTGCCCTATCTGAATAGCGCATCTTTGATAAGAACCAACTCCTGAAAATCTTCTGGACCCATGAATTAGGGCTCAGAGCCAAGTTCTCTTTTCAGCATCGAGACCACCTAGTACAGCCACCTTCCCCCCTCCCTCCCCGTCTGGTAGCCACTCCAGCCCACTGACCTTGGGTCACATGTCCAGCGGCTTGGTCTTCCAGGTTGGGGGTGTCTCCAATGCCCGCTTCTTCAGCTGGGGTACGTATACGGAAGTGAAGATAAAAGCAAAGACAGTTATTGTTTGCTGGCAACAGAGCTCCCGGCTTCGGCTGGCAACTCTCTGGCCAAGAGCGCAGAGGGCGCGCTCCTCTGCTCTCTGCAAACGTCACTGCGGGGACGCCGAGGGACGCAGGTCATAAGCAAGCCCCACAACGCCACACACTGCACAGGCGACACGATGCAGCAGGAACGGCCTTGTCCACAGAGGCTGGGGCCCCTCTCAACAAAGACACATGGCATGGTGAGGCCAGAGAAGCGGTTTGCTGCTCAGCCACTGCCCCGAGCCAAGCCTGTACCCCCAGCCCCAGGCAGCACCCTGGGGGCTCCTGAGGTGCAGGGGAGTGTGGGTTGTGGGTTGTGGAGTCAGGCTGGGGAGGGTCACACCAGGTGCCACCATCTAGTGAACCTCTCTGAACCTCGGTTTCCTCAGGGCAAAACCCTGAGGGATGATAAGGGTTTGCCATATGGGAGGGTAGTGTGGATTAGTATGAGAATCTGTGTTCAGCTAAGCCGCTGGCATGTGGCAGGTGCCCCCAACACTGTTCAGTTTCTTTTCCCTAAACTACTGGGCAAACCTCTTTGCCCACCTGCTCAGAATAGGAGCAGCCTCAGCGGTGGGGCCCAGCACTGCCAGGGAATAGCTTTTAGGGTGACTTGCTTGGGAGCTGCAGCTCACCTCAAACACAGAAAACTGAGGGCCTCCCCTGATGGCGCAGGTGGTTGAGCGCTGCGCTGTGAAGCTGCCTGCAGCCTCTGCAGTGCCTGTTCAATCCCTGCCGGCTGGCGAGGGTCCCACATGGTGCGCAGACCTCTCCTGTTGCCCCTGCTGCTCCCCTCAGCAGTGTATTTCAGTCACTCTGCCTGTTCTGTTCCCCACTCTGTCTCTGGTGAATCCTCTCATCCTCCCATGCATCTGGCCTGTACCCCGGTTCTTGTATAAATAAATAAATAAATCTTAAAAAAACAACAACGACACAGAAAACTGAGATTTCCGACACACCAATAGTATGAAATCAGTGCTCGTGAACACAACACCAATTTTGCACCTTGAAAACTCAGGGCTTGTTACAGGACAATGGATGCCAGAGCTCAGAGACGGCAGCCCCCGGGCAAGGCAGCCCTGCATTGACCTGTGGGGCCTCCCGGCTAGAGGGCTGGCGTGCCCTGAGGGACAGTGACGGAGAGGCCACCACCCCACAGAAGCCCACACACAGGGGGTCACTGGGCCATCTTTTTCTCCTAGACCTGAGATGACTCAGTCGCGTCACTGAAAACAGGAATCCCAAGTGACCACCACCCGCCGCCCAGCCTGCTGCCGAGCCACAGGAGGGAAAGGAAGACCCCCCAGGGCGCTGGACACTGCATGTGGCCTTGTGAGTACCCAGCCTGGTGGCTGCCCCGGGAACAGCTGTGGCCTTAGCGGGCGGGGACGGGAAGTGGCCCACGTGTCCTGGGCCCGGACATCCTCTGGGTCCCCGAAGCCGACACTGTGCTCCCGTGAGGTCTTGGGGACAGACCCAAGTCCTCTGACAGCGGCCTTCTAGTCCCGAGGGCCAGCTCTGAGATGTGATGTGAGCTCCTGACGAGATCACGGAAGAAAGGCTCAGAGGGACGCAGTGTGGTCCTGGAGACAGGACACTGGAGGCACCAGGGCCCCTGCTCCCCCAAGAGCGAGACGGGGGTCTGACTATGGGTGGCCACTGCACTCCAGCAGGGCCTCACTTGGGACGTTTCGCTGGAGCGTCAAGACACAGCAAACCAGCCAAGCCAGAGGGTCTGAACTGGGGAGGGGAGAGAAGCTCTGAGCAGGTATCTTCGGAGAGAGTGGCCTGCAGGCCAGGGGTGGCAACACCTCCCGTCTCAGCCCCAATGAAAGGGTTCAAGGTGCTGCTGGAGACACCTGGCACCAAGGTCAGGGGTCTGGGGGGGCTGCCGTCAGAACACCCCAGGGAAAGGCAGGGGAGGGGGGATGGGGTGGGCCCACTGGGGCCCCGAGAGCAGAGGCACGGGGCAGTGGTCAGGCTGCGTACCCCCGGCTGGTGTGGGCAAGATCGCCTGCGTGTTTCCCACGGACGCGACAGGGGCTCAGGACAGCGGCAGCGTGGGGGGCCTCGACTGTTTCCAGATGGGAACATGCCGCCCTCAGCAGAGGTAAGGCTGGAGGCAGGTTTTCAGGCTCCAAGGGGCTAAGGAAAGGGAACTTCAGGGGCCATTTAGGATGGGGGGTGTCTGGAAGAATTCAAAAAGGCCCCCAGACAGAGTCACTTTAAACACCTACAGAGCGTGAAGCCAGTCCCAGCAGAGCCAATTCAGCAAGAACTTCCCCGCCCCTCCCTCCCCAGCTCCAGCCCCAGAGGCCAGGGCTGCGACCCAAGTGAGCTTTGAGGTACCTGGGACCTGAGTCTCATTAGCATCTGCAGACTGTGTTTTGTGACTGCGGCTGCTTGTGATTACCAAGGAGCGATCAAAGACCAACTGTCCTAGAGCTTCCTTCCCCCACTGAACAAAGTGTAGAGGGACAGCGGCAGGCAAAGTCAGAGCCCGTGATCTCCCCGAGTCACTCCATGGCCATCAGTGGACCTTGCTCAAGGGCCAGGCCTGCCAGGCTTGGAGAGTTGCCCCCCGCCTGCGCCCCTTCAGAAGATCAGCTTCCAAAGCAGAGACTGCACGGAAGGAGCCAGGGTGCCTCTTGGCCTCTGCCTCGCATTGTTAACACAAGGAGCCCGAGAAAAGCTGCAGCCTTGCTGAAATGCCATCTTTAGGAAGGAAAGACGCCCCCGACCTCCCCTGGGGCATCGCCCCAGTCTGGACTGTCCAGATCCTCTGCTGTCCTTGCATGCCCCAAATCACCATGACAAGGCCTGGAGTCTCTGCCTCAGCCGTGTCAGGACATGGACGTGACAGCAAGGACTTGGGGCAGCACTGGCTATTTCCTAAGGGCCCGGGGCTGGGCAGCTCGCAAGTGGCTCTGGCAGCCCCAGGCCAGTGGCCAGTCCAAGCCAACCCCCATCATCCGAGAAGGACCATCTCGTCATGCCGTTCCTATGCAGGATGTTTGGAAAGAGGTCTAGAGATAGACGCTAGGTCGCGCTGCCGAACTCAGGGACTGTCCAGTTAAGGTCCTCCAAAGCTCTGGGTCAGTGATCTGGACCCTGCTGCCCACTCCAGTGCTCCCCGGGGTACCAGGCCCCTCCCAGGGAGGGGACCCTGTTGCTGGGCAGAGTCTGAGCAGGAGGAGGACTGATTTCAGGAGTGAAAGGGGCAGGGGTAGGCCGCCAGCCTGCTCACGGCACCCTGCGGAGAGCTCTGGGTGCGCTGACCAGGACGGGAGAGAAACCAGGAGGACTCCGGAAGGTCTTCTCCCTCCGGGAGGTGGCAGACGGCCCAGAAGCAGCAGGGCATCAAGGCATCGAGCTGGGAGCAACCTGAGACTCCCAGGAGCCCATCCGCCAGCTCCCTGCCTCACCGGGAGACAAGCACACCCTCGCGCACCCGCTCCCCGGCAGCTCAGCCGCACTGCGGGGCCGATCGCTCCCGGCCCTGGGCCACCCTCACCTGTGGTTCCTTCTGGGATCTCCGTGTGGGGCTGAGTGGCCGCCTGCTCACCGGGGGCTCCCTCATCCACTAAGGGTGCTGTCACGTCTGGAAACCACCGAGAATCACCTAAGGGGGGTGGATGAGCCGTGCCGAGCCCCTCACCTTTGCTTCTGGTGGGGAGCAATGCGGGGAGGGGAGGCAAGAGGGGACTCAGCCACATGCAAAAAAAAAAAAAAAGAAAAAAAAAGCAACACCACAAAGCAGAGCCCAGGGCTGGGCTCCCGCCGGACAGCTCCCTGGGAAGCCATTAGGCTTCTGCTTGAGTGGCCCCGGCTCGGGAGACACCCAGGCTGTCTGCCAGGAAAGCCAGGGACAGCCCCCACGGGGACGGTGCACGCAGGGAGTGCTGGGGATGGCCCCGGTGTTTTAAAGAAGATACGTGGAATATCAGATGACAGTTCACAGACGCTTCGCTGCAAGGCAGTGCGGGAGAGGAGACTGGGACTGGGATCGTGGCCACTCAGGGCTCTGGTGACCGCTATGGTTCCCTCCAGCTCTAACCCCTGTCCCCTGAGTCCATGACCTGTGGTTAAGAAGCAAGGTGTCCCATGGGTGGCAATGGACAGGTCAGTCCCCGTCCAGAATCAGGTGCTGGACAAAGGCCTGCAGGTGGCTCCACCTTCAGAGCAGAGGCCAAGGCAGAGAAGCAGCACCAGGAGCTGCTGTCGGTCTCATCAAGACGAACACTTCCAGATCGACATTCCTCCCTGGGCAGTGCCCTGGCAAGCTCCCAGCTGCTCCGACAGAACATAGGGACTTGTCAGCTTTGACAGCTTTCCAAGAGCCTGAGTCAGTTAAGTCAAATGGAGACCATTTTAATTATGGTGTCTCCTGCGTAGGCAGAGCGGCCTGGAGGAGCCCAGCCCCAGCAGGGTCCCCTTCTCAGTGGGTTGAGGGCTGAAGCTCCTGGGCCCACACATCTACAGGGCCCAGAGTGCAGCAATACTTGGTTGGGAGATCAATCCAGAACGATGATGATGGAGCCTGAGAACCACGATTCGGGAGGCTGGCATGCAATGTGGCCTTAGGGTTCCAAGACATTTTGGGGGTGGCAGGCAACTTGCAAAACTGTCCTAACAAGATCCGTGGGAAACGTCTGGCAAAGCCAGCTCTAAGGAAGATGGCAAAGAGTCTGGAGGAAGGGCCACGCCCACCACCTCCTCCATGGCTGCGCCATCACACTGAGCCTTGGCAGGCACGCCACAGCCGCTTCATGGATTCATCCCAAGGCGGGTGCCTGGGGGATGCGGGGCCAGGTTCTCACCCTGTGACGCAGCAGCCAAAGTAACGAGCGAGGCTGGGGGAGTGAGGAGACAGGAGTCTGGAGCCTCCTCCGGAGGATGGACAGATGGGGAGGACAGGGCACTCTGGCCGCTCAAAGCCATTCTCAATGCCCTTCGCCCTTGATTTCTCCTACTAAAGAGACGAAACAGCAAAGTGCTTGATGTCTTAGCTTCTCTTATGGCCGGTTCTGGCCAATGAGATCTAAGATGGGATGTGCAGAAACACTTGTTTTCCTAATAAAAGAACACATTTGGTTTCAGGGGCCTTTTGGCCACTTTGCATTGCTACCCTGAAGGCAGATGTGATGCCTGGAAGTGCAGCAGTCATTTTGTAACCATGAAGCCACAATAGAACCATTAAGGATGGCTGAAGATAAAGACAGAAGAACACTGATGACACCAGGGAGCTGTTGCCTGAGTTCAAACATCTTATTATGCAAGACAAATAAACCTCTTCCTGTGTTGCCACAGTTAGCTGGGATTTCTGTTACTGTCCCTCAACTCAGTCTTGATTGACTCAGATGGGAAGGAAGAGAGAGAGTGGTCCAAATCAGGACCAAGGAAGACTTCAGAAAGTACATGAAGTTTATAATAATTTAGAGAGAACAGGTTAGAAGTTGGGCTGGGACAATGCCATGGTCAGAGTCCGGAGGCCCAGGCTAAGCCCAGAACGCAAGACAAAGGACACTTAGCCAAGACCAGCCTCTCTGTGTGATCACGGAAATGTGCATGGACCTGCTTCTTCCCTCAGTCTGCTCAGGATCTGGGGGCCAAGAAAGAAGCGTCTGGGGAGGACAATCGACACGGAGCAGGGGCTGGTGGAGCTGTCTGGGCCCTGCTTTGCACAGATCCCAGCCTCTCAAATGATGGTCGCCTCAAAGCACGCACACAATGAAGGTGCTCACACCTGGATGAAGGTGCTCACACCTGGATGAAGGTGCTCACACCTGGCATGAGTGAGCAGGCATGGAGGCAGGGCTGGGCTCCCCAGTGGCCCAGGGCCCAGCCCTGTCCTGCAAAGTGCTCAGCCAGAGGGCGAGGTGGCAGCCAGCGCAGCTGGTAAGGGTGGCGCATGTGGGCTCCAAGCAGGGCTAAGCACAGGCTGGAAGCATGGAGGGAGCTGTTTGGATGAAGCAATGAGTGGAGGGGGGGCCCCACCTTCGGCTGTCGGAGTGCTCTTAGCATCAGAGGTTTCAGAGCCCGGCTCCTCAGATCCATCATCGGCGGGGGTCTGCAGGGGAGATTCTGGAACATACACAATGAGCCCCTCAGAATGGCTGCCTCTCCCCACGCCCCTTTCGACCTCAGGAGGAACCTTGTGCAGTGCCTGTCGGAGCGGAAGTCACCCACTGTGAATCCAAACCCAGAGGGCAGAACAGAGCTGCACAATAAAACCACAAGGGGACAATCCCAGCCCGGCCCCACTCCACTGCCGCCGCACTGGTCATCAGGCCAAGAGCAGGGCAGGCGGCTCTTGAGGGGTGAGAGGAGCGAAGCCCTTTTAGCCAGCTAGTGGGTCTCACTGGACAGAGGCTCTTCTCCAGACAAGCGAACAGCAGATCCAGAAGCTAAGCTACAACAAGGAGTCAGCTCGGGGCAGACACGGCGCCCTCCAGCCGGATATTGGGTTGTTGACTTGACTCAGTTCATAGACAGGTCTCCAAGCGCCGACCAACAAGCCCAAGTCACTACCTGAAGCATCAGCCGTTACCTACGTGAAACCTGTCCTTTCCTGGCCTGAAGCCGGGGATGCTCTGGGGGGCACTCCAACTGGGTGGTGGCAGCCTTGGCACCGGCTTTCAGATGGGATCTGGGTTCTGTGCACCCACCAGAACGCCAAGATGAAAAAAGGCAAGTGGTGGTGTCCCACGCACTACCAGATCAGACACCCCGCTCCCTTGGCTGAGATCCCAGCCCTGGACACCCAGCTAGGCCTCGTCCGTCCTGACAAGGAGGGGATCCTAAACCAGCTTCCAGCTGCTGGGCCTGGAGTTTGCAGAACTGGCAAACACACGGTGAGAAAGGTTGTGAGGCTGGTGAGGTCAAGCAGCCCACAGCCGGAGCCCAGGGGCACAAGGGCATGAAGGTATCTACATGCCTTCTGCCCCCCCACCCCTACCCTCCCAGCCTGTCCCCTGCCAGCCCCGCTCAGCACTGACACTGCCCTTGTTCAGGTTCTTGAGGGAAGGAAGGAGGTCGAAGCCTCTTCTGAAAGTCTCATCTGGAATATACAAGTTAAGCCTCTAACACCTTTTAATTCACGAAGGTGAATTACTTGATGAGTTATCGACTTTCACCCACTTTGCGGCTCTCTTTGGCTGCACCTCCTTCACCTTTCAGCATCTGCTTAGACTCTCTTTGTTCTGGTATCCCTCATGTGGTTTTTGTCATTCTTCAGAATAGTCTTTGTCACTTATCTCAGATGCTGCTAGTAAAGTGACACCTTCTGCACGCGACATCCCTCACTCCCCACCTAGAAACAGCTCATCCTGAAGCCTTAGTAACAAGAAGGAATTTGATGAGAATGATGAAAACCTTTTAGGTATCACTTGCTTTCTAGGGAAGTGTATTCGTTGGGGAAGCAAATGACTCAAATGCTTTCCTTTCCCAGCACTTACAAAAAGGTCAGCAATTTAAAATCTCCATATACAGGTATGATCTATATGGTTTAGCATAGAACTTCTGAGCACATTTCATATTAAAGAATGGAGCAGTCTTAGCAAATATACTATACGCCACCCTGAGCCATAGATACCTTGGAAAACTTCTTAACTTTACAAATTGAATTTAGTTTCCCCTTCAAAAAGTAAGAGAGGTAAAAATAGTTTCCCTCGGGCCTCCCTGGTGGTGCATGTGGTTGAGCGCAGCACTGTGAAGCTGTCTACAGCCTCTGTAGCGCAGTTTGATTCCCAGCCAGCCAGGGAGCTACCCACATGGCGCAGCAGACCTCTCCTGACTCGCCCGCTGCTCCCCTCAGCAGTGTATTTCGTCAGTCTGCCTGTTCTGCTCCCCGCTCTGTCTCTGGTGAATCCTCTCACCCTCCCGCACATCTGACACTTACCCGGTTCTTATATAAATAAATAAATCTTAAAAAAAAAAAAGTTTCCCTCTCCCCTGGCATTAAAAAAAAGTGAACTTTTTATTCTAGAAATTTTTTTTATTCACAGAAAAATTACAAAAATAGTACAGGGGATAGACCCCACACCCAGTTTCCCCAGTTCTTGACATCTTACCTTATATGTGACATTTGTTACAACATACAATCTATATTTTTAGCTTACGTTTTACACCAGGCTACCTAAACACAGAGTCATCTGCACTGGCACGATTCATAAGGGTAGGATTTAGTGTGCTGGGTTCTAAGTTGGCGCCACCCATGAGAGAGAAATAACCGAAGTTCCAAGGGCTGAAGGAGCGAGAGGCCAAGCAGTGGCCCTGGGACTGGAACCTGGCTCTGATCTGGCAGTACTGACATGGCCTGGGGTCTTGGAGAGGAAACTTCTGTCACCTGCAAACTGGGCAAAGTAGCACCTGCCTCCCCAGGTTGCCGTGAGCATCATTCACGACGCCGGCGGGGAAGCCCGTGCGGTGGAGGCCTCCATAGACACGCCCGCGTGACTTGAAGGCAGCAACCTTGAAGCAAGGGGCCCTGTGTCTAATCACCCATATCCAGACACTTGGATAGAGGAGACGCAGCGATGTGTGGGCCTAAGTCCTGGAGGATGGAGCTCTTAGGGCCTTGGTCAGGGAAACAGGCAAAATCTGGCCCTGACTCCAGTCCCTCAGTGGTACAAGCTGCCAGGGAGGGCACCAGGAGAAAGTCTGGGGTAGGGGGTGGCTAACTGCTGGCAGAGAGGCCATGGGGGCCACTACCCCTCACTTCCCCGGCCTGGTGGCTGGTGGGAGAGAAAGCGGAAGAGCCCGAGAGGACCACAGGGAGAAGCGGTTTCCCAGGCACTGCCTCTGTGCTGAGCTGACACAGGAGCTCGGGCTGCAGCCAGACTGTGGCCTGGGCAAGGTCAGAGGCGCTTTTCTCTCTGGTGTCTGGCGGGGAGGTTGGGCTCGAGTGGGAAGACTTGGCCGGAGCGGGCATTATGCCCCCCACACTTGCCCAGAGCTTCGGCTGGGCAGCCTGAGGTCCCAGGGACTCAAGCCCCCCTTCCTTCCCCTCCTCCCAACCTGGGCACCACCATCTAATTCTGAAGCTCCTTGGACTCTGACCTGTCCCCCTGCTTAGTGAGCAGATGGATCTGAGCCTGTAAAGCCAGGCCCCAACAGTCCTGAAACCCCTGCAAGGGAGGGAGGGCGGCTCCTCACCCTTCCCAGACCAGGGTGTTCCTGGTACCCGCCTCCTCCAGGGAGCCTTCCTGGATCCTTGGACCCCAGAGAGGCCACTTCCCATGGGGAGCTCCACCTTCCAGCCACTGCCCCACCCCACTCCGCAAAGGGTTTTGTTATTTTTAGGATGAAAAGAGAAAAGTAGATCATGTGTCATGTTAGAAGCTGGTCTGGAGGGCAGGGAGGGTGCTCTGGGCCCTGAAGGACTGGGAGAGGGGCTCTACGGGGTCCCCAGGGGCCCCCGAAATCGGGAGTCAGAAAACACATTCATTTGGAAGGGGACAGGAGGCGGCTAAGTCATTTTGACCAAAGACTGTACCATAGAATGTGTAGACGCTGATGAGCTCGTCAGTGCAGGAATCTCAGCGCTAACCAACGCTTGCCAAATAGGGGCCAGACGCGAGGAAGAGAGGAAAACAGTGTTCAAAACCAGCCGGCCTGTGTGCTAATGATGACTGCTGGTTCCTAGGTCACAGGTGTGGCTAAAGACTCTCAAAGACCCTGTGTTAACTGGACTGGCCGGCCCCCGGCCTTGGCCACACGACTCCATTCGGCAGCAAGTTCCTCTTTGGTGCATCTTCCAAGAACCTGATTCTGAGTTTTCTTGGCCCGTTCAAATGAGCGAGGCCTCACTCTACTGACGATCTAACATAACGAAGGATTTAAAACCCTCTGAAAGTCTGGAGGTGAATCTCCCTGCCAGCCTTTCCAAAGCAAGCAGGCCTTGCCCCCGAGGCTCACCTTTGAGGCCGTGGTCAGCGTCACCCGCGTGGTCCTGCAGCAGGGTGTAGCCACCCTGGGTGGGGAGATCTTTCCTCTCCCCCATCCCGTACATCCCAGCGTCATCTTCCACGGCGTTGAAGTCCTGGCGGGGCTCAGCCATCCTGGTTCAAGGCCCACCTGGGGAAGGAAGATGGGAGGATGAGGTTGGGGTGAAGAACTGAGGGAACTGATGGTGTGGGGGCGGGTACAGGGGGGCAGGGAGAGACAGAGACCACCTCCCCAGGTGATGGCAGGTATCTTCACCTTTGCCACCCTCCCCAACACCTGGGCGCACAAGATCTTCGGGCTGAGAGCGCCTGCCCAGTGCACTGACATGTACCTGCACTTTGAATTTGCCCATGTCACCGCTGCCTGTTCCAAGCCACCTGTGGGCAGGCAGGTTCAGCAGGCCCAACTGGTTCTTAAGCCCGGTGCTCTAAACGCTGTGGCCTAGTATCTGATCTTTTTTTCTTTTAAAGATTTATTTATTTATGCATACAAGAACTGGGGTACAGGCCAGAGGTGTGAGGGGGTGAGAGGATTCACCAGAGACAGAGTGGGGAACAGAACAGGCAGACTGACTGAAATACACTGCTGAGGGGAGCAGCTGGTGAGACAGGAGAGGTCTGCTGCGCCATCTGGGTCAGTTCCCTGGCCAGGGATCGAACTTGTGCCGCAGAGGCTGTGGATTGCTTCATAGAGCTGCGCTTAACCCCTTGTGCCACCAGGGATGATCTTATTTTATGGAGGGGATAGGACCCAGCAGGGGAGGGGAGGCAGCAGAGGGTTCTCCTGGTAAGGAAAAGAAGACCCAGGGAACTCATGTCACTATCTAATCACAGGCAACTGAGGAGCAGAACCAGCACCTGGGTGTCCTGACACCCTTTCCCCCAGTTCTGCGGTGGGTGGGTCCCCAGGGGTAGGGTCATTGGAGGCCTGGACTATGGCCTCCATTCCCCTAGGATCTCAGGTGTGCTGTTCAGAGGGCTGGGCTGAGAAATCCCTACGGTTGCTCTGGGGCCAAAGAGCAACCTGCACCTTCACCCCCCAAAGGCGAGAACGCGCTCTGGCTCAATGGCACCCATTAAACAATCACACTTGGTCCTCATCTTTATTAAAAACATTTTGTTTTGGGCCTCCCTGGTGGCGCAAGGGGTTAAGCACTGCACTATGTAGCAATCCACAGCCTCTGCAGCATGAGTTCTATCCCTGGCCTGCCAGGGAGCAACCCACATGGAGAGGCAGACCTCTCCTGTCTAGCCGCTGCTCCCCTCAGCAGTGTATTTCAGTCTGCCTGTTCTGCTCCCCACTCTGTCTCTGGTGAGTCCTCTCACCCTCCCGCATCTCTGGCCTGTATCCAGCTCTTACATGCATAAATAAATAAATCTTTAAAAAAAATACAAGACTGACAAAATTGGGTTGGGGTCACGGAAAGATCCCAGAATTACACTAAAGATGGGGGCCTGGATGGCTGGGGCAACGAGAGGGGGGTACATCACCAAAGGCAACACCGTGGTGGGGGGTGAAGGTGGTCGATCCCCAAAGCTGGGCTCTATTTGATGAGGTCCTTGCTCAAAAGGAGAATCCCAGCACCCCCCACTGCATCTTATTAAGTGGTGATTCACTTAATCTCAGAAAATGTGCTTGACTGTCTTCTTTGACCTCCATGAAAATTTTAAAGTTTTACTTTTTTATTGATTTTTAAAAATGAATCTTCAGGGAAAGAGAATTCCAACTCAGCTTCGGGCCTAGGTCAACAATTATTTTCTGTAAAGGGCCAGAGAGTAAATCTTTTGGGCTCGGTGGCTACGGTCTCGGCTGAGACATCAGCTCTGCGCTGGCGGGAAAACAGTCACGCTCCAGTTAAACTTACAACCAAAATCTGAATTTCCTGTCACTCTCATGGATGATGAAATATCACTCTTCTTTTGTTTTTGTTTTTATCCAAAGCCATTCTTAGCGCATGGCCAGCTTTGGCCACGGGCCATAGTTAGCAGACTCCTGCTTTTGGCTATTGCAATGTTGCTTCTTGCTCTCAAAAAACAAAATCTGTAAATAAAGTTTCACCATTTTGCTCACCCTATGGCCTTACTGTGCATTTTTTCATTTAATGCTGATTTTCTTCGGCTTGCTTTTAGAGGCTTCCTGGGTTCCAAGTCGGAGCAGGAGAACTAAGGGTCACCCTTGGGGCTTGGGCAGTACCCCTTGCTCTGAGGCCTGGGAACATGCACCCATCACATGGGGCTGCTCACTCAGCTCCAGGGAGCAGGGAACAGGGTGGTGGGGCTCATGGGCCTAGTGATTCCTCGCCCTCCTCCCCACCACTCCCAGTGCCTCTGCAGGGACAAAGGTGGTGAGACACGCAGATCGCAAGCTGAACTGAACTACGGGGTGCGCTGGGGAAATTAAGTCATTTTAAAAACACACAAATTACTACTATGAAAAATAAACTGTACTTGCTTAGGGGCCAAGAAAGGGATGCATGGGGGTACCCACAGGGAGGATCAATACCAACCCCAGGGGAGCAGATACTGTTGGGTTCAGGGACTTTGTGGGTCAAAATGCCCACAGGCACCGTCTCTTCAACATGGTTGGTACCTGTCCCTGTGCTAATGTTTTGGTAGCTGCAGGCCAAGTGAAGAAAGTTCCCCAGCTTTTGTCCTCTTGACAAAAGCAAGAAAAAGAACCAGAAGGAGGATGTCCTTGGAGAATAAAATGAAGTAACTCTTCTTAGTCCTAGGATAACCACTGACTGACTACAGGACACAAGTCCTGCTGTAGCCCTAGGGCAGGGTCCATACTTGGCGCTCACCAGCCCCTGTCAAAGAAGGAGCGTTTGTTTACTGCTATGTCACCAAACCCTCACGAGGTAGGTGTCATCACCATCACCATCACCACCACCACCATCACCGTCACCACAGATATCATGATTCCCATTTGACAGAAGAGCAATCTGACCTGCTGAGGTCACATAGCTAGTAAGAGGCAATGCCAAGATACAACGCCTGTGTCCTGATGGGCATTCAATGTCCATCCTGGACCACAAAATGTTCCTTGTCCCTCTCTTAAGGCACAATTTGAGGGTATGGAAGGGGCACTTGCCAGAACTCACACCCTGAGGCTCTGTGACCAAGTCACTTCTGTCAACTTTCATCCACAATGTCCCTTGGAGATCCTGCACTTCCTTCCTGCCTTGACATTTTATTCTAAGTGGGTCCAGAGGCCTGTGTTCTCTGACCTGGGGCTGGGGGGCAGTCACAGGAGGGTGGGAGGCTCTAGCAGGCCTGAGAAAGAGCCAGGGACCCTGGGATCCTGGCCAAGGGCCTACCCTCTCAGCTCTGCACCCCTGAGCCCCTTGTCTTCTTCCTGAGAGTCAAGAAAGATGATTTCTCTGGAAAAACTGGACAAAGACTGTAAAAACCAACAAGAAATGGCAGTGCTGCTCTTCTGGCCCTTTCACACATAGACAGCAGATGGAGAAGCACAAAAATAAACATGGCTCTGAGGGGGATGCACAGCCCAGACTAGACGAGGGCACCACCCCACGGACCCCTATAATCTAAGCGAGACGGGGACAAGAAAATAAACACACCGAGAGCGGTTTTCCTATGGCTGCGCTGTGCTCTTACTCTTCTAAACCAAACAACCCCTCTCCCTGTCTCTGTCCCTGTCTTTGATTTCCCGCCTCCTGTTTTCCCGGGCAGCGACTTATAGACAGCGAGGGAGGAGGCAAGCGAGACATTTTAGGAGAGGCACAAAATTTGACTTCAACCTGGAAACTAAGATGGGCCATTTTTTAGGGACAAGTACTACCCGTGGGCAAGAGAAAACGAGAACCAGCTGATTCCAGTCCTTCCCGTCATTGCGTACCCCAGCCCCTGAGGCCGGGAGGGGAAGGGGCTTGCGGAGCTGCTCACAGTGTCTGCCCTGCGCAGTCAGCCCCCGCCCCAGTGCCACCTGCTGATGGGCAGAGCCCCGGAGAAAAGTGCCTGCAGGTTGAGAGGGGGAGATGGAACAGAAAAGACAGGCGACGGAGAGCAAGGCAGAGGCACAGGTGGGTTAGGGGGTACACCTGTAGGGGGGAGGAACCCCTGAATCAAATCAAAGCTGCTGCCACCTAGTCTTGAAAAAAAAAAAAACAATTCAAACTCACACAACAGAAAATGAACCATTTTAAAGAGAACAATTCACCATGGGGTACAACCATCATCTCTACCTTGTCCCGAGCATCTTCATCGCCCCAAAAAGAAACCCTGTTCTTAAGCAGCTTGACCCCTCACCCTCCCCTTCCTGCCAACCGTGCAGGTTCTGTCTCGCTGGAGTTACCTATTTTGCTTCTTTCAAGTAAGCGGGACCACGTGACCTGTGGCCTTCGGCTACTTTCGTGCACTTAATGGTGTTTCCTGGTTCACCGCATGGCGGCTTGTGGCTCAGCGGTCATTCCTTGAACGAGATTCCACTGTCTGGACACATCACATTTTGCTTCCTCCACTGATGGACACCCAGGGTCTTTGGAAAACAATATGGACTTTTTTAATGGTAAAATTAGGGAGGAAGAAGAAAAAGGAGGCAGTTGGGGAGGGGTAGTGGGAGGGGACCCATGGGATCCCCAGCAATCTTGGACTTTTTCCTCATTTTGCCAAGGCGGGTCCCCCTGCAAACTCTCAGGGGTCCAGGGATATAGAGGCAAGACCCTTGGTTCCTTTCGCCCCCAAAGAAGAGCACCTTCCCAGGTGCAAGGCGAGTGACCTTTCTGCCGAGCAGAACTCATGAACCCTCTGCAGCTGGCCTGAAGGGGCACCTTTGTCTTCTGGTCATCCCAGGCTGCCCTCAGAGGTGTCCAGAAGGAGGGCAGGGAACCGAGGCACCCAGCCAGCCCAGAGGGGAGCTCGGGAGCATCAGCAGGGGACCCCGCTCTCTGCTGGGAGCATGTCTGCCATCTTCCCAGCACTACACATCAGCTTGCAGGCTCGCTACAAACCTGTGAGGCTGCCAGGTGATGCGAAACCCAGGCAGGTAAAGGGCCCCAAGAGGCTAAAGGACTTGTCTACCACCTCCTAGGAGGCCTGGGACACCCCCTTTCCCTCCAAAAGCCTTCGACTGTTCTCCCCACCCCCAGAAGTTTCTGCTTACAAAGGTCAATTAGTTGCTCCCTGGAGTTGCTAAGGTAAGGCCCCAGGCTTTGCTTCTGCACCATTCCCCAGGGGTCTGTACCTTTCAGCTGACCTGGGGTGGCCTCTACCTGGAGGAGGTGAGGACCAACCCTCCCACAGGTACCCTCCTAGTCCTTTTAAAAAAAAAAATTATTTTTACATAGTAGAACTGGGGCACAGGCCAGAGGTGTGGAGTAAGAGGAGTCACCAGAGACAGCGGGGAGCAGAAGAGGCAGACACACTCAAGTACACTGCTGCCGTGCCATGTGGGTGGCTCCTTGGCCAGGTGTAGGGTAAGGTAAAAAGTATCAGGCTTTTCTGCCCTCCCACCATTAGGACAGATGACAGAACCCTGTGGTCCCGAATGCATGCCTGATGGCAGGCACCTGGCGTAGGGTGTGGGCCTAGGTAGATGGGATTCACCTGGGCTGAGACTGGGCTTTTAAGGGCGGCGTCACGGGGACACCAGCAAAAGCTGAGAAGCAGAGAAGTAGGAGCAGCAGAAGCCAAGAATGAAGCAGAGAAGCTGAGAGCAGACAAGCAGAGAGAACACCAGAGAGCCCAGAAAGAGTGAAGACTTGCTGGGGGCTGGGAGACCTGCCAGCCTCCCCGCCCCCCAGCACCCCTGCCTGCCGTGTACCTGGTAAATCCCAACAAAAGCCACTGAGGGCTCCAGGACCAGGATTCCTCCTTTACCCCGTCTGCTGGATCAGAAAACCTGCTCAGTGTCCTTCCTGCCCCTGCACCAGGGATTGAACTCCCCACTGCTGACAGCTTCACGGTGCTGAGTCTCAACCCCTTGCGCCACCAGGGACACCCAGTTCTTGCTCATGGCAATGAGTCGGGTAAAGAGTAAGGAGGCTGTGGAAGGAGGGGGGGCACAGCGGGCGCCCTTTTGGAATATGAACAGCACCTGCTTCTCTGGGGCAGCTGGAGGGGGGCGCGGAGGGGAGCAGAGGGAGCGACCGAGAGTGAGACGCTCTGTAAGGCCACAGCCCCTGCGAGGAGTCACCGGCCACTTTCCCGGGCGGGGCGCAGGTCCAGGGGGGTCAGCCAGCCGTGAGGGTCGCTCAGCTCGGGGCAGGTGCCCCCCCGCCGCGGTGCCCAGCGCCGCCTCCCGCCGCAGCCCCGCCGGCTCCGTGGGGGTCCCCGCGCCCCACAGGGCGCACAGCCCGCGCGCTCCACGCTGCGAAACCCGTTTCTGGGGCCTGAACCCCACCTCTCCTCCGGGGAGCGGCCCTGGGGAGGGGCGGGGGCCGCGGGCGGGGTTCCCCAGAGCCGCGGCCCTCGCTAGGGGGCAGCAGACGCCGGGTCCAGGGTCCGCGCCGCGGCCAAGGCTTCTCCCCCGGAGGCCTCAGGCCGGGGCCGCCGTGACTCAGCGGATTCGCCGCCGCGCCCGAGGGAGGCGCGCGCCCCCAGCCCTCGTCGGGCGCCCCCAGCCCTCGTCGGGCGCCCCTAGCCCCCCGTCGGGCACACCGGGGCTGGGCGTAGCGGGGGCCGTGCGCCGCTGTGACCGTGCCAGGGCGGTGAACTGGGTGGAAGCGCTTGAGATAAAGGGAGGAATTTAGGGCCTCCCTGGTGGCGCAAGGGGTTAAGACGCAATCTATGAAGCTGTCCGCAGCCTCTGGAGCACGAGTTCGAGCCCCGGCCAGGGAGATACCCACATGGTGCGGCAGACCTCTCCTGTCTCGCCCGCTGCTCCCCTCAGCAGTGTGTTTCAGTCAGTCTGCCTGTTCTGCTCCCCACTCTGTCTCTGGTGGATCCCCTTAAACCTCTGGCCTGTACCTCAGCTCTTGTATGCATAAAAATAAAATAAATCTTAAAAAAGAGGGCGAAATTTATGGCATGTGACATAGCTCAATATAGCTGTTACTAAATAAACAAAAACCCTAAAAGGATCTCTCAGATAGCTGACGTAGAATCCAAAATAACCTTAAAATGGACTTCGGGCTCCAGGGTTATTTTTGGCTCCTGCACCCCTCTTTCCTCTGCTCTTGTCCCTTTGTGAGGGATCCCAGGATTCCTGGCAATGACAGGAACCAGATCTCAAGCCTGAAGTCCGCTCATTGAATTCCTATAGCTAACTGCCCGTTATTGTGCCTGCTTTTACAGATGGGGAAACTAAGGCACAGAGAAGTTGAGTGAGTCGCCAAGGTCACATAGTAATGGACTGGGGCTCAAAGCCCAGGCAACCTGGCACCAGAATTTGACCTCGTGAACCCCATGGTGACAATTAAGTCACCTGATGGCGGATACCAGCTTAGGAAGACAGCACTGGGCTCCATTGTGTGAAAGCTTTTGTTTCCTTGAAAATTTTCTCTTTGTATTTATACTTATTTAATTGCTTATGGGCCAATTGTTTTAATCAAGGTAAAAAGTGGAAGGGCAGGGGTGAAGTCTCCTGGCCCTGGGTCATTAGGAAATCCCTCTACTCAGGAAGTAGGGAGCCAACTGCACCTAGAGGGGGTGGGAGGAGGAAGAGCCTCTAGGGTTTAGATAAACATGCCCTGGGGCTGGCTGTCTGCCACTCTGATGCTGCCCAAGCTTCACCCACAGCTGATCCCAGCTGCCAGCTGTGAAGAGCCCCACCTCCTCTGTGCTGGGAGGAGCCCTTCCCTCTGGCGCCCACAGGTGGCACCCTGCAAGGAGGTAAGCCTACAGGTGGCACCCTGCAAGGAGGTAAGCCTCGCTGGAGGGGTGATGTCCTGGCCAACCTCAGAAGAGCTCTGGGGCGTGAGCTCGCAGTCCCATCACAGTGTACCACAGAATGTTCTAGAGCCGAATCTGAATAATCACAAAAAGGCCCAAATTTCAAGAAGAACTGCCAAATTAAGTAGAGAGAAGATAAAGAAACCCAAGGAAAGGAAAGACTTATGTTGTGAGAATAGTTCTGGGACCCCATCCAATGAGAACAATCAACAATTGTACGAAAGCATGAATGGCAGTCGCTCTGGGGAGGGAGACAGGGCCGCTGAGGGCACACGCTGTGTCACAGCTGACGGCAGCAGGCAAACGTCCCGCCTAAAACACCCAGATCACGTCTGAGGGGACCATCCTGGTTTGAAGCTCAAGGTTTCTATTTTGCTTTTCCTTCTCCTTTGTCAACAGCTGGTATAGCCAGATAGTGCTCGTGACACATGTCTGTTCAGATGAGTTTCCCTTTAGCCCCCTTTGGATTAGTCACTGATCAGTCAGTTTCCAACAAGGACAGTGCTGTCCTGTGACCCAAACGGGCTGGGGAGGTGGCGACTGAGCCCCGTCCTGCCCAGGGGCCAACAGTGTCCCTGGTCCCCTTTATTTCTCCTTGAGACGAATCCCCTGAGCTCAGAGCACCAAATGGGTATGAAGTCTCTTTCGATGTCAAAGTCAAGAAAACCAGTGCAGGGGAGGGTGTGGGGGGCAACTGCCGATGACACCACCCTTTATCCTGAAAGGGGGGGGACAGAGATTTATAGTTTAATGACAGTGAGCCACAGTCATTATTACAAAGTCAGACGCAAAGCTAAGGAGGCAAGCAAGATGCCCCGGCTCTGGTGATGCCACACAGGTGACGTCCCTTCCGCGAGTCCACATAGTGTCCATTATCCCAGGCTCGTGCACGGAGTCCTCTGCCGGGTCGGCGTGCTCCCTCTTCTGGCCGGTCGTCCACGGATATGGGTTCTTGCGCTGCGGCTGTGGGGAGGCCGTTGCCCGTCAGCTAGAATAGGCAGTAAATGGGCCACAAGCCAACACCAGATCACACCTAACGTGTGCTGGGTTTGTAAAGTCCCTCTTCTATTTTTTAGCCATTGTGGTCTTCCCCTAATAAGAATAAATATTTTGCTAGCTGGGCACAATGTATGCATTTTTATCCCATTTAGTGTTCGCACAACCGATGTGAATTGGGAATGTTATTATCTTGTTATCTCCACTCGGTGCATGGATGAGGCCCAGGGCTTTGCTGCTGCTGTCCGAGCCCCCAGCCTGACACTGGGTGGGTCATTGGAGACCTCGCCAAAGTCCTAATGTAGGGGTAGCCACCCCAACCACACCTTTGTGCCAGTATGGGGAGACTGAGGCACAGAGGGACCAAGGGATCGTGGCTCAGCTGGGACAGTCTGGCGTGCAGGGGTTTGCTGGACAGCTCAGCTTTGAATGGGAAGTCAGCCGGAGAGAGAATCAGGAGGGATGATGTCACTGACGTAAGGACAAGCCATTTCTGATGATGAAATGGCCTTGGTGTAGTCAGATTCTTGCCTCAGGAGTGCCTGGGTTGCTGGGGGGCCTCTTAGAGGCACCCTCAGGCCACTTGCCAAGTGCACTATGGATTCTCAGAAGCACCTGCTCCTCTGTTAGCCATTCCCGGGACTGATGGAT